CGTCCCCGCCTGGCCTGGAAAGTTGCTCCATCTCCACCATGGTCTGGAAAGTCGCGTCCTCGCTTTAGTCGCGAAAGTCGCGCCGTATCCGCCATGGTCGCGCAAGGGGTCATGCCGCATCCGGATCTAGATCCAAATTGCATAATCCCGCCGAGAGTTTGAGTCTAGACATACGAGCTGGAAAGTCTGGACATGAGTCGCGCCATGGGTCGCGCCGCATCCGGATTCAGACCCAAATTGCATAGTCGCGCCGAGAGTTTGAGACTGGAAAGTCTGAACATACGATCTGGACATGAGTCGCGCCAAGGGTCGCGCCGCATCCGGATTTAGACCCAAATTGCATGGTCGCGCCGAGGAGTTTGAGTCTGGAAAATCTGTACATGAGTCGCGTCGTGGGCCACGAAAGTCTGGACATACCAAAATTTGGTCGCGAAAGTCTAGACATGGGTCGCGAAAACCTGGACATACTTAAATTTGGTCGCGAAAGTCTGGACATGGGTCGCAAAAGACTTTCGCGACCAATTTTTGGTAGGTCCAGACTTTCGCGACCCATGTCCAGACTTTCGCGACCAAATTTTGGTATGTCCAGACTTTTGCGACCAAATTTTGGTATGTCCAGACTTTCGCGACCCAAATCCAGACTTTTGCGACCAAATTTTGGTATGTCCAGACTTTCGCGACCCATGTCCAGACTTTCGCGACCAAATTTTGGTATGTCCAGACTTAGGCGGCCCACGGCGCGACTCATGTCCAGACTTTCCAGACTCATACTCTCGGCGCGACTATGCAATTTGGGTCTAAATCCGGATGTGGCGCGACCCATAAAGTCTGGACATGAGTCTGGGACCTCGACCCGGGAATGAGAGAAAACGAAAGAACAAAGGAAGATCAAAGAGGGCGTCCTTGTTGAAGAAATCAGCTAACAATTCATAAAAGTCACAGTTTGGCCTCCTAATGAAAATTACAGCGTTGAATGATGATACAAGGTCAAATTTCATTTCGCGCTTTCTTTTCTTAATCGAATCAATTGTTAAAAAAACTCATAGTTCGGCCCAGATAATATAACAACGCTGGTTGCTTTCTGAGCTTACAAACTAATACAAGCAAGGGTTTTTGATACAAATGAAATTTCACAATAAAAATGAGTTCCTACTACTTAGTTATTCACCCAAAGTAGAACTGGTTTCTCTCTAGAGAAACTTGTCGACCGACAAATCTTCGAGGCTTACGCAAAGATCAAACAGACAAATCGCATCAGCGTTAAGCCTAGATTGTTCCGCTTGCTCTTCATCACAATTGATTTCATTTTGCAACTACTGACAAAAAACTTAGATCAAACAGCCCATCTCATTTTAGTATGGAGGGATTCTTAGATGATTTAAAACAAGCACAAAAAGCAATCTTTAAAACTGTGTATACTTTATTAAACAAAAATTGGTCACAATAAAAAAATTTTTCAATTTGTTGAAATCTGGTCATCAATTTCTTATAGACTGTTTGAGAAGGTTCTTGAAAAAAAAACTAGCTGAAAAATTGTAATTTGTCTGACGTAAAAAACAACTGCGAGCGTAACTAATCCCCTAAGCGTTTTCCACAAGTTTCGGAACAAAAAACTATATTGAAGTTAAAGTTATTCAATAGTTTCCGCTGCAGAACGATTCAAGAAGTTGCTATACATAAGTTAGGGAACCGATCACACGTGAAATGTAAAGGCGGTCATGTAGCAATTAAAATCGGTAAAACCAATTCGCGTAGAACGAATCATGTCAAAAAGTTTGTCAGAAATCCTTTTTTTTTTTTCAAAACAGTGTTTGAATTCAGATCGACAGAGGTTCTAGAGCAAATGAAAAATGTTTTTAGAAGATTAGTTTCTGACTTCTCTGTTTGCGAGAATCAGATAACCGCCACTAGTGAAGCCATGATATGGCATGGATTTTGATTTTTTAATGACAGCAAATTATTACATCTAATCATTAGAAAATTGACACTTTTGACTGATTAGATGTCATTAAGTTATTTTTCATTGAAAACCATAGTACATAATTTGTCAAGATGAAGTTTGTGGCAGTTCTTCCTTGCTTGAGAAACAAACAGCTTTCCAAAAATCATTTGTTGTTAACTTCAGCGTTTCTGTGAATCGGAGTGATACCGTTTTTAAAAACAATTTTTGCGGAGATGAATTCGTATTTTTTGAGAAGGAGTTTGACAAAACTGACAAAATTCACAAATGCACTGTTGGCTAGACCAAAAGGCTTAAATTAACTATCTTGTGCCGTAATAACTATCAAAAAAGATAATAAAAAAGACTTTCTTATAATCGAAATGGGGCACTTCGACACTATAATCGAAATGGGGCACTCCAAGATAATATTTGGAGGAAAACCTGAAGTACCACCTGAGAAAAGTTGCGCCCGTCTAACAACCCGAATAAAACAACAATTTGAAGGACCTTTTCCGACAATTGACACATACAATAAAGCAAGAGGTGAATTGATGAGTTGAAGACTGAACTCAACTAAGGAAAATCCAATATTTCATCCTAGCGAAACACAAAACTGATCTTCATTATGCGCTCAGCGGCTGTTTTGCATACTATTCCTGTAAAAATAACCGAATTCTCAAAACCGAACAAAATCAAGACCAACACAGCTACAGTTTCCTTGACAAAAGCAAAGAAAAAATAAACAAAGTATTTTAAAAAGAATTGTGTCCGTTTTTCATGAGCGCGTTGGTCATAATGCCGAATTCAACGAAAAAAACTACCCGGCCCTAAAAGTAAACTCCCTCAAAACTTATTTGTTCGTGGATTTGTAAAAAAAAGATTGGCCAAAAATTGCGTTTAGATCATGAAAAAGCAATGCTTTTTAGTGAATTTGGCAATTCTTGGATTTGGAAATTATTTTTCAGAAGCGTAAATCCAAATAAAGTCTGCATTAAAATTTCACTGTTGTATTGAAATTAAGAATAGTTTTTATTCATTCAACCTTTGTTGATACACACAATTGAGATGTGAATTAAGAAAATTGATACGTGAAATCAATTTTTAAATTACAGATTGAAAAATCTTGGCTTAAAAACTAGTTGAAAAAACAAAACATGTCCAAATTTAAAAAAAACCGAGGAGAAAAATTGAGAGTTTAAGTATAAGTAGAAATTTGCACTGAAGGCCTAGTAGTTTCTCTGATAATTTGAAACTATGACCAACGCGTATATGAAACACGGAGTTTTTTAAGTTCGTTAATTTTTCGTTTGTTTTGTTTTTCTGTCTAGCTCAAGCTATAACTGGCTTGGTCTTGATTTCGCTTGTGTCTGAAATTTATGTTATTTTTATAGGAGTACTAAAACACGCTCATGGAAAATAGTTTTCAACCGTTCATTTTGCGACAAAAATGAGCCGATCTATACGTAATGCAAACTTTTGATATTATTTGTAACTGTGATACTGCTACTGCAAAAGCAGTAACGTGATGTAACCTTCACTGACTAATCTATTTGTATTATATCATTGTCTAAGGTCACTGTATTCAAAACCTTCGGTACACCGCTGAGAGATCAGACTAACATGATTTTATCACAAATTCATGAATATGAATTTGTGAAATGGTTTCAACAGATCAAAAATTCTGAAGTTTTGGTAATTTCGGCTAACAATAGTATCTGCTTGAAATTTTAATTGAAGAACCGTAAGCGTTGTTGAATTAGCCAATCAAATTCAACCATATACATTTTTAGTTCTAATTAGAAATATTAATTTTCGGCCGTTTAGTGCAGGCCCCGGATTTTAGATAAGTAAAAAAATCGTTTTTGTTAACTAAATAGTTGCTTAAAAACCATCCAATTAGTTGAAGAAAAGTTAATTAAACTCCCGTTATATGAAGAAAATAATTTTTTTCAACGAATTTTTGGTATAAAAAAGCGACTCTGAAAAAAACCGAGTTCTTCATTTACCGCGAAATTTTCAACTTTTTTTCTAATCTACAGCATCTAATCAACTCCCTCGCCGGGTGATCGGAGGCCTTAGTGAAAATGTCAATGCTGGCGACTAATTGTTGAAAAACTGTCGGTTTTCTGGAGAATTTCAACAGAATTAATAACAATAAAGCGCATCTCTCTGATTAGTTTGTTTCCTCCGTTTTCTCAGAAATAGTTACTTAACTATGAAAAACAGTTATTTAGGTAAATCCGGGGCCTGGTTTTTGTTCACATATTTATAGTACTTTTTTGTTCTACGTAGGCTATTTTGCTTGTAAATGCTCTGAACACACACACAAAAAAAAACAAATTTTCCTTACAAGTTTTATTCAAAAATTTTCGGTTTTTTCTTGCAGTTTGTTATGTAACTCAGTATAGTTTTTACATTAATTTCTAGAGACTACGATGAAAAAAAATTTGAGCAACTAAAACTAAAAGTGTAGTGTTTCCTAGTCGTGTTCAGTCAAGAATCTCCAGGCAAGAAAACCCAAAAAACTAGGGGCATTTTTGAATAAAATTTTTTACTGATGCTGAAAAAAACGAGGACCAAAAGTTTGAATCAATTTGCAAAAAGTTGGGCTGGTTCATCTCCTCTCATAAAAAAGGAGCCACTTCCGCCCGTAATTCCTAAAAAATGGGTTCTTTTAACTGTCCCATTAAATCAGAGAGACTAAAGTGGGGCTAACTTCAACCCAGGTTTTCTGGTACATTTTTTTGGTTTTCTAGGATAGTAAAACAAATTTTTCTCTGTGATAGTATACCATCCTCTGGTACAAAAACCTAGTTCTTTTGCGCTCAGGTACGTTTGAAAACGGACTTATATTTTCTAACGGCGATCTCTAGGACTCTAGTTTCTTTTAAGATACTTGATTGAGAACACCAATACGATAGAAGGCTTTGAGTTTGGATCTATGCTGAAAACAATTTTTATTAATATGATTATTATATCCATTTATAGACTTTCATGAAACAATAGATATAATGACGACATTATATGAAACTCAGAATGAGCCACAAAAGAGCTCAAACTGGATGTTTGCGCAAAATAAATACATGTTCAACTAAATTGCGTACCTTCATTACTATCAAAGTAGCAATATAAAAATTAACTAACAATTATCCGAAAATGCCGGATTCATCTTTCAATTTTTTGGCATTCAAAAGATGGGATTTTGTGGACGAGAACCTGAAGCAGCTCTTGAATGAGATCGTGCTGTCGGATAAGTCGGAGGGGGACGACCAATTTATAGACGCCCTCCGACAACTGTCGCAGATAGTAAAGCAAGAGTCGAAGGGGGGAGACTCGGAGAAGTGGACTCAAATCAGTAATGTCTTTCTTAAATTGCAAACTAACACGAAATATTATTGTTTTTTTTTGTTGAAATACGGAATTTTTCTACAAACAACTGTCCAATAAAAAGTTTTTACAGAAAATTTTACCAAACTTGCAAACACTAAAAAACGTATTGTTCTATTGTAATGAAAAGTTTGGCATTCAAGACAATCTCCCAATTCGACACATTTGGTCACCATACATAATGTTATACCCTCAGCCGTTAGGTGAGGTATACACTGTATAATCTCGTTGGTCAAAGTCTATGCTTAATCGCTAACTAAGAATTGGAATACGAAGAGATAGAGAGCAACTTAAATTCAGTTTAGAAAAGTTAAGTCTGGTCGACGCTGACCTCGAAGCATTTGAGATACAGCGTTTCATAATAACTAATACATATGTTGTTAGGTATAGATAGATACTTATTTAATACGCAGACTTCTATATGTATTATGTAATCAGTTAGGTTTATAATATGTAAACATTACCAACTGGTAGTTTTAGCACCTAATTGTACATTGTTTATAAAGGGATGTTTTACTACAATATCCGTATGGATAACATTTCCCTCCTTGCGAGAAATTGAGCTTTCAATTTAAGGATTTTCAAGATCCTCCGCCTGGTTTGTGGACTTTTGTGTATCTCCTTCTTTTTCTCTCTGAAAGGTCATGGAATTTCCTCTAATTGGGCTGATCGATTGCAGGAAATTCATAGCGTCCTCAAAGTCTTTACCGAAAGAGTCCTCTGTGATCTTTTGGTTGTCTAGTATGTAACGTGAGCTTGTGGTTCTTGGTGGTGTAACGGTTGTGGTTGTTTCGCGGGCGTTTTCAGGCGTATCGGTACTCATATGAACTTCTGTACAAACTATTTCCTCTGACGTTGCCACTGATGGTGATAGGCATACTGTGGTCTCTTTGTTTATCGTGGTTTGTTTGTCGCATATGTCAATTAGATTGGAGGTGTTAGGTTCCTTTGATGTAATATCCTCCGTATTTGTATGTTCGATGGTTGCTACCATGCCTGACATTTCTGTATTGGTAGATATGTGCCCAATTGGAATGGCGTTGCCGAATTTTCCGGCTAGCGTGCTTGTTCTTGCTCTTGTCGATCTTCGAAGTTCCGGCGAGTTTGTTTCCGGTGTGGATTTTCGATCAATTCTTTTGGCTGCGGGTTGTTTACTTGGAGATGGGGTTTTATGGTCGAGCTCTGTATCCGATGAAAGTGAAATCGAGGTGTCACAGTCGAATTCGATCGTTGCGGGGTCGGCTTTAGCTTTTTTCTTTGGGCTGATTGTTCTCTGTGGTACCGATTTTGCCGGGAGGCGTTGCGTGTCTGGTTTGCTCCTGTTGCGGGCATTCTTCTGATTTTTTGATGTAAATGTTGATAATAATTTTTGTGGGCCTAGAGCTCGTCTGTTTAGCGTTTGTTGTAGGACTTCTTGAGTGGATTTTGGAGGTGGCTTTCTGGGACTTGTCGTTGATTTTCCTTCTGGTCTTCTTTGTGCCCCCATGCTAGGTGACTTTGGTCCTAAAATACGCGGTTTAGCTCTTGGTAGGTGTTTATAAGCGACAAAGTCCTTCAGTGCCGCTGGTCTACATTTACCATAGACTCTTGGATCCGGTATGAATGCAAGACCGTCGTGTCTAATTAAGCTAGGTTGCTTCCCGTCTTCCCTTATCCACGCAGTATGTGGGGAGTAATTCAATATTGCGCCATTTTCAATAATTTTGAATTGTGCCCCGAATGTTCCCGCATTTTTAGTTTTTCTCGCTATTGTTCCCGTTTTCCTAGCGACCTGTTCTAGACGTAGTCCTGTTTTAGGATCTATGGTATGTGCTGGACCCTTAAAACGATCCTTCAGGAATACTAACGGGGCTCTTCGTAAATTTTCCTTTTCTTGTCTTGTTAAGAGTCTTATGGGGTTACGTGTTCTTAAATTTTCCAAGTTATTAGATTTTTCTTTTAGAAAAGATTCCTGGAGTGATCTGGCTTCATAAGGTTTGTTTGATAAAGGTAGATGCGCACCTATTGGGAATTTCTGGAGTAGTCTCCGGTCGAATTCCTCATCGCTACTGTCGAGTGTTACTGCATCCGTGTGTGTGAGTACATCCGGTTGGTGGTTTGCTCGTCGTTTTCCAGATGTTGTGCATGTGCCATGATGAGCCTCGGTTGTGTTTTGTTCCGCGTTGCTTTTTTCTGGTGGAGCCGGGTTGAAAGTCGGTTCTGGCACGTATTGGTGATCTGATGTGGGCTTCTGCTTGTATTTTAGGTCCAATTCGTCCTCGCTGTTGACCTCTCTGTTCCACATTGTTTCCGCCGACAACGCTGGTTTTGTTAGTACTTTTTCGTCTAAACATGACAGTTTCGTATTTTCCCACGAAAGGTTTGACAATTTTGACGATGTGCTGAGATTACTTAGGGGTGTATTAGCTTTTCTACCATAGTGAGATTCAAATGGTGTAACTTTTGTAGAAGTGTTAGGTGTAATACGGAGTGTTTTTATTAATTCAGCCACGTCTGATGCTAATTTATACGGACGATTTGATTTATCGATCTTCATAATTGCTAATCGCGATTTTAATGTTCGTATGAGCCTTTCGACCATACCTATAGCTCGATGGTCGTCCACCGGTGCGAAAATTAGTTTTATATTATGCGCTTTACAATAAATGCGGAACTTTTTGGCCCTGAAACCTTGTGCTTGGTCGCATCTGATTGCACGGGGTACGCCCTGGTTGACTATGTGGTTTTGCATAAAGCGGATGATTGTATCCGCTTTGTTATTGGTAACAACTTTTGCGTACGGAAAACGTGAGAAGCGATCGACACCCACCAATATGTAAACTTCCCTATCGTTTTCATCCGGTAAGGGTCCTGCAAAATCCAATTGGATTTCTTCATTCGGTTCTACCACCGCGTCCAGTGTTGTGTAGTGTTGTTTACCCGAGATAACTTTAAAGTTCTTACCCTTTTCCCGGCAGTTTTTGCAGTTCTGGGCAGTTGCCACAATGTCTCGGTGGAGGTACGGGTACCACACATGTCTTGCAGCTTCTAGCATTCCACCTTGTCCTGGATGTGTGAGGTGTAATGCATCCATTAGTGTGGGTCTGAGCTGTTTTGGTATGACGACACGGTCGTCGTAGAGCAAGATATTTTCCCTGACTGATAGGCGATGTCTCACATTATAGAAGTAAGGACCGTAGCAGCTTTTGATCGAGTCCCATTTCTCCTGTTTAACCATGGTTAAGAGCGGTGATAGATTTCTATCTCGTTTGGTAGCGGCTGCTAGAAAGTTGACGTCCATTACTTTCCGTAAGTTCTTCCGGAACATTGGGGTGTCTTCTTCTTCGATGGTGGCGATTGTTTGGCATTCTGTGTCTTGTTGTGTTGATTGACTGTTTCCGGCTTGGCACTCTGTGTCCTGTGATTGTTTGAAATCATCCAGCGTCTGGCAAATTGCATCAGTCTTTTCATTCTCAATTCTGTTGAAGGTAAAGCTTTCTTTCGAGGGTATGACCTGGTGTGATACGTCACTGAATGTTAGTTCTGGCGGAGGTGGTTTAGATAGAAGGGCGTTAAAAGATGCGTAATTGATGGGCGAAAAAGTGAGTTGGGTTTGGGCTGAATTGTGAGACTTTCTTGTTATGCGACGAAAAGGAGGTAATGACATGCCTTGTTGCAGTTGTCGATTCATTTCTTTTTGCTTGTTGAAATTATGATCAATTGAACTGGAGTTAAATTGAGAGCGACTTGTTTTTAGCAATTGACTAGGAAGAGTGAACGCAGTTTGTGTTTGAACCGAATTTGAACGTGCGAAGTTTTCGTTCCGGTCGAGCTTTTTGGTGCCTAGATAATTACTTGTTTTGACATTATTCCAAACGGAGTTCATACTACTGCTATCTTGGAATTCTACGCATTTCACGAAATCATCTATAAGTGCGACTACGAAGTTTTCGTCCCAGTACGCCGGGGGTTGCGGTTTTCCGACCGGGTGTCGCGAGATGTAGTCAATAAGACCCATTTTACTACCGGCCAGGTGGTGTATATCGAAATCGAATGGAATGAGCCGATCAATCCATCTAGTTAACCTACTCTGATAGGTTTTATTGCCCCTATTACTCTTTAAGGCACCAACTAGTGCTTGATGGTCTGTTATTAAGGTAAAGCGTCTACCGTACAGATAGTACTTGAAGTGTTCAATGGCCCATACTGCGGCCAAAAATTCGAGTTCATTTACCGAGTATTTCTGTTCGCATGAATTTAGAAACCTTGATGAATACGCTATGGTGGCCCAACCATCTGGTGTGTTTTGTTCAAGGGCCGCGCCTATTCCTTCACGGCTGGCGTCACAAACAATACGAGTGTCCCTATCACTTACAAAGTGTCTGTTTTCCGTAATATTCTTTACGGCATTTAAGATATTTTTGAAAGCTTTTCCATTTTCTTCATTCCAATGGAAATTAAATTTGTTGGCTGTAGACAATAGTGGTCTTAGCGGGTTGCATAATTGAGCTAAATTTGGAATGAACTTGTTTAGGTGATGAACCGAGCCCATGAAACTTTTCAATTGCTTGAATGTTTTTGGATAAGGTAGATTTATTATCGCATCCGTCTTCTTATGCATAGGTGTGGTGCCGTGTTCATTTATGAGAAATCCCAACCATTCTACTTCCCTACAGCCGAATTTACACTTGTCGATTGAAATAGCCATGTTTTCCGTATTTAATTTGTTCAAAACATTGGTCAATTTTTCAATATGTTGCTCTTTTGTGCCATGTGATATTATTAAAATATCATCTAGAAATGCGAAAGTGTCTTTCTCATTGTTGAGGGTTAGATCGATGGCTTTTTGAAATGCTGCGGGCATATCCGTTAGCCCGTAGAAGCCAGTTTGGAACTGATATGTTCCCGTGGCCTTTCCCCCAATTATGCTGAAGTTACACTGCGTACGAGTTGTTTCATCCAATGGCAGTTGACTGTACGCATAGCGTAGATCGATTGTCGAGAAATAAGTCGTACCTGGTTTATTTGTACCTTCCTGTGCCGATTGTGCGATATTGTCTAACAGAACGTCGATATTTGGCATCTGGTACTTATTTTTATGGATCGATTTATTAATTTGTTTAGAGTCCATGGCTAATTTGATGGATCCATCTTTTTTAACAGTGATCACAATAGGGCTTATGAATTGGTTGTCATTGCATTTTTCAAGTCGAGTGATGTGGCCTTGGTCAATTAATGATCTAATCTCATGTTCCACCTTTTCTTGTGTATGAATGGGAATGCGGCGCCCCCGTTGTTGTAAGGCCTGGAATTCAGATAAAAATTGTGTATGAACCATATGGTTTTTTGAACGTCCGATTCGTGTACACAGTCCCGGGTACGTGGTTCGGACCCACGTTGCAATTTGTGCGTCTGAGTTTTCGACACTGTTAACTTGTAGTACTGACTTACCAGCTGGGTTTTGTTCTTGATGTAGCTGGATGCCAATTAGCGGGAGAAGGTTGCGCCCCAAGACGTTCGCGCGTCTGTCGTCCACCACAATAAAAGACGCTGTTTGGATAGTCCAACCTCCCGATTCGATTGGGGCAGTCAGTCTTCCAAGGGATGGGATTTTGTAGCCATTGTAGCATACCATTTTGTTAGCTTCATCGTCATCCCTCATTGTTGTTCTTACTGCTGACGTGATTGTCGTAGCCAGTAGGTTGGCTGTTTTTTCGTTTACGAACGATGTTGGTGATCCTGTGTCGGCAATAAAAACGATGTTGTTTTTCCCCGAGCGCACCCGTATAAGGTGTCCTTTGAGATCTGTGTCAAGTAGTTGTTCTGCCCGTCTTGGTTCAAAATTTATCCAGTTTGTGGATGTATCGTCCGGATGGATTAGTTCCCACCCCGGGATAACGTCACCCGCTTGTAGATAATTGACGTAGGCTGTCATATCGGTGCTTTGAAGGTCTTGTTGTTGTTGATTCTCCTCTTGAATTGCGTTTACCTCGCTAGATTTACACAGTCTTGCGAAATGGCCCCTCTTGGTGCACTTGTTGCAAATTTTGTCACGCGCCGGACATTGGGCTAAATGAGTTGCTGAAAATGCGTTTCCGCATTTGAAACAATCTTTTCTCTGTCCGGCCTTTTCCGAATAGTTCCTTGACGTTTGTCCTCCTCTGCCACGTCCACCTCGCTGTTGAGATTTATATCCACCCCGCTTTTGGACGAAGTTTACCTGTTCGGATTTTATATTCGGCAATCCGGTATGACTACTTGAAGTTCCCTGTTTTCTTATGTAAACTTGGTTCTCGAGAACTTTTTCGCGTTTCATTGCGTAGTCCAATGCTTGTGCGGGTGTTTTTGTTTCGGCGAGAAGGTCCTTTTGAACTTCGTCGTTTGACATGTTTGCCGTAAATAGATCTCTGACTATTTCGGACTCCAGGCCTACGTCGTTGCATGCCGTGCATTTGAAGTTTCCTTTTACCACAAGTTCCGTAAGTCCGCAGTGGAATTCTTCCAGGGATTCCGTTTTCCCCTGTTTGCGTGTAAAAGCTTCGTACCGATCGAATGTTACGTTGCGTTCTTTAACAAACAGTCGTGTTAGGAGTGTCCAAAACTCTTTGGTGGATGTATCTTGAATTTTAAGATTTGGATAATATTGTGTGAGTCGTCTTTGGCCCTCCGTCCCCAAACACAAATATATGTAACTTCTGCATTTGATATCGGCTTCCTCCCATGGTATGCCGTCGACGGTGGGACCGAGGTTATCCAGATGTTGACATTGGTTCTCCCATGCTACACGTTTTTCTTGGTTACGTAGGTTTCGATCGCGTATTTGTTTGTCTGTTTCCCCATCTATATTGAGCTCATAGCCTGGTTCTTGGGGTTTCCGAACAGCTGGGGGGTTGCGTAGGAGTTTGTTCAAATTCATACCATCTTTGGCGATGATGCCAAGAAACAGCTGCTGGTTCCATTTGTCCCACTCTACTGGTGGTTCCGCGGACGCTTTCTGCCAAAACGGCGTAATCCCCAATGGATTCTTGGTGAGTGCTGGCTGCGCCATGTTATACCCTCAGCCGTTAGGTGAGGTATACACTGTATAATCTCGTTGGTCAAAGTCTATGCTTAATCGCTAACTAAGAATTGGAATACGAAGAGATAGAGAGCAACTTAAATTCAGTTTAAGAAGTTAAGTCTGGTCGACGCTGACCTCGAAGCATTTGAGATACAGCGTTTCATAATAACTAATACATATGTTGTTAGGTATAGATAGATACTTATTTAATACGCAGACTTCTATATGTATTATGTAATCAGTTAGGTTTATAATATGTAAACATTACCAACTGGTAGTTTTAGCACCTAATTGTACATTGTTTATAAAGGGATGTTTTACTACAATATCCGTATGGATAACACATAACTTGAAGTCACTGCAGGGGGGGGGGTTTATAACCCCGATTTAAATACAAACTATAGTTTGCTTGATAACTTGATAAAAACAGCTTACGCTGCATTCGATGATGCATGTTTTTAACGGAATTTTTGACCTGGACATTGCTGTATTTGTCGCTCAGTTGACTTCCTGCAGACTATGGGACTTGTTCATGTTTTGGACTCCTTCCTCGAAATGTATGACCCAATCGAGGACACGAGTGTATACCTAGCACTGATCAATTTACTGTTCGCATTCGGAGACAACATCAACAAAGTGTTCCCCCACTTGTACGAGTCGCCTCTATTCGCAAAGAGTTTGGGCGCCCTTGACAGGTTTCTGGACGACTGTGACGAAGTTAATGCGATGATGTCCGAAACAGCTATTAAAACATTCCTCAATGTTTTCGAGAAGATTTTGAAAAATGACCCCCAGTCCAAACTGAAATTCCAAGAAATGAATGGAGTTGAAATTCTGATGAAATGCATGAACATTATTTCCGAAGACAATTCGATCAAAATATCTGCCATGTTAAATCTAGCAATATCGTCGGATATGAGTGATGAGTACTCAACTGAAATTTTTGGAGTTTCTGAAACAGCTCTGAAGAATCTTTTCGACAATATTCTTTTATATGCCACAACTACAACAACCAACACCAACGATTTCACAAAGTACATCGATAATGGTTACAAAACTATGGAAATTGTTCAATTTTTTGCGAGAAGCGAATCAAATTCGGCTAAGTTGGTTCACGAAACTAATCTGCTTGATTTGATTGAGGTCATTTTCAAATCAGAGCAAGACAAAGGTGACATGGTTAAGAAAGGACTGGGTATTTTATGGGAGTTGAGCTTCGAAAAAAGCAACAAGCAAACGATATGCGACAGAACAGCACTTATGAAGTTGTTAGACGAACTGACAAATGCAGTTCGTGAAGGAAATGAATCAGAGTCGAATTTAGCGAGGAACATTCTTTGGCAGTTATCACAAACACACAATTTAAGTCAAGGTAGGTGACCTCAATCACAAATCAAACTTAAAATGTCGCCATTTACCTTTTTAGACAAATCTTTTTAGCTATTCAACAACATGCAAATCTGAAAAAAAACTTAGTAAAACGAACTTTTTAAATAGTTCTTGTGTGGTTTATTACTTAAGCAAGAGCGGAGCAGTAGTTTATAGACAAGTTTTCTTGTTTGTTTGAATTTACCAAGTTTCAAAAGAAACTACAGAATTATTTTACAAGGAAGTGATTCGAAGTTGCCGCAAGAAATCTCTCCGAGCTCAGAAGGCAATCAGCTTCCCTCCGACATTTTGGAGCAACCCGGATCCTCACCTGTAAACCCAGGGACAACATTAATCTCCAGCCAACATGTAATGATAAGTTACTCCTGGGCACAGCAGGACCTCGCCTTCAAACTGCAGAGGTACCTGGAAAAGTCGGGATTTCGGGTTTGGATTGATGTTGAACAGATGCAAGGATTCCTGTGCGAGCGCATGGCAGAAGCAGTGGAAGACGCTTTCGTAGTGGTCATGTTGGTTTCAGAAGACTACCGAGTGAATCATGCTTGCAAATCAGAGGCGAATTATAGCTACCAGCTTAAGAAGCCATTAGTACCTGTAATAGCCCAGTCCAACTACATGCCGATGGGAGGCTGGCTCAGCTTCATGATCGCAGGCATTCTCTACTACAAAATGTACAATGACATCAACTTCGACCAAAATTTCCCAAAAGTGTGTCAATATATAGCTAGCCTACAAAAGGGGCCAAATAACAATGAGCAAATTAAATCATCAGTATCACCAGAAACTCAAAATTGCGCGCATGCACAAAAATTACCGATTGCTGCTGAAAACGGTACTGCAGATATAAAAAACACATCAAGCAACATACTTGTCAATGGAAGTCCTGCTTATAATTACTCAAATACTACACAGAAGAATGGAGAGAGTCAAGGGGTTGAAGAAATTGACGTCAGTGATCAAGTAGTTTTAATAAAAAATGAGACAGTGGAAACGGGTACTGTTGTGAATGAAGATAGAACGACGACTGCTAGTGAAGTCGAGAAAGAGGGAGCTGCGAGAACAGCCTCCACAGGTGCAACGGACTCCGAAATTGAACTGTTGATCACGTCCAGTGTAGACGAAGAGAACCGATCAAGCTGCTGTAATTGTTGCTCGATTATGTAAACATTTGAGAATTTTTATGCACGAACTTTTATAATAAACAAGACTGCTCGTATATCAGGGCAAAGCCCTGATTGTTCCGACGGTCCCGCAACTTATATCAAATAGTTTTTGAGATAAGGAAATAATGAAAACCTATCATCTTTGGACAATATCTATGTGTGAAGTTTTGAGTTGTACGAAATTAATACGACCAATTAGCTACCCTCAATTCAATTGGGAACAATTTTGTTGTGCAGGATAAGTCGCCACGCATAAATAATTCGAGTTATTCTCTCAGCATTGTGAACAAACTCTTCAAAGCGCGCATAATTTAGTCCAGAACATTGCCAATTTGAAACCCCCAGAACTTTAAAAAAAAACTTTTTACATTTGAACTCGGGAAATCAATATCTTCAATGGGGTATAAAAAGTTTTTGTTGAAAACTTTTATTTCGATCGGCAAAAATTGACTGAATAAAAAAAACCTATCGAGCATAAATATTCCGTTTTCTTCGAAAGTCGGAACAATAATCCGAGTTCAATACACATAGGAAAGATTAAAAAATCCGCATTTCAAAGTTTTCAAGCCATTTTTCATCGAGTTTGCAAGTTAGCCAAATTTAAATTTCCCACGTCTCCGCAACAAATGTAGGCGATAATTCCCGAGTCGAATTTTGTTATTTATATTCTGACCGAGTCGTTTCGAACACATGGCAGAGTTCAGCCGAAAATCCATTGTCCAGTCGGTCCAAACATAAAATTTAAGACAAGGTCGAAATATAAAAATCGAACACCAAGTCGAATCGTAAAGCCAAACACAAAGTCGAAACATAGAGTCAAAGAAGAAGTCAAAAAATAAAGTCCAACACAATCTGACAGCAAAGTCGAACTCAAAGGCGAAACTTTAAGTCGAGTCGGTCGAAACTTTAAGTCGAGTCGGTCAAAACAAAAAATCACCAGGAATTTGATGTTTTGTCGTAATGCTTTCTTACAAAACTGTGACACAGTTGCAAATAGTAAAATAAATCAGTATTTATGTATTTGAATGTGCAGCTAGCTAGACCAACATATCTACGGACCATACACAGGACCGCAACATAAGGCTTACACATGGTCCCAATGTAAACTTAAAGCATTTTTTATGTAAAGAAAAAATCGCAACCAAACAAATGCTGAGAAATTATCAAGCCAAACATCAAATATTTAAATTAAAACGGCAGCAATTGAATAATCATAATAAGTAAATAACAAATAGCTTATCTTAACTAGAAGCTGTTAACCATAATCTTACGTCAAAATTTGAAGCCTTTGTAGTAATTTAAGGTATTCGACAAAAACATTGTTGTATGTATTCTCAGCTCAAGCTAATTTTTGCAGCGTCAAAACTTCGGTTGCTTAAAATGATTATCGTGAAAAAAAAAATTGGAGGGAAAGCTGCTTTTACATTAATTATTAAAAGCAACTGAAAATTTAACTCTACACAAAAATACATTGAACTGAAAGCTCATAAATCAATTTTTTTAAAAAAAAATTCCTTCCAAAAAGCTTGGACGGTTTCAAATGTCGACACAGGATGGTTTGTGAATAACAGACTGACTTCTATCAAGAAAAAAAGCAATAAAGCGAGGTTTATCGTGGTTTTATTGCTTAATTTCTAACCGCAGCTTACCGCACCAATGACTTTTTTTAAGCTATGGTAAATTCTCAACTGAACTGCAGCCTTAAGATATATGTGTTCCCAATTTTGAAGAAATTAACAGCATATTTAATCTCGGTGTGGCTTTTTTATTCAGACAAAAAATTACTTTTTAAATGACTTTATTCGACGGACTTCTTATATCAAGCAAAAAACATCAACATCTTGAATTCAAAAGCTGTTTCAACGGTGATTGTTTTTTGTGAAATTGTGGGATTGAAAATAGCTGTTTGAGTTAATTAATGTGCGCAAAGTTTCGTGTGTTCTGCCGTAGCGCAGCAAATGCGGTAAAAATTATATAGTTCACTCATTTGGTCTAATCAGAGATTTTGACTTACGAAGAACTGAGAAACTCAGATGCTTGATGTTTTTCACTTAGCAGTCCAAAAATGGAGGTACCAAAATATTCGCAATCAAAGACTATTTGAAACTAGTTAACGCGGAAAATTAAAGACAGTTGGAAAATCCAGTGGTTTGCCCTTATCTTTGAGCAGTCTTGATGGTTTATGTTCAAAGAAGCTGCATCGTGTTTACTTGTTAATTATATCTATTTTTTGAAAAAGAGCGGCGTGTCTTAATTCTTTTTCGTTTCTATTTTTAAAAAATTTTGAGCTCGATGTGCATTTTTTTCAGACAATTTTCGACGTTTACAGCATCTTCTAAAGAAATTTTTTTTTATCTGGAACTTTTTGATGTCTAGACCTCAATTTAAAAAAAAATTATTTTATCTATGCTCATTATTGTACAATTATGCGCGTTTAGAAAAAAAAACAACTGGGGACAATGGACACGCAATATAACTCGAGCAATTAACGCGTTTGCGGTTATTTGATCCAGCTCAGTAATCGTTTCAAAAAAAATAGCCTGCACCATTAAAAACTCAACAAAGATCTTTTGAATGCTACACAGAAGCCAAGTTGTCAAAGGAGTCCTTTCTGCGAATTTAAGCAGACAAAAATAAAAAGACATACAATAATCTAAATTAGCCAAAACCTCAACTGGAAAAACAGGTCACAACTGGAATCGAACTTCCGAGCTTTGCCGTCTCTAGCATTAAGGTTATAGCAACTTGGAATAAAGCTGAACCATTGAGCTACGGGATCTAACCCGAAAAAAAAATAAACAGACGAACTATAGTCCGAAAAAGTACAAAAAAGTTAGCAAAAAAAGGACCGGCCGGATTCGTACCCCAAATCTTTGCTGTCTCAAGCAGTTATTTTTATCTCTACGTCAGATGCGCCGAATGGTTGACTGGATTGACTTTAAAATTACCAAGCGGTAACAAAGCCGAAAAAACCTGAGCAGAAACCCTTCATGCCGAAAAAAATTCAACATTTTCATAGGTTTATAATTTTTTTAAAGTCCCTCAGAGCACATACATGCGCAAAAATAGCCCAAAATTTTTTGAAACGGAACAATTACCGTTTGAAGAAAACAGGTTTTGGTCAGATTCAAACTCAGGACCTTTGCCGCCCTAGGCGTATTCGTTACCACCATGCTAAGCGTGCAAAAGACACTACGAATTTTGAATGCATTATGAATCAAGGTACCATCAGGAGTCCAATGAATCCTGTGGAAAAAGAGTTTACGGAAAAAAGTCTTGTACCCGGTTGCAATTCCCTTGCTATCGGAAGGGTAATGATTAGTCTCGTTGGTTTTGAAGATAGGTCTGTTAATTAATGACGCCTGTTATTGCAGAGCGTCTTTTTCTTACAATTGTGACAATACTGACAGAGAAACAGGCTATCAAACTCTGGCGAACGGAATGAAAAACCCTTTAAGTGAGCCGAAAAATTATTTAAGGAGCCAATACTTGCCTGGAGAACACACCAAACCGATCTCATTTTACGGTACTTTCTTAGTGAGTCGGATCAAAAAATCGGACCGCTTTATTTGACATGATCAAGTTCAATGATTTTTTAACAACCGAAGAAGTTAAATTTGGCGAGCGAGTTAAACTATTTAAATAAAACTAATCGAGAAATCAATTGTGCAGCACCTTGTTTTCTAGCTTGAATCAGCTATGAACAAAACATATTTACCGACTCTTAATTAATGACCATCTACAGACTTCATATTGAGTTGTTCTTGAGTTGGAACGTGAATTGAAATTTTCTGTTGAATAATGTATTTTCGCGAAAACTAATGACGCTTACTCAGCTCAGAGAGAACATATTCTAGAAAAATTATTTAAACTTCGCAAAAAAAAAACAATTCGAAAATATATAGTAGTTAAGTACTTCGACTACGTATCGCTTCTTTTAAAAAATTTTGAGAGTATTTGTTAGATTACTATGGCAAAATAACATTATTGATCCTTGATAGGTAAACCTAGCTTTCAATTATACTAATTAATTATAAAACTAATATTATACAGGGGCGAAGCTGCACTTCGAAACACTAGCAAGAGCACGACAAAAAAGCAACTCTATAAAGTGCAAAAAAGTTAGAAATAATCCTCGTAGAAATAAGTCTCGGGATCGATCTGCGACCTACATATTATGAGTATCATGCACTAACCACAGACGCTTAATTCATAACACACTAGCCACATATAAAGCAGAGAACAGATGTTGTGAAATTCCTATGCTACAGATCGTGATTATAGCATAAGAGCCACCAAATAAATGACCACTTTTAATGAACTTTCATTTGCACGTTAGGTTGGAAGAAAGAAGGTCCGCATTAATACAGTACGCCCGCAAGTGTTAATGAAAAATATGGTTAAATGAATTGATCTTTCTGGCTGTGACTCCTTTGGTAACTACTAAAATGCCTTAAAAACAAAAGTATCCACCAATTTTTCAGTTAAATTACATAGCTTTTTTTCAAATATCTTTATGAAAACCAAATCACGAGTGCGAGCTTTAAAAAATTTGCAAGTGAATCACTTGCAAACTGCGATAAAAATACCAACCCTAGACAATGGTTCCTTTCAACGCTTTGAGAATCATCGATTAAAAAAATATACTTCATTTACTAAGCAAGTATTTTTTTACTTAAGCGTAAATTGATCCCAGGTTCACTTATTCACTTAGCCTAAAAAATTAGACAATCTTTTTCTTAACACTGATACTCTATTTTGTGAAAAAATTCAATACATCTAAGTTCAAGACTGAAAGGTCTTTATTGTGATACCTTAGCGTCCCCATACGATCCTTCTTTCAAATAAGACCACAAAAATTACCGAGATACAAGGAAAGACCCCAAACTCAAACTACTTGAACGAGTCGAAATTAACTTACTGCTTATCAAGCTTACTTAGAACCCATAACCAAAAAATTGATCAAAACAGAAAATGCTATTCTTCTTTTTAAGGTAAATTTTGAAGTGATTTGAAAGAATCAGCGAAATATGTGACTGAAACATTCTATTCCCTTTGCAAATCTGACGTTACTAAAGTGATCGCCTTGCCTCTCCGCTGTTTCCATACAGTCGATTTACTTTAATTCATAGAAATTTCAATAAAACAGGCATATGTTCATATTTAAAAACAATTCACGATAGATCAATTTGCATCAATAAACAAGAACTCAGTTTCAAAGTCATAAGTTCGCTTCCTTCAAAGGCAGTCTGAATAATCGACAACAAACAATCTATTCATGGATTCAACCATGGTTTTCAACTGTTGTGCATTTGGTCGACTTTCAGCTTTCATGTTCCAGCATTTTTCAAATATATCCTTCAAATTTCGGGTCAACTTCGCGTCACTGGGGACAAACGGCTGCATGCCCAAATCTCCAACCTGCCTTTGCATCTGCCTCAAATTTAAATGTGAAAAGGCCATTTTTGCGAAAACAATTTCGTAAATAACCAAGGACACCGAAAATATATCGGCTCGTTTAGACATAGCGTAATTGAGGAGTTCACCTCTTAGTACCTCCGGGGCCGAGTAAAATGGAGTTCCGAAATACTTGATATAGTCAGAAGCGTCCGCTGAAGTTTCACCTTCTCTTCTCATTAAACTCAGCCCAAAATCTGTCAATTTGGCACATATTCTCCTTCGATCAGTCTTCACTCCGTTCAACAACACGTTGCTCGTTTTCAGATCACAGTGAGCTGTTTTGTTCGAATGCAAGTAATGCAACCCATTCACTATCTGCTTGATTATATTAACACGCTCCGCTTCTGAAAATTGGACCATTTCATCCTGAACATGCAAGGTCTCGAACAGACTCGTTTCCATGAGCTCCATCACAATCCAGTATTTCTGTCTTTCCATGCAGGCGCCGTAGAACTGGACTACATTTTCATGATGGAGGTTGCACAGAAGCCCCACTTCGCGTATGAACAAATCCAATTTACTGTGAGCAATGACAGCTGAGTCCATACTTTTCACCGCAACTGGCTTCCTCTCCGGGTTCCATTTGCCCCTACGCACTTCTGCGAAGCCCCCTGAGCCAATCACTTCTCCCAGCTGGATGCGAGATGAGTCGATCAGGACGAACTTGCTGTCCCGGAAGAGTGATTTGAAGTACTCTTCGCGGTTTTCACTGTCGAAGTTCCTAGTCCTGTTCCAGTCCGAAGGGTTTTTGTAGCTATTACAGATTCGCGGCAACTCTTCTTTCCATTCAGTTGATCCAGTGCCCTAAAACAAGGCGATAACTTTAGAAATTTGACAATAACTGCAGTCCAGATCGACTGGAGAAATTATGTCACTTAATAGAGAGCAGGAGAAGATTCCTTCTCTCCCGTCTGAAGAAAAATGTTTTTTTTTTGTGAATCGGGTGATAGTCAACTCTTCTGAGCTATTGTGCCCGTACTAATTTATCATCAGTTTGCTTGCTTTGATATCAATAATCATGAAAGGGAGTTGTTGGGGTGTTTGGGGAAAGGGAGTCATCACTGAGTATATAATTGAGTTCTATCATTTCTGGTGGCGAGGTGAACGGATTGAGTGACTAATAGTTTCAGTGGCGAAACTTGTTCAGCATCAATTACACTTTACCTCACACTGTTCGTTTTTTGAATGAACATGCTCCTCTTCAAAAATCTCAACAGCCACTGACTCTGACAGCGTTAGCTTCACCGAGTTAGCTGCTGTAGCTGAACTTGGCTTCATTTTCTCACACACAGTCGCAGACACTACATAGGTATCATTTAGACTGTCTCCGCCTCCATTTCTACCATGTTTCGTCCCCCACAGGTCATAATACTCATCATCATCTCCATTTGATATTATCGATTGCAAAATACTTTGAAACAATTTTTCACCCTCCTTTTGATGATTTCGTGTACAACCTTCCTCTAATTCAGTTGCATGTTCTTGTTTCCAGTAACCAAACTTGACATTTGCGTCGCTAAAACTGTTCACTTCTGTTTGCGTTGCTACTGCATCCACTGCTTGAGCTTTTTTGCCTTTTTCTTTATTAAAATTAAGAACATCGCCATAGAAAGACGAATTAGTTTGTGTGCTCTGATTTAAAACACTCGAATATGACTTTTCGATGAATCCAGAATCAACCTCACCTACATAATCATTTTTGGATCTGCGTAGCTTCCGAAATCCAATTTGGGATAGATTTGGCACTTGGTTAGACGACGATTTGGGCGCGAACGGGACGTAGGGCAACCCGACTCGACATAGTAGCCTGTTTTTCTCATTGTCCACATAATACTTCACATACGTCGATTTCTCATTCATGCTATGGTCACTTTTTGAAACATCACTTGAAAAACTATCGCTTCTTCTAACAACCTTTGATCCATACGGCAACCCTACCCGGCCTATTTTGCGGTTGAAAGCATTGTCGACGTAAACTCTGGACGGATTTTCATCTCCACTTGATTTTTCCTCGGTACGTGATTCATCAGCTAACTTTTCTTCATTCGATGAACTGATTTCTCCTTCAATAAAACGTACTCTTGTGACTTTTGCTTTTGATTCAATTAAGTTATTATTCCTATCCATCTCTTGACTTGTATTCGTGCTTGCGTCTCGTTTCTGCATCGAAAAAGAGTCCGAACTCATCGTCAGCTTTTGACCACTGTCCGATTCAAGCGAGAGGTCTGTGAGCTTCTCGTTTTCAGACATAGATTCTGACCTGCTATCCTGTGCCCTACTACTGCTACTTCCACTGGTACTCGGAACATACGAGGGATCGGAGCTGTGGTCTGAGGAAGAGTAGGAGGAAGAATAGATATAATTGTGCGGATAGGGAGTGGCCTGGTGGTCATCTGCTATGGACTCACTCGACACTTCCACTCTGCCCAGTCTCTGGTCCATTTAAAAGTCCCGCAAACCCTAACTGAAAAAATTACCCACTACTTGTTTATAAAATCGCCGACTAATGAGCAGGAATACCTAGAATTGAGCAAAAAAATCATGCAGTAAGTTAGTGCAAAATGTAGATTCTGATTGAACGAAAAAAAACTTTAAACCAATTGAACAATTTTTCATCTGAAATTAATTAGCATGTAGGCTTATTCACTTAAGCCGACGTAATTTTTAGTGCTTTCTTACAGCTTAAAATCGATGTGTTAGAAAGAACTTTTTACCCATCCTAGTATAGCTGGATTCCTTACTATTACTTTTAAAACATTTATTGTCAGGATAGAACCCAAGCTGAGCTTCACGCGACATGTAGAAATTTGGAGAAAAATACCACAATTGAAAAACGATATCTAAATATTTCAAATTTCATATCTGAATCGAAAACGAAACTTTTTGTCTTCAGAAAAATTGAACCCAGATGAATTTCGGAAATTATTTAATCAGACAAGATTTATATCAGAGACTTTAAGACGTTACGCAATTACTGGACTTTAATTTTTTTTTGATGACACAGGCAACTTCTGTGTCATCAAAAAAAATGCGCCGTTACAAATGAAGGATAAAAATCGGGAAAAAATGTTGTTATGACCAGATAACTTTGTTCTCAAAAAATGAACATAGCCCGGAGAAAATTGGATAGAGAAGCGAAGCGTACTGCGAAAACACTGCGTTACAAGACTGTGAAAAAAAAACACAAGTTAGAAAGCGGCAAAAAGCTTTAAATAAATCAAAATAGACAACAGACAGAGTTGGAAAACAGTCAATGAACGCAAGGAGACAGAAAAGACAAACTGAACTATTTTATGAAAAACAATTCAACTCAAATATTTCGAAGTAGAAAAAAAACATGGCTTTAAAGCGCTTTGAATTTAATTTTTTAAAATGATTGACACGTTTTTGATTGAATTAATTCAATTTGACAAAACTGGATTGATAGGTAAAGTTTTCATACCATTAGACAATCAGAAAATTAAATCACTTTCGAAACCAGAATTCGATCACGTTTTTCGCGAGCTTACACTTTTGCTGTTCGATAGTGGAGTTTGTCTCCCTTTCCACGATAGAAATTAACTGAACTTAAGAAATCAAAAAACAAACTGCGAAAAATTAAATTTAAGCGTGAACAAAAAACTTTTCCTGCAAAAAATCATCACGGCTTATAAAAGAATCTGAACTACATTCATCGACACTAAAAACAAAGTTTTACAGCATGCCTGGTTTTTGCCTACACTTATTGTATATGTTAAAATTTGTAATATCATAGACAACGCCGCTAAATTTGCGTGTAAGAAATAGGAATGTATAAAACCAAATTGTGTATAAATTATTCATTTCAAAAATCTTGCGAATATCATCGATTTAGAAAATGTAGATTTTCATACTATTGTATGAAGCAAATCGCTTTTTTCGGTTCATTTGATAATTTAGAAAAGCATCAAATAGATAAATTTATAGTTCCGACTTTCGAAAGGCAGTTGTCCGAAGGTGAAAGGTAAAAAAAAAATGGCCGGTGAGGTAAAAAAAAATGGCCGGTGAACAATTTTGATAAAGTTATGAGGGTTGAAAACGGCTAACTTCGTCAACTTGGGATAACTAACGCGGTATATAGGTTGTTCTTAAAACACCCGTAAGCGGCATATTGAATTGTTCCAAAAAATTGGGGCTAATCATTTGGTCTTATTATTATGATCAAAGACGCTAAATGCATATCTTCATACTTTACATAACTTTTTTATTTTGATTTTTTATCAACTTCGATTAATTTATCCTGATACACGAGCAAATTTTAACGTACATACCTGCTACAAAAGTGTCACCAAACAAAGCACTAATGTTTTACTTGGAATAGAAAAACTAATTTCTGCACAACACATTTGAGAGAGATCAATTTTTTTCGCTATAGAAAAAAAAAACATAGCCAACTGACAGTTGGAAAAGAGTAAAAAACGCGAGAAACCGAAAAAAAATCTCCGGAATGTTTTTATATGATATTAACCCTCTTTGAACTTCGAGACATTTATGATTGACACTTTTTTGATAAACTTGAGAAAACTGGACTAATAGATGAAGTTTTTAAGGTGCTGAAAAATTTAAAATTAAATTCCACTGTCGAAAAGAGAACTTTTGTGCGTCATTTCTACGTTCGTATTTAGAGAGTGCTATTTACGTAAATTTCAGCAGATGAATGTCTATTGAACCCAAAAAAGCATATGTATCTAAGTGCATTTATAAATGCGTTACAATGTATGAATGCACATCTGTAGTAAATAGAGCATTTTACGACTTTTTCTTGAAAAAACAAACAAAAACAATGATGGCCGGTTGCTGTACAAGTGGCACAGAATGTTCCGACTAAATTCTAGAACATAGCCAACTAACAGTTGGGAAAGCGTAATGAACGCAAGGAAACTGAAAAAAAAACTCGCTTTTCAAGAGACTTCAATTTTTGAATTTCGAAGAAAAAAGATGGCCTTAAATATCTTTGAATTTGTAGAACAATTTATGATGGACAATGTTTTGCTAAAATTAACCCAAATTGAGAAAACTTGATCAATACGTTAAGCTTTTATTACGCTGAAAAATCTGATAATTAGCTTCCATTTTCGGAATTCAAAGTCGATAAATTTTTTCGTGACCTTTACATTTTTGCTGTTCAATAGTGGATTTTGCCTTCCTTTTAACAATGGAACTGCACTGAACTCACAAGTCAAACCGCAAAAAATCAAAACTGAGCGTAAACAAATTTTGAGATTTTTTCCTGAAAACAAATCAGCAAGACCTATATAAGAGTCCTGACTACATTCATTACTCTTAAAAATTACAAAATTTTCAGTTAGTTTTTTTAGAGGGGGCGATGAAAGGATCTGAACGAAGCCTAGATTTTAGGCATTTCCGATAGGGATATTGGACAACAATTTGCTCCGAAAAAAGACTAATAAAAATCTCAAACAAAATTTTGTATTTTAATTTTTGACGACTTTTATTCGCGATAAACTTCCAAAGCTAATTGTACCAGATTTTTTAGGACTGAAATTAACAAACTCATAATACTTCACTATTAATACTGCGACTCTCCTATAATAAACTTGCTCGCTCGCTTTACTCGCTCGAAATTTGACCAAAACTAAAAAAAAATGGCCAGAACAAAAAAACATAGCCAAAAGAAGTTGGAAAAGAGTCAATGAACGCAAGTAACCAGAAAAAAAAAACACTGACTGGTTTTTCATTTAAAAAAGTTTCGAACTTCAAAGAAAAAATTAGATGCCCTTAAAGTTCTTTGAATGCCCAGAAAAATTCATGATTGGCACTCTTTTAATAACAATACCCAATTTGAGAAAACTGGATTAATAAGTAAAATTTTTATTTCGCTGGGAAAATCAAACTCATTTATCAAAACCAGAAGTCGGTCACGTTTTTTTGAGCTTAAAACTTTCTTTGTTTGATAGAGGAGTTTGCCTTCCTTTTAACAAAGGAGCTGAACTTGAAGCGAAATCAATCTTAAATCGCGAAAAAGTCAATTTGAACCTAAACAAATTTTAAGACTTTTCCTGAAAAAAAAAATCATCGCGACCTATATAAGATTCTGAACTACGTTCATCGACTTTTAATCGCCAAGACTTATATAAAAGTCTTCGCTACGTTCATTTCTCTAAAAATAATGTGGCCTATATAAGTAAAAATTACTTGGCTATTTTACACATACAAAAAAAACCACATTGAACCACTTGAAAACAGATTGTGGAAACACGAACCAAATAAATTAGGTCGGATTGTTTATTTAAAAATATACCTGTTCATTACAAGCAACATAAAATAGTTAAAACTACAATGAGTGACATCCAACTTAGTAAACAATTGTTCGAATCAGTATTTCAAATCTCTTTTCATTATTGTTAGGAATGAATGCCAACACTTTATACATCTTCAAAGCACCTTGCTGAAGTAAATTTTGCCTCAAAAATTTAGCTCCGAATAAAGTATTGGCCAAATCAGACTTCAATGATGCCCGTAAAATATTTTGAAGGCAGGGGAGTCTTAAATTTGCCTGTTTTTGTTCAATCTGTGACGAATATATATTTTTTGAAAAATAGATTGAAATCCACGTCAAGTTAAGTTCTCGCTAAGCTCCTTATATCAAACGTCGAGGTGGCGGCTATTGCTAGCACTGGTTAGTGAGGAATAGCTGGAGGATTTGTTCGAAGGCAGCGATGAAGGTGGTGACTGAGAAAGCGATTGGGTCGGACAGGATCAGTTGGGTCAGCTGGTGAGACTTGAGCCATTGCACGAGGGAGAAGAGGAGAGGGGGGTTGCACTTGATCATGACACACATGAGGGCAGGGATCAGCTGGTCTCTCCCAATTCCCACACCCCCACTAACTCCCGTTGTTGCAGCTGCACCCCCAGCTGCTTCATTCGTCCACTGCATAGATGCGCTTAGCGTGGAAACACATGAGCATATGCAGTCCACCAGGTCATCACATACCTGTAAACAAACAAAACCAATCAAAATCAACACTACTCGGTTCGTTGTATATTCGATTCTTTTAATCCATATTCCCTTCCCCACTATCAGGCATCAACATCAACCTTATGATCTGACCATAACTTTAAAGTTATGTATGACCAAATTTACTTGAAATCAGCTACAGCTTATTAGAGTATGAGCAAAAGTGCATAGGAAATGAACGTTTTCGAATGCTTCACTTGTTGAAATCGATAGTAGTTCTAGTGAAATCGATAGTAGTTCACTCTACAAAGATCCCAAAATTCCTCAACTTCAGACTAATTGATTCGAAAAGAGTAACGAACTTTCACATTTGACATTGTTTTCCAACAAGTATGTTAAGGAATCTAAGACAATTTTGATCAGCACGTGAACCTAGCATATAAGCCATTGCGAAACTAATCAGTTAAAAATTATCAAATTAAGGTGCGATGTTACCGACCATTTGGAAAGTGATGAGGGAGAGCACTTTCACAGCTGCAGGCCACGGGAACCCACGCGAATACTCCTGAAACAGCAGCATCACAATCAATATATCACATATGAGACAAATGCTGAAGACTTAACTTCTCATGGTTATAGAAGCCAAGCCATCTATGAGAAATACATGAGATGATAAGATGTACCTTGGAGAGTCCCAGGAGTGAGTGGGAGACATCGAGAGTGAGCTGTTGCGAGAGAGTGGACAGAGTGGAGTAGAGGACACTGAAACAACAAACACTCAGTCTAAAAAAGACGATCGACACATACTAGAATAGAATATGACAGGGCTCAGGATCGCATAAGGATCATAAGAGCCACAACCGTAATGTGAAACACACTACTCACTCGTTTCGCCAATACTTTTAAACTGAAATTAAACGATCTACAATTTACAAAATCATACTCACCCCGAACTATCACAAATTAAAATGATGATCTACGCATATTTCGCACCTTTTAAATGTAGCGACACATTTCGCCCCAAGTTTTGTAAGGCAAATTAGGCCATTAAACTTAAGAGGGGTGAAAAGCTTGAGGCGCAAAATGGGACATGATAGCTCACCTGTCGCGCGAGAATGACTCGGAGCCACATGGGAACAGGATGCCGATGAACACATTCTCAGTCAGTCTCCTCTGCACGAACAGCCTCACCTGTCTCAGAATTTGCTCAACAGGCATCAATGCTCTCCTACCACTGTCTGTCCACGAAGTACTTCCCTGAGAGTCAGCGGGTCCATTTGTCATAGCCGCAAACAGTTCCGGAAAGGCCAATTGAAGGAAGTTTGTCGCCATTCTTTCTAGATTTTCACACTTAAACACCAAACACAAATAACTATAAGGATGAGTGTAAGCCTTCTACAGCTGGTTACTAAAAAATTTACATTGCGTGAACCTAGAATTTTCTCGATGTGGCGACTTTTCCAAACATGGCGAACTGACGCTTGGAAACGTATCAAAGAACAAGAAAACCGACAAAAAACATTGACATACTTTGAAAATTCTGAAAAAAAAGCATTTTGAAAAAACTTATCATGTTGAAGCTCTTTTAATTTCAAGAACCTTTTATGACTTGCTGTTTTCAAGAAATTAACCCAATTTGGGAAAGATAAACCCTCAAAAACCACTTTCAAAACTAAAAATCATTCGCGTTTTTTCGCGCCATTTGAACTTATTGGCCTTTTTCAGCAAATGAAATTGAAGTGAACTTAAAAATATACCCGCGCGCATAATTTAGTTCAAAGCATGGCAAAATTGGCAATTTTCAATCCCCCAAAATTAAAAAAAAAACATCAAAAGGCAAAAATCTAATTCCGATCACCAAAATTTGACTGAATAATAAAAACATAACCAAATGACAGATGGAAAAAAGCAATGAACGCAAAGAAACAGAAAAATATTGACTTCTTTGTTGAAAACTCTCGCTAAAGTATATGCCCTTAAAGCAAAAGCATTTTAAAATTGGTGCTTTTTTGATACAACTAAAAAATTAACCTAGTTTGAGAATACTCGATAAAGTTAAAATTGAATTTACTTTATAAACCAGAATTCGATCTCATTTTCGTGGCCTTTCTACTTATGCTGTTCGATAGTGGAGTTTGAATTCACTTTAGAAACTAGAATTCGATAACATTTTCGTGGCTTTCTACTTTTGCTGTTCGATAGTGGACTTTGCCTTCCTTATATTAATCGAAATGAATCGAACTTAAGACAAATAAAATCCACAAAAAAGTAAAAATTGAGCGTGAACAAACTTTGGGGGGACTTTTTCTAAGAATCAAAAAATCAATAAAACCTTTATAAGCGCTTAGTTAAACTAAAAGTCGAAAATTGAACCAACCCAAGAAAAGCCACCCAACCATAACTCTTCCGCTTTTTCTTCGAAAATCGGAACAAAAAATCTCGCGCTAATTATACCAATGGTATTAAAGTATTTCAGTTTCAACCACAAAACTTATCCAGGCACACGATACACGTATTTATCAGAATTGAGAGTAGTCATCCAAACTATCACCAGAGACGAAGCTGCACTTCGCAAACACACACAAGAAAACGACAAAAACTGCTCTAAACAGAAATGAGAAAAAGTAAAAAATAAACCTTGAATAAATATTTTTTCACTAGATGTCGGATTCCAACCTCCGACCTTCAAATTTAAGTCTCATGACCTCGCATCTGCGCCACGGGCCTTAACTTTAGCCACCAACAAAGAAAACATACATGCTAATCAATTGCTAATGCTATGTAGCAGGGTCCAAAGTTAAACTAAACGCAACCGCACTTAATTTTTAGTTTATACGCTTTTTTAGCAACCGCTTGTTAAAATTTATAAAACACAATTCTGTATGAATTAGGCAGTTCAAAAATTGAAAATATATGTTGAAGTGAACATATATTGAGTTGGAAAATTTCTGCAATGTAAATTTCATTATTGCACTATGAAACAAATAGCATTGATTGTATGAAACAAATAGCTTTGATTGATTCATTTGATGGATTAAAACACATCAACTGTTTTAACTTATTAATATACTTATCGAATGTTCAAGCACATGCTATTACAACCAAAGCAGCCTATTCCAAAAAGTAGCACTAATATTTGATGACTTAGATTGGGAAAACAAAAATGCCTTCTAGTAGTACACTGCACTGATGAAGACTACGATATGATGAAGACTACTATATTACAGAAAATCATTTTGATGAGATCAATGAAAAATAGTGAATTTATCCTCTGGATTGTTTTTCTCGGGGGGGGGGGGTATTAAGTACGGGCAACTCTAAGGTTAGATGAATAATTGGAGTAATTCAGCTATTGCACAACTAGTTTTACAATTGGGACAATATTTGACGGACCGCTATTGAAAATGACAATTTGACAAGTCAAGTGACATTGAAAGCTGACGATGGCGTATCAGCTCTGAATGTCACTATTCAACTTACTTGTCTGGCCATGTCCTGACTGTTGGCCAACACCTCCTCCTGAGCACTTCTCAACTCCCCCTCGAATCTGTTCATAGTCTGTTCACACAGTGCACTGAGGATGGAGTTCTGTGTGTGGATGCACTCCATTGACACCTGTTGCACGAGGGAAGAGAGGAGACTCAGCTGCAGACTGAGCTGTCTTCTCAATTTTACCAACTGCTGGTAGTGGGAGGAGATGGTCTCATTGTCACTACTCAGCTCCTCTATCAACTTCTTGCACCTTTAAAAACACCACATCTTATTACATTATAACAACTATCGAATTAAGAAGGAAAAAACAGACAGCCGTAAAGCTCTTTAAAGTTCTAGAACAATTTATGATTGAGACTTTTATGATAAAAATCACCCAACTTAAGAAATCTGAAAACTTTTAAGGCTTTTCCTGAAACAAATCAACACGACCTATATAAGAACCTGATCTATGTTCATCGACTCTTAAAAACATACAATATATAAATCAATAAACATTAGGTATTATATTCGTTACAAAGTGTTTCATCGAAATGCATTTATTTTAACACTTTTATTAGAAATACAAGTTAAAAACAGACGAAAATTTTTTTTAGATGTTGAAAAAACTAGGTAAGCCAAAATTTTCGTATGCCTCGATAAAAAAGCATCTAAGGGTCCGGCTAAAACCTGTTTGATATTGAATGAATTTGCTATACCGATGCAGCACGAAAAGTGTGATTTCAAAACTTAGACTTTGTCCAAAACCTTAGCTGTTTCTATAATAAAATAAGTAAAGAGTAAAAAATTTTGATATAACCAATTTTCCCGAGATAACATTTCTCATACAAAAAATAAGGAGTCACCGCTTCTGCAGGAGCAACTATCACAACCAGTTCTTTCAATTGAACTTTTCACCTCAGATTTGATTGTGTAAATTAAAAAAAAGATTCGCAAAAACGGTCAAAAGTTCTAAAAAACGTTCAAAAGACTTTCCTAAATCCATAATTGTTTACGCAAAAAGCAATTTCTGGCCGCTTCAGCAAAAAAAATTACCAAAAGCGGGTTTCTCGATTGCACACAACATGAGAATTGGCCCGGTAGTTTTCGCGTGAAGTCAATACGTTTCCAAAAAAAAAATTGTCAAACTTTCAAAACTTTGACTAGTTTGAAGGCCATAACTTTTTTGTTAAACAAACTGGGCATAGCAAAAAATAAATTTAGGCTCTCAACCAACTGTTGTTTCGATTAAACCTTTATCAGATTTGGCAGGATAATAAGCGAGAAAAGTCCAAAAACGGTCGACAAATCAAAAATTTGACATTTCCGAAAATCATAGCTTTTTGTTTGGAAAATAGGGCGGCGTAGTCCAAAATGCAGCAGAGATTTACGCAACCCAAAATTTCAATTGAACCCAAATTCTCAGATTTGGGAGAGTAACTTTAATGGGAAGCTCAAAAACTTTTTTTTAAAAACGATCAAAAAATCAAAGCTTTGACTTTTCCGAAAGCCATAACTTTTGGTGTCAGAAAATTGACCTTATTCGCATAAACAAATAGGCTTCTCATGACCAAGTTTTTGAATTGAACCCAAAATCTCAGATATGGCAGAGTAGTTTTCGAGAATATTCAAAAAGTTAAGAAAACGATCAAAATCAACAATTTGACTTTTCCAAGGGCGATAAATTCTTGTTCTGATTTTTTTGTGAGTGAACGCTAATGCAGGGGAGCTTTTCAATACATCCACTGAACCCACAATATCAGATTTGAGAGGATCGTTTTCGAGAAAAGTCTAAGATTCACAAAACGGCCAATCATAAACTTCTTTACTCCGAGAGCCATAGCTTAATTTGTAAAAAAAAAAATTGGGCATGGCCGCTTATGCAGTGGAGCTCTTCAAAACCGTTCCATTCATCAAAACCAAAAACTCAGATTTAAGAGGGGTAGTTTTCAAGAAAACGAAAAAGAATCCAAAAATATGGGTCAAATATTCGCCCACAGGCTTTTTCGAAGGCTGTAGACAGAAGGGTCAAGTAAAAAGATACTCTATGGGATTATGCAGGCATTGAGACGATAAAAAGATGCCACAAAAATTTGGGCCCAGGATTTTTTTAGCGAAACAAAAAAAACCAAGAAATACGAAGTCAAGGTAAGTAAAATTAGAAATTGTAGGCGTAAATCAAATGCTAAAAGCAATATTAGAGAAAAATGAGCGCAGCCAAAAAATAACGATTCCAAGAGCTGACAACTAAGCCAACACAGCAGATGAGCCGATAATGGCCGTCAATTGTATTTGAAACATAATAATTCCCGTTTGAAAAAAAAAACATAGGTCCTGGTCAGCTTCGAACCCAGGACCTTCGCCGTCCCATGCATATTTGTTACCTCTAGGCTAAGTTGGCCGGGAACGCTAAGAAATTTGAACATATGAAACGATGTACCACAAGAGATGAGTCCAGACGAGTCCCGTGAACAAAGTTATTTACGGGAAAACAGTCTAGTACCCGATTGCAATACCATTGCTTATCGCAAGGGTAATGAACTATTATTTGGCGAATCTAAAGGATAGATCCAGGAATTAAAAACACTGCAATTGCTATATTTAGCACATAAATACTAAACAATTATTTAGACGATGAGCTCGACATTATTGGCGTTCAAAAAGAGTCACTTACGATGCATCTGTGAGCTCATTCAATAGAGACAAGGCGGTTTCTCCAACTAGCACAGCAGAAGTATTCGAGCGGTGGGAAGTTGGAGCAGAAGAGTCACTTCTAGCTGACATCCCAAACAGGGACAGTTCGTCGTCCATAGTCAATGCATTGCAACACAAGGCCAGAAAGTGCTGCAGTTTCTTGCTATTCCTGCAACAGACAAAGCCATTCTGTTTTTGAGAATTTATAGAGTCGTTAATGAAAAAGGTTGTTTGTAGTTTTGGCAATCAGTAATTCTAACGGTTTTTCTACACTAGTAGTCATAAATCAATTCTTTATTTCCTGAAATGACGCTTTACTAGAATTACGCCGAAAAAATCCTTGGCCAACAAATTATTTTTTATATTGTAAGATCGTTAGCCCCCAATCAGCTCTGCTGATGTTAGAGAGGCTTCAAGGGATGGGACACAGTTAGTAGAAGCAGTAACCGTAAAGGGAACAAGTTCAAGTTTTGTTTTTGAAACCGAATAGGGGTGCCTACGACTAGCGAGTTTCAGAAATTATGAATAGTGAATTTGAACTAGCTTCTTCTTTAATTTGGTTTTATACCGACTACGTTTGAACCATCACTTTAAATATTGATACAAAGCGTGGACCTTATGTCATTAATTTGTCTAGACAATGCCTTAAATCTGCTGCTTTATATTTATTTAAACTTGAGTATTTTTCTTTTCCAATATCTTTTATGTTTTCAGATTTATATATTTTTCCTTGTCTTTAAGATCACAAATTTGTCCTTCATTTGATAAAACGGGCAGTGCTAAGTAACCAAATTGGGTTCGTTAACTGTCCCCTCACTGTTTCTGGTGCTTCATATTTAAATTCTCTTTATATGCAAATTTACCATTAACAGTGAGAAATAAATTCTTTCTTTCTCTCTTTCATCGTTGCCACAAACAACACAAAACATGAACTGTTAGTTATTAACCGTAAATGCTTAGAAATGACAAGTCATTATTTCAGAGACTTGCACCAGATGTAAAATAAGCCGTAAACATAATTATAGCTAACGTGGACTTGAATGGGGTCTGGGTTAGCGCTGCAGCTACCAGATGACTGGTTTGTTCCTTGAGTAAGAGAGCAGATAGACACCTCTTCAGTTGCCCCTCGCCTCTCCTCTCATCTCCTCCACTACTGCTGCTATTTTTCTTCTGTCTGCGCCCTGAAGAAGAGAGAAGGGCGGCTAGTGAGTCCCCCATCTGTATGTGTTGCACTTGGGAATAGGTTGAGATAGATGGATGTCCTCCTGTGACCTCTAAGGAGACACTGCTGCTATTGTGTGCACCAACACCACTGCCCCCAGCTCCGAACTCTGCACACCAAAATAACACGTCAGAACAGTTTCAGTGCGACTGTACATTAGCTGATTCAGACATAAAATATCCGAAATCTTTTAACATTACTCGTTTCATATACACAGCTGCGAAGAAACTCTACCAAAATATCACTCTGAAACAAAGGGTAAAAAGATGTTGAAGGTTTTTGAGGGGTAACATTTGGGTGAGGTACCTTCAAGTAAGGAGTGTGAGTCAGGGAAGTCGTATCTGTCGGACACTTCAGATTGACTCAGACGCCCCGCCCCCTTTAGACTGGATGTGTCCGCCTCCTCGTCCCCTCCCCAGGACAGGGGAGGCCTACTGGTGAATGATGAGAGGTCCTCCGACATCTTCTTCAGGTCATTGCGTCTCTTCATTGGACTCATAAACACATTATCGTCTGTGGCAGCGTTGATGTCTTGATTTGAGACACTTGATGTCTGCTGCATGAGGTCTGTCGTCGATACTCCTCCAGTTGAGACGTTTCGAGACCTTTGACCCCCTGCCCCGCAGCTGCTGGCGGTGTCTTCGTTGAACCAGTGGTTGTTGCGGTGCCGGTCCAGCAGAGACTCGTCTAAAGTATATGCGTTTTAAAAAATTACGGCGGATCATACGTACCCGTGTTCACAATTTCTTGACTTTCAGCAGTGAACGAAAGCATTAGCGACAGATGAACTGCAGTTCAAAATCTCTACACAAATATACGACGCACACCACCCACAACTAAATAGCATAACTAACACCGATCGATTTTCTACAGTACCTAATTTTGGCAAAACAAAACAAACCTCAAGCTATTCAAAATGAGCCTTCGTAAATTTATATGTATCCCATAAATATCATGACTGACCGCGTTCCAAAGGTGACGAGTGGGTAGAAGAGGCCGATTCGATCCTCTTGGGTCTCTTTTTCGGCAAACAGTCCATTGGGGGACTCTTCACCGTTACTCTCTGACTATGTCCTCCAGAGGAGCCAGTCGCACCTACTCACAATAGTTTCTTTTAAATTGATCTTTGATTAATTGACTCTTTTAAAATCAAAATCGATTCAATTCCTGTTTCAGTTTAAGAAAAAATATCGAATTAATGAAATTGGCAATAAAAATTACTAGCCCGTTGCTGCGCAAGAAGCAAAGAAAATTTCGATCAAAAACTTTAAGAAAAGCATAAAGTAAAATGCAGAAAACTAATTTTACTTCAGTTGCAAAACTCTTTAAAATTTTTTTTATTGATAAGTAAAATTTCTTAGGACAACTTTACAATAATAATTTGATAATTGAGATATAGTACACAGGCGAAGCTGCACTTCCAAAAAACAAGCAGTATCGGCAAAATTTAAGAAAAACGAAAGAAAATAAAAAAAAATGCCTGATGAAGAGAAAGAGTCAATTTCGAAAAGTAACAAAGATAGCCGGTTGCTGTGCAAGTAGCACAGAATGTTCCGACCACAATAATGAAAAATCTACCAACAAGTTTTTCCTTCAAATTAGAGACGTTTTTGGTGTGTGATGTGATGAGCGAACAGAAAAAACGCGTAGAAAATTAGTGAATTAGCCATTATCGACAAGAAAGGTCTTCAAAAAATGAGTAACAAAAAACCATAAGATTCAGAAAACGTTCATTGCCAAAGAAGCGATAGAGAACGCGTCAAAAATTGGTTTCCTTTTAGTGATATCATAATTTCTGGGCCTAAATGACCAATTTTAAGTTACTCGATCGCTTTAACAGATCGAAACCAGACTAAAGCTCAAACTATCCAAGCTTCTTGACACAAGGACAGCTTTTTGAAGTTTTTCATGTCGTTCCAATCACGACTGGAGGAGTTTTAACATGAGATATCACTCGACAACCGGATGATTATTTGTGGTACCTGATTTTGCGTGGAATTAATTTGCTTTGGTCTGAAGTATTTGAAAAAATTAAGTCTACGAGTTGCGCATCTTAGATAAGTAAATTAATACGTGCATTTTGTCAATTTTCCAAAACTTCACAAAAAACTTTGCACTTGAAAATTATTTTTAATTTTGAGATCAGGGAGGGGATATTTCGTATTGGGTAAAAGAAAGTCTCTCAGAACTTTCATGCAAACTTTGGCGATTTCGAATTTTATATTTCGAAAAAAAATTGACGAAAACTTTGAGCGGTCTATGCTGAAGCTCTAAATCTAGGTCGGTCGGATCGGCACAGGTTCGAGCCCCCAAGGTCACATACATGTTCATATAGTTGAGAAAAGGCTACAAAATAGGGTTCGATTGCCCTATTATAACTATTATTAGATAATAGTTATGTAATAGTTCAGTAATAATTACGTGATTATGTTAACACTATGGAAGTTCATATAAACGCAAAACTAACAAAAATTGAAGTTTTTGGCGGCTAACTTTCGTGTTTGCTCTAAAAACATTGCTGTTAATATTAAATACGTATAAGATTTGTAGTCCATCTTAATGGTTGATTCTGTTCAGAGATTTTCTGCAATCATTATCGAATTGTTTGCTGTTATTTTCATAATTGAACCGGTCTGAAAAATTTTGAGCCAGTTTTTCTCGACACCGCGACAACTTTTGGATTTTTAGTAATTCTAATAAAATTCAAAGGTTTTTAGTACGTTATAGCAGTCGACCCATTCCGGTGATTATCTGTGGCTCCTAATTTTGCGTGAAAAACCATTTTAAAAATTTAACACTCGAGAATTAGTAAAACATTGGTATGTAAAGGTTTGAACCTGCGACCTCGAGAATTGGAGTCTCGAGCGGCAGCAAAAGTGGCACCAAATACAAATAGACACAATTTTGCAGGTAACACAATAGTTTAGAATATAATAACCGAAGGAATTTTGCAAGCAATAAATAGGAAATCATAAAGCTAACTTATGTATATTTTCTGCATTTCAAAAACTGCGAGATATATTGAATTAGAAAACTTCTGAAATCAAGTTTTTATGATTGTTGTTGCTTGAAACAAATAGCTTTTTTTGGTTCATTTGACGAATTTAAAATGCATCAACTGTGTTAACTTATAACTATTCGAATGTCAAAGCACATGCTGTCAAAAAGCCGTAAGATGCCCCAAAAATTGCACCAATATTTGCACCTTAGGTTAGAAAAAATATATAAAAGCCGTAGCATAGCACTAACGCTCACTAATTTTTGCTAGTGTAAACACACCTGAATACAAAGTTACTCCCCATTTTCAAAGGTCGGAACAACAAGTACTGAAAAAAGTTATTTCAAACTAAATACAGGGAACTACTAGCTTGCCTTGATCAAGAAAAAATCATCTGAAAAGTCGGACTTACACATTGCTTATCATGAAACATAGGCGCTACGCGCAATACACCGAAGGCATAGAAACTGAAGCAAAAACCAAACAACTTGAACAACTAATAATTGAAGATTAACAGTTCTACAACAAAAAATCGTACTAATACATGTATACACCAAAATTTTGCTATATCGAGAAAGAGCCTGAAATAACAGTTGTAGAACTAAAAATCGTACTAACACATGTATAGGTTAAATTTTTGATATATCAACGAAGATCATAAAATAACACTTCTAGAACTAAAAATCGTACTAACACATGTATACACCAAAATTTTACTATATTGACAAAGGGCCTTAAAAATCGTATATACAAAAAAATAAATCAATACATAACTAAATATATACATACATAAATAAATAAATAAATAAATAAATAAACGCAAAACTGAAATGTACAAATAATTAAATTAACATGAAAAAATATATATCTCATGAACAAATAACCAAACAAACAGACCCATAATATAAATAAATGAAAGTAAATGAATTAAATAAATACACATACATAAATAATAAAAGCAAAACTAAATGAAAGAAAGAATAATTAAATAAATATAGAAATAAATATCAACAAATAAACAAAACACACCTGATAAATAAATAAGCAATAAAAAATAAATCAATACATAAATAAATAAATAAATACATAAATGAATACATAAATAAATAAATATATAAATAAATAAAAGCAAAAGTGAAATGTACAAATAATTAAATAGACATGAAAAAATATATATGAACAAATAACCAAACAAACAGACCCATAATATGAATAAATGAAAATAAATAAATGAAATAAATACACATACATAAATAATAAAAGCAAAACTAAATGAAAGAAAGAATAATTAAATAAATATAGAAATAAATATCAACAAATAAACAAAACACACCTGATAAATAAATAAGCAATAAAAAAACAAATCGATACATAAATAAATAAATAAATACATAAATAAATAAATAAATAAATAAAAGCAAAAGTGAAATGTACAAATAATTAAATAGACATGAAAAAAAATATATGAACAAATAACCAAACAAACAGACCCATAATATAAATAAATGAAAATAAATAAATACACACGCAGAAATAATAAAAGCAAAACTAAATGAAAGAAAGAATAATTAAATAAATAAACAAAACACGTGATAAAAATAAACAAATATGTACATACATAAATTATAAATAAATATAAGCAAACTAAACATAATTAAATAAATAGAAGAACAGATAATTAAATAAATAAAGATGAACAAATAAAGAAACAAACATACGCAATCACGTGACATAGCGCGATATAGTCCAGCCCACATGATAATTGATAACTGTGGACGTTATTTGTCGACACTTGACAACAGACAACATTAAAAAAAAAAACCCGTTACACGATACCATAACACCTTGACTAAAGTCTTCGGTGTAATAAGTGAATTAAAACGCGCTTTTTGTCAAATATCCAAAAGTTTGTAAAATAAAACAGTTTAACTATACTTTCAGTTTTGAGCGCAGAGCGTCGAAGTTTTATATTGGGTATCAGACTATTTTCGCAACTATTATTTGAATAAACATCCCACTAAAATGATCGTTTTATGTGGCAAAGAGTGGAATGACACACAAAACACTACGCTCGCTAGCTTGGTTATTTGAACCTTGGACCAGTAGCACAAAAAATGAAAAATTGAACCAGTGTAACTGCGTGCTGTGCAGAATTGACCAATTTCCACAAAGACAATTTATTTTCATTCTGCTGTGAAATCTTAAATCCACTATCGAAACTGAAAGTCATTCACGTTTCTTCGACTGTGTTCAGTTTCTTTATGACACAGCTTAACTTAACTTTTTAAAAGCAAATGAACTTGAATTGAGCTTAGAAAGAAATCAAAAGCCAAACGAAAAAAATCAAATTTGAGTGAGAAAAGCATTTGAAGAATTTTCCGGAAAAAATACGAAAGAAAATGATCTTGATCCAGATTAGCTTTTTCATGGCGTTCAATTACACTTAGAAAAAATCAAAAGTCAAAGCAAAAAATTCCAATTTGAGCATGTTAAAAAAATCACGAATAGTTTTCTCAATTGAAATGCCAAATTTTTATAATTTCCTGCAGAATTGTCTTGGGCTCAAGCTTTAAATGCAAATTAAAAATCATTGAGACGGAACAAACTTCGCCGATATGGCATCAGTAAATGTTCTATAATGCTCTAACAAACTTGATCAATTTTGAAGAGAAAAAAAATAAGAAACGGAGAAATATAATACTGGAGGCGAACCAGTATGGCTGAACTGCTGTTGGAAATGGTGACTGTTAGAAGTCTTTGGCCTGGCCCCTCCTCCCGCGGAGGCGCCACGATAGTGTCCATGTGAACCCCCCAGACCACTAGACGGAGTCTGTTGGGATCCAAGAGTGTCCATACATGAGGACATGGAGGACACCGTTAGTGTGCTCATCATAGATCCAGAGATGCCAGAGTCCAATGCGGAGGAGCCAGCGTTGCTGTGCCGACTGCTCAAATTCACATCCAGAGAACTTTCCGCCTGCATCTTAAAACACACACACACATAACAGCTAAAACACGAAGAAAAAAAAACGCAGGATTGGGGCACTTCTTAAAGTGTAGAAAAATGCTTTACAACGGAACTTAGCCAACTCACCGAATGAGGGATATCGTGCTCAGCGTTCATCAACAGAGTCAGTCTGTCGTTCTGCAAATTCGAGTTCTGTTGTGTCTGGGGAATGGTCAGTTCAATATTCGGATCTAAAAGCACCTAATTATTCTTAATAGCCATGTTCGTTTCTAATCATACGTGAATCATAAGCAATAACACGCAGTTATGATGAGATGATTTATATATTGAAATAGCTGTTGCCTACTTGACTCAAACTAATCAACAGAGCCAACTGACAGTTGGAAAAGAGTAATGAACGCAAGTAAACAAAAAAACGCTGACTTTGTTGAAAAAATCTCAGCTTTCGAATATCAAAGAAAAAAATAGATGCTTTTTAAGCTCTTTGAATTTCTAGAGTATTTATGATTTGCGCTTTTTCGATAAAATTAATCCAACTTGAGAAAATTGGATCAATAGGGAGGGTAAAGTTTTCGTTCCGCTGGAAATCTAAAAGTTAAACTCCAGTTTCGAAACTAGAAACGGTTCATGTTTTTTGCGCCATTTCCACGTTCTTTTTTGGAGAGTGCTATTTACGTAACTTTCAGCAGATAAATTTCAATTGGACTCAAAAAGTGTATATATACTTAAGTGCATTTATAAATAAATGCATTAATATGTATGAATGCACATCTGTAGTTATTAGAGCATTTTAAGACTTTTTCCTAAAAAAAAAATCACCAAGACCTATATAAGAGTCGTCGTTACGTTAATTACTCTTAATAATCAAAAATAGAAGCGTAATAGATTTTCCAGCTTGTAATCAAAACGATAGTTTAATTGAAGAATAGTTTTTTATGGAAGAAAGAAAACAGGGGGTAGCTTACAAAAGTAGCCCAAGTTTTTTCCCCAATTATTTGTACTACTAATTGGAAAGCTACGCCCAGACGCGGACGAAACACTAATGGTTTTCTTACCAATGAGCCCGATATCATCGATTGCATCTTCCATTCCAAGGGTAGACCCGATAAAGTCCTCGTAATTGGATGCGGAATTGGAGGAGAGGAACGCATTGGGACCAGTGGAGTGGTGATGGGGTTTCTTGCTCCTACGAGAGCCACGTCTACTGTGGTTCCCTTTTGGCGTCTGATCTTCTACCAGCAGCAGTTGATCTTCAAGGAAATCGTCCAGACGTTGTTCCTCGTTGAGCTCGAACTCACTTGCTGCGACATCCACGCTCCACGTATCACTGTTATTGTCGTCCAGAACATGAAGTAGACTGGTGTCTAGGCCTAAAATTCCACTCAAAATTCCAAAATACTCAATTTAAATCAAGTTCTGAACAATTATTCGCTTTAAAATAAATGTCCTGAACAAAAGACATGTCTCTTGCTTTGAGAGCTTTCTGTGGCGAAGTTAAAATTCAAATTAAGAGACAGAACAATGTAACAATCGTCTCATCTAAGGTTTTAAAGTTACCTCAAGTTAATACATGGTTTCAATTATTTAGGGACGCTTAAGAATAACCTCCTATAGCACCCAGTGCCTCTTCATTGTCGCCTCTCTCATCGTCCAGACTCCGGTTCAGATCCACCGTGCCACCCGGATCCACCGATGACCTCAAGAGTGCACCAGTAGAGGAGCCTCCCGCATCCTTGTTTGAAGCAGTGTCGTCATTCACACTGGCCAGACTAAGAGCGGAGGATCGGGACACTGCCATGTCCAGCGACGTAGCTCTCAAACTCCCACTCAATTCGCAGTCTTCCATGATTTCCTGAAATCAAATTTGATCAACTAGCCTGAACAGCCTATGACTAAGACTATCTTGAACTGCGATGTGAATGGTATTTGAGCAAGCTGCACTCAACAAAATCAAAAACCAAAACAATCGAATGCAGTACATATCCAAAATGGTACCGGTCTGGAACTAGGAAGTTACACCATTGAATAACTAGGAGTGATACCACTCATGTTTGAATAACTGTTAGTAGTACATACCGATAGCCTCTCGACAGAAGTAGTTTCCGGTGGGGGCTCCGATCCCTCTTCACTCGCATATGCGTCTACACTCCACGTGTCACTCTGCAAATCCCCTCCCGGTCCACCTCTGTCTGCCACTCCTCCCATAGTTGACACTCCCCCGGGAAGGGCTGAGGCTCCGTTGGACTGAGAGGCGCCATTCTGCCCACGCATGTTACGGATGTCCCCGTGATCAGACCTTTTCATCGAACCCTTCTCAATCTAAACCCGAAACAGGCAGAGAGTCATTAAAACTCAGAATTCAAACTAGCAAAAGAGCAGTTGGTTCATACGCTCACAAAGAAACAATTCATTGGATACTTGAACACGGGAAGAAAGTCGATGAACAGTTGACAGTATGTTTGACTTGCCTCGAACTTTCCGAATTTATCTGTGATGTTCTCCCTGTGTGGCGGCATGCGCTGACTGGAGGAGCCAGTGCCCGGCGGTCTGAGAGTAGCATTGTTATTTCCACCGGAAGCAGCAGACGCATGCACAGATGCAGTGCCGGCCGAATCCAGGAGTCCGTCATCAGATGTGACCATAGACCTGGGAGTGGACCTGCCCCCTTCAGACCTGGTCGCACCCTGGTAAAAGTGACAACACAAGAACAATTATGGTGGTCAAATAATAAATCACATTGTAGATTAGAACTTTAAGCTAAGAACAACAGAAACGCAGAGCTCGCCACTTACATTCCTTCGGCGTCTTTTTTGTAAACTTGGAATCTGCTACATACACAATATTTAATTTCAAATCAGCAGTAGATAAACATCAAAACATACGTTAGGACTAAGTAGAAGTTAAAACGAGTTCATTTAAGTATTATTTTTGGAAAACAACATAGCCGGTTCCTTATTCCAAAACGCAACACTGCACATAAGTTGAACTAAACTCATTCGCATTGGCAGTGCATGTGTAGTTTGTGTCTTTTTGAAATGAACACTTGACGGACCTGTTCATTGAGCAGCAAATCACTCAGTGCATCTGTGTCCTGGTCGAAATCCAGCGAACATGCCGAACGCACTGATGCGCCTTCGGAGGTGAAGTCCAACAAAGCCTCACTCCCATTTACGACCACAGCCGCTGCCACTGAGTTCACTGTCATGTTGCACGACCCTCCACTGGGCTGAAGCGAGGAGGATCCTGTGTTTGTGGTGTTGGTGCCCGAGGATGCGGCGGGGACGTCGAATCTGAGGAGCTTCTTGGTAGACTTCTCAGACGTAACTGAACTGATTTCCAAGTTTTCAGTCTTGTCGAAATCTATAAACATAGCCAATTGACAGTTGGAAAGGAGTAATGAACGCAATCAAACTGAAAAAAATGGCCTTAAAGCTCTGGAAATACCGTCAAAAAAGTCAATGAAATCAAGAAAAACAAAACAATATATTTTTTATTGAAACAAACTTTTCTTCGAAGCAGACACTGAGATTTTTTCGAAAAATTGATCTAATAACGAATCAAAGGATTTAAGATGATTCATCAGTGGATGTAATTTTGCGTTAAAAATTAAAAAAAAAACAAAGCAACTCATCCGGATATAAAGCTCCTTGCCACTTCCTGGTCGGAACAATGAGAGCGAAACAATCCGAAAACATTTCCAGGAAAAAAAACAACCCAAATAAGTGAAACTTTTTAGTTCATAAATACTGAACAAACAAAACGATTGTCAGATGATACACAACGAGCTGGAGGGAAAATTCCATCAGCTCAATGATGGTATTTCATTCTGGATGAGTTCGATTGTAGAAAAATTTAGACAAGTAATACCTCGTCGTTCTAGATTGCCGCTTCTCATTTCCGACCCCTTGTTCTGACCACTACCATGTCCATCTTTCATGGCATAACTGGAAACCTGAAAACTTAACACTGCAATAAACGTGTTCGACAAAGCATCGATAGTTATTCTTAATATGAAAGCTTCACAATTTTTCCAAACAGCCTCCTTCATTTTGGGTCTTTTTTGTTGAATTTCTGAAGCCTAATTCGTAGGAAGAATGCTATACCTTGGACTGTTCTTCCACTGATCGACGCTCCATTCTGTCTCTGTGATGTCGTTTCTTCTTCTTTGCTCCACCCCCTCCACTCTCATTGCTGCTACCCACACTGTCATTGCTAGACCCCTGTCCCCCCGTCTGACTAGATGACAATTCGCTTCTATTGTCACTTGAGAAGTCAAACCTCAGAACTAGTTGCGGCTCGATCTCGTCTGCGGAACGGATAAACTTTTCTGTTGCTCTTTCAACACCTGACAATAAACTAAAGTTTAGTTTCTCCTTTATGTAAATCATTACAAGGTAGCCAGCCTAGCGACCTAAAGCCTATGTGGCCTCGTGAACACATTTTACGTGGTAAACCACTTGAACAAATAAACCACAGTTAGATTACAGTCAACTCTCACTTCGTCAATAAATCAAAAGAAAAGAGGTGACCAAAAATATTGTTTAAACATGATGCGACCTTGTTCAGTTGAGAGTGGCTCCAGGACAAACACACTGCCACTTTGCTGCACCCTGCGGTTTCCACGGGACTCCATACAGTCAAAGTTACTATTCGTCCGTTGACCATTGGTTGCAGTAGTGGGAGTGTTTGCTTGGTAAGTTGAAGTGACATCATTCAATAGTGCCAGTTCTCCTGCAAATTGGCCTCCGTCTGCTAAGGATGCGATCGATGGAACAACACCATGAAGAGAAGACATCTGAAATGAAATAAGTTAGTGTTAAATCAGAAATGGTGTCGCTTTTTTACTCCAACATCTTTACCCCACAACTCATATTACCCATAAAATACTTTACCCATTTTAATGCGGTAAATAGAAAAAGGGTTTAATAGAGTGCGTGCTAAAAGAATCCTCGATTAAGACTTCAGCTATCGACTCTTTCGCAAAAATCGTGCTGAAAAATAATCAATGATAAAAATAGTTTTTGTTCAAGTAAGGACAATGCCTTTGCAATAATCGCCCAACGGCCACCCAAATGAATTCAGAGTTTTCAAGAATCTACAATTTGTATAAAAAAAACGAATCATTTCGAAAACACTACTTATATATATTTAATGTCAAATTTAACACCAAAAACCACACCACGTTTCTACAAAAAGCTAGACTCAAGAATTGGACGACTTGGAACTGCTCCAAATATATAGCCGTAAATTTCGTGTCATAGCTTTCACCGAAAAAAAAGTTAACTGGGTGAGCAACGATCATTGCACAACCATGACATAACCGTAAAAAAAAACAGATGACGAGCCGTCATAAAGAACGTTGAAGCTCTCAGCTAAATTTTCACAGTATTTTTACCACTAACCACTCACTACCTTGAAACGTACGCGTCCAAAACGTGAAAATACCATCAAAATATCGCAACGAAAGCGCATAAACGAATAAAAAAAACAGTTATCCCAACCCATCTGGTCGCGATTTCGAATTTCTGCTTCAGAATATATCCAAAAAAAAGAAACGTAAATTGTTTGTATACCGCTCTAAGATACCCTTGCCAACCAGACAAATTCTCTGGAAAACATTGTCATACTTAACACGAAAAAAAGAATGCCTTTGATAATGAATTCTCTGACAAGCAATTATCTGAATGCAAAAAAAAACTTCATGCCCAAAAATTTCTGATCTTGTTTCTAAAACGGTGTATGAAACCAACCATAACTAGATTTGATCCTAATTTTATTTAGAATTAGAGCAGCAGAAAAAATAGAAGAGTCATTCGACAAAATTTAAGAGCTACTCTCCTATTTATCAATCAACAAAAGTAGTTAAGACGTTTCAACAAGTTCGTGACAATATTATCTTAGATTTCAAAAAAATCGCAGTGCGCCGAATCCAAAGCTTTTGTTTTCACCCAATTGAATCACAGAAATGCTGCTATAAGAGACATCATCTGCATTATCAACGCAATTAAAAGGTGCCATTTGATTCGTATTAATTCCTTCGGGCAAATCGGCAATTCGATAGTCAAGTTGATTACACAGAGGTGAAACTGATACACTACTGTTACAATTCGTAACAGTAGTTCAAGCGTCAAACAATGATTTACGTCCACTATTCCTCTCGTGACGAATGTAAACGCAGTGGCGCAAGCGTTCAGTAAATACCAATGCATTGTCGCCTGTTACGAATTGTCGCCCTACCAATTACTTCATAATTTTCGAAAAATTTCTAGAGCAGCCACGACCATGAACATGTTTCAGCCCAAAACAATCAACATATAAAAAAACTGCTAAGCAAGATAAGCGTGGAGCACAGAACAAAAACAAGAGTATAATAATTGATTGAAAAACACAATTTAGTCTTTGAAAACCCATAACCCATTTTGAGACACAGAGGCAAAGTTGCACTTCGCATACACAAGCAAAACATGACCGAAAACGCTACTGGGAAAAACTGAATGAGTAAAACTTTGAGTCTACAAAATTTTGCAAATGACGCGCGCTAATTAAGAGTCTACCGTCAATTAGCAGTACCAGTCAATTTAAAAAAAAAGAAACTAGTTATCGAAGAAAAAGTTCACTCAAAACACCCGACCCTGCCCAGATTCGAACCCTCTTTTTTTGTTGCGGGTCTCCTTCCCTAGATCCATGATACCTTGAAGCTAAAGTGCTATTTGTAAAATAATAGTCTGAGTTAATATACTTAGCATTGGCTATACTTAATAGGTGGTTATTGATCAAAATGAACACTTTCAAATGAACACATTTTGTCGCAACAATATTTGCGTCGCCACAGTATTTGCGACATAGTTTGGTATAAAAAGAGAATTCACACTATCACACAAGCTTTACTTGTGTAAAAAAATGGATCAGAAGGCATTTTTTATTCCGTAACACCTCAAAATTTATATATCCACAAACAGAACTAGCAATCATTCGCCTTTTTCGTGATCTTGGATTTATGCTGTTCGATTGTGGAACTTGTCTTCTGTTAAGTCAAGGAAATTAACTGATAAAAATAAACCAAAAGCTAAACCGCGAAAAATCAAAACTGAGCCTGAACAAAATCTATTTTGCTTTCCTGGAAAACAAACATACAAAACATCATCAAGAACTATATATGGGTCTTTACTTAGTTCATTTTAAAACTTCATTTTTATTCACCTTTATTTTATATGGCCGCAAAAGCTCTCCGAACTTTGATAGAATTATTCATTTGACTTTTTTTGATAAAAAATAACTCTAATTCGAAAACTGCCAAAAGCGCAAATGGTGAGAAAAATTGTTAGAACCTTAGTTTTGAATTTGGTTTTGTAATAGTTAGATTTCCCAGCGGAAAACTACTTAAGATCCAGTTTTTTCGAATTAAAGTAGTTTTCCGCTGGGAAATCTAACTATTACAAAACCAAATTCAAAACTAAGGTTCTAACAATTTTTCTCACCATTTGCGCTTTTGGTCCTGAACAGTCTAACTCGCCGTACTTGTAACAGAGGCAAAGCGTAGCTTCGCATCATTTGCGAAACAATGAAAGCTTAACATTGCAAGCCACCAAATAGAAAGTGGGATGAGAATAATTAAGTCGAAAAAGGACTTGCAGAAAAATCAAAAACTCAACTTCAGAAATACAGACGAGAGGCACAACCACTCGCTTTAAACAAGCTTTTACTAATTTCCGAGCGTTCATCAGCTTGACAACACATGGTTAGACGTCAATTATTCGAAAAAAAATGCCAATGGAAATTCTTGCCATAAAAAAATGTTGAGCCAATAAATTGTTTGAATTTTTAACTTCTCTTCCAACCAACGTGAATTATTTAAAACAATAATAATTATTGTTTACCATTAGTGCGCTGCAAAACAGTTTCACTAAACCGACAAAACAAGACGAAATCATTAAGGCCGCATAAAATTTCTAAGCGAAAAAAAATGGAAACTAATCAACGACATTTGAGACTACAAATAAAACTGCTGACAGCGTAATAACTCCTTGGTGTGGCAACTAAGCTGACAAACTCATGTCAAATTATTCAATTTTTCCCGAAAAAAAAACAATTTTAGACACCGCATTACCTCCTGACCAAGCGTGAATGGGCTTGGAAATTCCAATGGTTAGATAATAAAGCAGCATCAATTTCTTAAGTATTTCTCAAAGCATAAAGCCACATTATGTATAAATTTCTGAAATCGAGTTTTTATTATTGTTATGTTGTTTGAAACAAACTACTTCGGTTCATTTGATGAATTAAAAATGCATAAGCTGTGTTAACTTATTACTATTCGAATGTTAAAGCACATGCTATCAAAAAGCTGTAAAGGTGCCGCAAAAAGTGGAACCAATATTTGCGACTTAAATTTTTTTTAATAAAAGAAGGTTCTTAATTATACACTAAGCTGACGCTAGTGAAAAAAACTCTTTGGCAGGTCAAACATGAGTTCCAGATTGCAGTAGTTATCACAACAACAAATTAACACGCCATGTTGCATTATAGCTTTCATATAAAATTCAGAGTAGCCAACTAACTGACATTGACGCGCGAAAAGAAGGTAGGAAAAAAAAGTTCGTACTAACACACTCGCTTCGCAAGTGTAAACGAAATATATAAAACCCAATGATATTATGGTGAACTAACAAGAAATTGCAAACTGTCAGCTGTTATGGAGATTGAGTTGGCCTGCATTCGCACCACCCCGTCCATGTAAGTAGAGGAGAGTGAATCTGACACATTTGCCCCTCGCATAGTCGCCCAGTCGAACTGAATCCACTGAAGACGACAAGAAAGACGTGATAAGAACGCAGTTACAATTGTGGATGATAAATTCGAAAAAAAATGCATTTAAAGCATTGTTTCCCAATTCAGGCCTGTTTTTCTTAGTTTTCGGATGAGATTTAATTCAGATTTAAAAAATACCGTTTATATGCGAGCGGAGGGAACAGCATACCAGCTGTTCAGCTCTTTACCCATAACTTCCTAATGTACCCGTGATTAAAACTTAGATGCATTTTTGTTTAATTTTTAAAATCTTTTTGCTGTTCTGGGTTCTATAATTTAACTTGAATGCATAGGACTACATACCTTAGGAGCAGCATCGAACTTGGACTGTGCGTGAGAGAGACAGTAGACTCTGAACAGGTGTGCAGCACTGGCGAATATGGCAGACACTGATGTACTGCCCGAGTGGAGAGAGGAGGAGGATCCACTGTTCAAACTGGCCAGAGAGAAGAGATTTCTGATTAGGGGACAGATCACTACGTCCAGGAACAGCTGCAGTTTGAAGTGCTTCCTCGCAGTCGCATCCAAACTACACTCCTAAAACATAGCCAACACACAGTTGGAAAAGTCATAAACGAAACTTTAAAAAAAACTTCATCTATCTATCGAACTTTAAAGAAGCAAATATGACATCAAAGCTCTTTGAAATTCAAGAACAATATATGATTGAAACCTTTTCATAAAATTAACCCAATTTGAGAAAACTGGATCAATAGGTAAAATTTTAATTTCGATGGGAAATTCGATAATTAAATTCCATTTTCGAAATTAGAAGTCGATCACGTTTTCCTTGATCTTTACACTTTCGCAATTTGCCTTCCTTTTAACTAAGGAGATGAACTGAACTTGAGGAGGAACTTGTGGACTGAATCGCCACAATGCCGCTATTGCAACAGTGACGAATAGGAAGACACGGAGCATTTCATTCTGAAATGCAGTAATTGGGCAGAAGAAAGAAGAACCACAACCACTTTGTGCTCATCCCCAGTATCGCAGTACTGCAAACAAATCCCGAACAATTCTTACAGTTTATTGGTCGAACAGAACAGAACGCCTTCGTACCTCAAATCAGTTATGAACGAGCTCCAAAAACAAACAAACAAACAACAACTGAACTTGAAAAAAAGCCAAACTGCAAAAAAAATCAAAGTTGAGCGTGAAAAAATTTCAAGACTTTTTCAGATACATTTTAAGAATTTTGTCAGCACAAAGAGCTAACTGAAGATTGAAAAGCTAGTTAATCACAGCAAATTTTCTTTAAAGCTTGGTTAACAGCTTTTCGCTCTACTCATTATTGGTTCCACTGTAGCAAGCAAAGCTAGACGTGTGCTTGTAACCACTCAGAAACGCCAGTGGTGTGATAATCAAACAAATGAAATCAAGAATGGCCTAGTAGCACAGAAAACACAAACAAAATAATTGAGAAAATTGGATCGATAGGAAAACTTTTATTTCGCTGGGAAATCTTATAATTAATTTCCATTTTCAAAATTAGAAGTCGATCACGTATTTCGTGGCTTTACCATTTTGCTGTTCGATAGTGAATTTTGCCTTCCTTTTAACAATGGAAATGCACTGAACTCAAAAAAAAATCACAAGTCAAACCGCGAAAAATCAAAACTTGCTGTTCGAGAGGCAAGTTTGTCTTCTTTCTAACCAAGGAAATGCAGTGAGCTTATAATAAAATTAAACCACAAAAAACCAAAACTCTGCCCAAACATGCCAAAAGAATAAAATGTCAAATCAGCATCGGAAGAAAATTAAGCAAGCGGTGACAAAGCCAAAAACCCCTGATCAGAAACTCTTCAAGCCAAATAACACACACAAGCACACAAAAATTGTGTTTCCCTTGAAATGACCCAAAATTAGGTCAGTATAACAAAATAGGCGGAAAAAATTTGGGTCGAATGAAGTTTTTAGGCCAAACAAAAAAAAACAAAAAAAAGAATTACAAAAACAATGGAAGTAAAATTACAAGTAAATCAAACACTGAAAGCACCAAAAGCGCTCAGCAAAAAAATATTCCAAGATGTAGCACATAAGTCGATAAAAAATAAGCAGACAAATAATTGGCCGAGAATTTTTTTTATTTGACAGAAAAAAAACAGGTCTTGGTCAGAATAAAACCAAGGAACTTTGCGTCGCAGGCGTATTCCTACCTCCAGGCTAAAAGGGCCGGAAATGCCAAGAAAATTGAAATTATTATAAAACAAAGTGTCACTAGAAATGAGTCCTGTAATTAAAGTCATTGACTGAAAAAAAAACTGGTACCTGATTGCAATACCCTTGCTTATCGCAAGGCTAATTAATTTTTCCTCAAAAAACCACTGAAAAATCAACAACACTTATATAAGAGTACTTACTACGTTCATTACTAAAATTAGTTATATAGCTAATGCAGCCAGTGGTGGATCTAAGATTTTCTCGAAGGGATAGATTTCCCGACCCAATAGATTTTCGGAGCACTCCCAGTACACTATAAAGACCCTATTTTAACCAAAAAATTTTGGGTGCAAGCGATTTCTTGAGAAAATTTTTTGGAAAATTTTGACCGAATGCATTTTTTTTCGGCGAGCACTCTCCTTCAAAATTACTATACATTGGCGTCTTTAGAAAAATTTTAGGATTGTTCGGCCTAAAATGGATGTCATAATATAATACCAAACGGGGGACCCTCAGTTGGTGAGGGGTTCAAATCCCTGGTTGGTAAGGGGTTCAAATCCCGCCCCCTCCCTAAATTCGTCCCTGAATGCAGCAAAGTACAACTGATCAGTACCCCCCCCCTCAGGGATTCGACCCCCTGCCAATCCAAACAGGGATTCGACCCCCTGCCATTACTATTTTGACTGATCAGTACCCCCCTCAGGGATTCGACCCCCTGCCAATCCAAACAGGGATTCGACCCCCTGCCATTACTATTTTGAGATTTATAGTAATAATTTTAGGCACCAATCTAATAGTAATTTTGAGGGGGGGGGGGGGGGGGGGGGTTAGATTTCTTGGTCGAAATTTTCCAATAAGTGCCTAAAAACGCCTTTTTGGCCTTTTTTTGAAACACTTGCCATCGGCGCAGAAAAGTTGGGCAAATTAGGCCCTTTATAGTTGATTGGGAGAGCTCAGAAAATCTGTTTGGTCGATCTAAAAAAAAGGTCGACAAAACTTTTTTGAAAATCCAACCCCCCCCCCCTCGAGAAATTCCTAGATCCGCGCCTGCAACAGATATAAAGCTATTGCTTCAAAACTGCCACCAAATGAATTTATTTGCGACTGGGGTTGGAAAAAAGTGAACTTCGTAAAATGACGCAACGCTATTAATGTGTGATCCTCATCATTTCTAGCTGTTCTGGAGCATTAACAACATATGAGACACTAACTTTGAGGCTGGTTTCGATGGCTGCCAGATACAGTTTGACACAATGTGGCATTAGATTCACATTGCTCTCTATGGCGCCCGAAACTGAGTGACAGAAGGACATCAGCTTCTGCTCGTCTAGTTTGTGACCATTTTGCTGATGCGCATTGAACAGCTGCTGCAACTCCGCGTATCGATCACTGTCTGAGATGGAATTAAACTGCGTATTTTCCAGAATATTTTTGCGAAACGGCATCAAGTTTAGCAGTAGATCCACTCCTAAAGGTCGCAAATGTTGGTCAGTGAAGCTCATAAGAGATGGATCTCCGCATTGTTTGATCAGTTCTTGTAGAGATTGGTAGAAAAACGTGGTTTGGAAGCGTAAATTGCCGGTCAAAATCGAAATTCTCTGACCCAGATCGCAATGGAACTGAATAAGACGTTTTTGATCTTCATTAAGTAAGCCATGCGAATAAATATTCTTCGAAAAAATTTCAATTAACTTTGAAAACAATCTGTGCTCATTACTTGTTTGATTATTCATAGAAGTTTCGAAAGTTTTGCAAATTTGGAACACAACGTAAGATGAGAATGATGGATTCAAATAAAGTTTCAGTAGCAATTTTGAAGTTTTATCACATAAATCACGCGAAGTTATGAATTCACTGGGGGCGCAAATGTTGAAAGACTTCGGCAGCAGTAAGTGAAGCTGAGAATTCGTTTTTATTTTATTTTGATGTTCAAATGCAGACGACGCAGCAGAACTAAGGTCATCAGCTGCATTCGAAGTCTCATTTTCCACACCATCTTCGATGTCTCGTAATAAATTAAGCCTGGTCAAATGGGCAGATAGAAGTTCTGTTTTCGCTTGGACTGACTGACTGAGCTCCATTAGTTTGACCTTCTCGCAGCGGTAGAATTCTGCCTGGCTAATGGTAGTCAAACATGTGTCTGTAAAATCCGCCATCCTACATCTGCAAAACAACTTTAAAAAAAGGACCGTTAAGATTAAGATAAGAAACCTCTACTATATATGTGAGTGGTGCATGTTTTATTATTATTGCCGCAAACACTGAGGTCGCTATATTCTGTGCTACTTGCACGGCGGTCGGAAACTCCTGTTCTTTTTGTATGAGCAATACCCCTGGTTCTTCCTTGATTACTGAAAATGTCAAAATGTCTTCACTTGCCAGTACACAAAATAATCTATGATGCTTTATTAATCTAAGAATAAAATAAATAGACCATTTGAGAAACAATTTGTATAAAACAATTCACTTCACAATCAGAATCACTCTTGGCAATGGAAACATTCCCATCTTCCCCATCCACCATTAACGATCTCTTGATTTATGAGAACATTGCCACAATGGAAACTGATGTTTTGCAACATACTCCAACATCTTATTCATTTCTCGCGCCAAAATCGATTCCAATTTTGAGATCGTGGGCGGGGAGAGGCGGCGAAAAAGTTTCATTTAGTATGAAAGTGACAGCGAAGGGAGACAGCATGTTGCTTGTAATCTTCAGGTAAAATTCACTTCACTTCCACACTTTGATGACTCCGGACATGTCACTGGAAATTAGGTAAGAGGTCCCGCTCTGGCTCCCCATCACCACCCCTACATCCGTCACCATGTCCCGGTGACTGAATGCCGGCAACTCTGGTCCCCTCCGGAACATCTGCTGTCTCTGGCTATCCGATATGGACTCCCTGATCACATCCGCATACTCGCCACTACTGTCGACCACTGAAAGACGCTTCGAGTTGGCCGAATTGGACCTGAACAAATTAACACATTCACAATCATTGCATACATTTAATTATTAATTTTCTCGGCTCGCGCATCATCGCCACTATTTGATTTTAAAAGTATCCGTAAAAATGCTGTATTCAAAATGTGCCGCTTGCCATTCTTATTTTACTCTCATCGTAACATTGTTTATAATTCGAGACGATGTAGATAAAAAAAATTGTTCAAACGACCACAATATTTCGAAATTTCAAAGGATAAGCAACGAGACCAGCCGAACAAGAACTACCTTGCACTCAATGATTCGTATCAAATTAAATAGTATTTATGCATAAAAAACTAAAGTATAATATAAAGAAAATGAATTAAAATCAAATTCCCAGTGGAGCTTGAACCCCGGCGTCTGGAGCCCGACAGGCCCGCTTCGACCACTGGATCAATTTAGAAATAAAAAAATTCGGCTAATTTACACCAATTAAAACCGAAAATTCTCAAAACTAATCAAACCATTTACCATTATTTACGCTCCTGTTTCCTACTTCATTTGGAAGTGCGTACCCCAGTATCCGTACTGTACCCCCTCTTTATGAGCTAAGTACTATCGGAACAAAAGAGTGTTGCCAGTTTATACGCAAGGTGAAGCGGAGTTTCGCATCACTTGCGTCACACCGCAAGCGCAGCATTGCAAGTTAGCAAATTGAAAATGACACAGAAAAAATAGAAAAAAAAACAAATTTCAGTGAAGGAACACAAAAAACAGCATAAAATAAGTTTTTAGTTTTCATCGAGCGGCCACTAAGCCGACAATACGAGGTTAGACGCTCATTCAGCTAAATTAAAGAAGTTGCCGGATAAAAAATTTTGAGCTAATAAGTTAAAGCTTTAAACTTTTGCAAAACGAACGACCTGAATTTTAAAAATAATAATCATTTTTTGCCCATGAAGCAACACTAAAGTAACTAAGCCGATTAAAGCAAAAAATTGTTCGGCTGTACGTGGCCAAAATTAAACTAATTTAGGCCGAATACAGCTTTTAAGAGAGAAAAAATATATATAAAGTCAGAGCTATCAATCTTAAAAATTATAGGAGTAAATGCAAAAGACTAGCATCTACGATGAAAATTGCTACAGCACACAAAAAATCTGCGATGTGACAAAAGATAAGCAGATAAACGAAAGTCCATCCATTTTTTCCCGGAAAAACTTCAATTTTGTACAAACTGAAAAAATCAGGAAAAAGGAAACATAGCCAACTGACAGTTGAAGAGTAATCAACGCAAGGAAACTAAAAAAAAAAACCGACTTGTTTTTTCAAACATCTTCAATTTTTGAATTTCGAATTAAAAATTAGATGGCCTTAAAGCTCTTTGAATTTGTACAACAACTTATGATGGAAAACTGAATCTGAGAAAACTGAATCAATGGGTAAAATTTTCATTTCGCTGGAAAAACTGATAATTAATTTCCATTTTGAAAATTAGAAGCAGATCACGTTTTCCGTGACTTTTACAATTTTGCTGTTCGCTAGTGGAGTTTGTCTTCCTTTTAACAATGGAGTTCCAGATTACAGTAGTTGTCAAAACAACAAATTAACATGCCATGTTGGCATTATATCCTTCATATAAAATTCAAAGTAGCCAACTAACTGGCATTGACGCGCGAAACACTTATTTTACACCCTAATCACATTGTCGAGAAAATCTCATCATCAAGCTAAAACTTGAGCTTCAAGAATCAATTAAGAGTCTATTCGGATAACTAATTTTTACTGTCCTTCAATATTACGAACGATAACAATAATTGCGAAGCATTCAAGTCGATATGAAACGATATATCTCTATAATTTTGTAACCTTTCATCTCAATTCCTTGAGAGTGTAATTGCGGTAAGTCAGTTGCTTTAACGATCTGAATCACTCCGAATTTCAAATGCAAAAGGTCGCAGCGCACTGAAGATTGTCTCATCAGCAAATTACTGCATAATAAATCAAAATCGGTAAATCATATATGCTAAGAACAAATATCAATGGAACCATCGATGAGCCCTGTGGGACTACAGAATTTTTATGATGAAACATACCCCGCTATTTCGAAATACTGACCAGAGGCCTTACTTCGTGTTTCGAAAGCATTGAGTCTTGTCAGAGGTAATTAATGATCAATGGTGCTAAAATGGTTTTTGTCACGAAAAAAATCATTGTTCAAGTCATAAAAATGGTTCCTGTTTCACGTAAACAATCGCGAACTAATGGAAATTTTCTTTTTCTACAACACAAATTGAACCAACTATTCGTATCCGATAATACGAATGCATCATTCAAGGCATTTTTTAATATTTTCTTAGACGCAGTCAAAAGTTCACTTTAATTAAAAATAAAACGATTCAGGGAAACAAATTATCGAATTGATTTCGCATTGCAATTAAAAATTGCAGAATATAACGAACGAAGTTACGAAAATTAAATATTGCGCACATTAAGGCGCACAAGTTCTGGGTAAAGGCTATTACCAGCCCACTAAAAACAAATACGTTTATAAGATTGCGCAATAAATTGAGATGAAAACAGAAAAAAAAGATAAAAACAAAAAGTGAAACTTCATAAAAACTTTTAGGACGTTAGTGTCGACTCAAGACAGACGAAGAAGTTACTAAATGATCTTAAAGAGAGCTCTAATAAAGGTGTAAGGTTTTGTGCTTACGTCCACTGATTCTGGTTATCACTTCAGACAGAGACAGAAGAAAAAGTAGAAACCTTCAACAAACTTTTTACATATGTTGTTTCAAGTAATAAATAAATAACTGGGCTCATAACACTATCCTACCCGAACCGCAGCAGATTTCGTTCTATCTGGGCGAAACTTCTGTCAATGAAGTCACATATTGCACTTAAAAGCAACCTAACAAAACGTCATCTGGTGATGATATTAATTACAATGTCTTAAAAAGAGTTTAGTGCAGCATATCTCACAGAAACAATGTAACTATCTTTTGCCCAGAACATATTTCCTGAAAAAATATTGTCCCATATTTCTGCTGAATTCCTTAAAATTTAGAAATGATCAATGTACAACAGGGTCTATAAACTTCAGCTAAATTTTCATGTTATTTTACGATAAACAATTTGAATTTCATTCAAAGAATAGCATTATTGATGCTTCAGCCGAAGAAACTGAAAATTTGAAAGATGAAACATTTCGAAAAATTAGATTTCAGGATCTCAACAAAGCGTTTGATACCATGGATCAACATATTCTTCTGAAATCTCAACTTACTTCTTGCGGAATACAAGGTTGTGCTCTCGAATGGATTAAAACCTATTCGAGTAGGCCTCAGCCGAAGACCGAAAAAACAAATATTACATCCTCGCGGAGATCGATTACAACATGGTTCCAAATTATGACCACTATTACTACTGATATACTTCGAAATGTACCTAATATTGGTACTAATCATGAAAACCTAGATAAATGGTCGTCTGCAGGGGCGGACAACCCCCCCCCCCCAGGGATTCGACCCCCTGCCGACCCAAAGGGTCCCCCCTTTGGTACTTTTTAAGAAATCCATTTTCGCCAATACATACTAATCTTGAGGGGAGAGCGCGCGCCGAAAAAACGCGATTTTTTGGTCAAAATTTTCCAAAAAAGTGCCTAAAAACGCCTTGTTAGTCTGGTTTTTCAAAATTTGGCCTGCGGCGCAGAAAGTTTGACCAAAACAGGGTTTAAACAGTGCTTAGGGAGAGCTCGAAAAATCAATTCGGTCGACCTAAAGAAACTTTTTTGAAAATCCGCCCCCCCCCCCCCCTCGAGAAAATCCTAGATCCGTCCCTGGTCGTCTGTATATTAATGAACTTTGAATTTCGACAAAAACAATTGATAGAACGTAGTGCGTCCCTTTTTTTTGAATTGGCCTATGTTCCTCGAAAGCGGATGAACAAATGCAATTAGAAAAAAATTAACTAAAAAAATGATTTTAAACACAAATTCAGCATGATTCCAAACAGCTAGCTAGGCAATATACAGCTCGGCAAAATAAAGAAATTTTTCAAGAGATTACTTGATAAGTACAAACATGAAATCAAACCCCTTGTGCAATATGGGATTTTAGTTTCTGGTTCCCGAACAAAAGTTGTAGCTCTAAAGCTCTGGACCCAAATTTCAATAAACGAAGATACATTTAATGGTCATAGAGATGTTAATGAACTACATTTTTATTGACTATTGAAGTTTGATAACTAAGACCAATCAATAATTTTTCAACCCGTAAAGCAACGAAACAACTTTCAAAGCAACCCCTGAGTCGAACAAAGCTGTAAAACTTTTGCATTTGTTGGAGGTCAACGAAGCTTTAGCATGCCTCACAAGTAAAAATACTACTACCAGTACCCCGACAACTCGCAACAAAAGACAACTCGCAACAAAAGACAACTCGCAAAATTAAAGAAAAGCGAAAAATCACAAATTTTGAAAACTAATTTATTTGAGAATTTCAGTTTAAGGTCGCCGGTAGGCGCCCTACACTGGCGTCTCCGCGATAACCGGCTTTAAATTCCGTATAATATCCTACCCTCTGTTAGGAATATTATCGAAATAGTAACAGAAAATGGTATTACCAATTCAGCTCATGTTTTCAGAGCTGGATATTTCTTCAAGAATAAAGAATTGAGTAGTTTTAATCTTTTCTTAAGGATCCGTTGTCCTAAGCCTAGTGCAATTGGAAGCAGTGTATAATAGCCTACAGACCTTTACTGACAAGGCTCCGTAGTATAGCGGCTAAAATATGACTTGCACCCCAGGGGTACGCGGTTCAATTCCCGGCTCGAACCGTGATAACGTATGGGTAAATCAGAGCTGTACCTGGGAAGGAATAAAAGCGCTATAAACAGTGTTATCAGCTTCATAGAGAAAGGAGAAGATGTAGATGATGCAGCAAAATAGGAGAGGAACTTCATAAAGATTTTTTTTATTCGAAAAAAGCTTTGTCTTTTCAGTCATGATGCTTTGGTCTTGCGATAAACTGCTTGACTGAAGCTCCGAATAAGAGGTTCGAATCCCGGTCGGACATTTTCTTTTAATCTTTCTAATTTAGATTTCTAATACAGATTAACTACTTTCACATGTTGTTCTTTGAAGTAGAGAAATGTTAAACAAATTATATGTAGTTTGAAGGGTAGACCTAGAGCAGATCAACTGATCTTTTTATCTAACCTTTTCAAGCGCTACCTAACTCAATTACTCTGACTTGAATGAGCTTCTTCTTCTTCCAATAGCAAGTTTAAAATCAGAGAATGCATATGGGTTGACTGGACTGACCTGAGTGAGTAGTTGTTGTCGCGTGAGATGGCCACTCTGTGCTGAGAGTAGTGGAATGTCTGCTCTACTCCCGCCGGTTGGATGCTGTTGCTGACCACATAAGTCCTATTAGGGTTGCACACATCCCAGAAGCGAACTCTCTTGTCACTCCCACCTACACACAAACAACAACATTGAACTCTTAGCAGCGTACAAAAGTAATACAGATCTCAGTGAGGACTGACCTCACTTGCCAAAAACATTTCATTTAGCAGGAGTGCGAAAACTAAACAAAAACCTAATTCTTAAGGCGGTATAAATATAAACCTCATCGACCAGAGAAGCAGGCATATATTGAAATTTACCTTAATAATTACAATTTGCAGCAATTAATTGAAAATACTCAACAAACAGCACAGTAAAACGAAGACCTAGTTTAAAAGCCAGAAGCTTTTACATCACCAGCTACACAAACTTGCTTCGCAATCCATGATACTGTACGGCCAAACCAACCTTCCGTATGACGATAGAATATATTAGCAATCGTGCGCGTTTTTTAACGCTATCAGATACCACAATTAACTGTCAAATGATGCCGACAAATAGCTTATTTCTAAACCGATCAAGTCATTTGAAGTTTGCGAGTTTAATATAGTAAGAGTTTGAAATAGTATTTTGAAGCAAAAAGTTCACCTTAACCAGTATCTGGAGCATTTTCCATCTTACTACATAAACAGCAGATAGTTGGAAAAGTGTAAAGAAACAAGAGAACTGAACAAAAAAAGTAGATGAAAAAAATTTGAATATTTCTCATCTTTTGACCTTTGAAGAAATAATATATCGCGTTACAGCTCTTTCAATTTCGAATTTTTTATGACAGGTACTTTTTTCTTCAAGTTATCCCATAAAGAGAAAAAGATCACTCGGTATTTTTTATTCTAGTGGGAAATTCAAAAGGTAAAATCTGCACTCGAAACTCGAAGTCGTTCTCGTTTTGTCGCGTCATTTCCACTTTCGTAACTGGAGAGCGTAATTCGCCTTATCCAAAAAAAACCACCGCAAATGTAGCGCTTTCCTGAAAAAAAAAACGTCACGAATATATAAGAGAAAATCACTTCGCTCTTTTACACTTAAACATGTAACAGACAACCATAAAGCACAGATTTTCTAACCACTTTTATACTTTTTACGGGTTGTATGAAATGCATATTTTATACAGAATTAATTTTCAGACTAGAACAAATGCTTGAGGCGGATTCTGGGGTATATCACTCCTGGTGTAGAATGTACGGTTGATTTAAAAAAAAAACAAGATACAATAGGTTGTCCTTTGCTGTAATCAGAATCCAAAAGAAATTAGGCCTTCATTATAATGCAAAATTTACCCATTCGAGTTTTCCTAGAGGTACCAAAAAACCCAACAATTGCCATGCTGTGGAAACTTCGCTGAAAACAAATAAACAGGCAAGCGATAGACCGACAAATAAGATTTCCCAAGCAAATACTCTTGACCCAATTAGAACCCCAGATCTTTTCCGTCCCCGATCTGAGCGTTAAAATTAATCACAAGAACAAGAAATACATATGCCAGTAAAGCAAACCGATGATTTCTATGATCAAAAATTATAACATGAAACAAGGATAGCCGGTTACTGTGCAAGTAGCACAATGTTCCGACCAGTCTTAAAAAAATACAAAAAGTTTTTTCAAATTGATGTCGTTTTTCTCTGCATGTTGAGATTTAAAAAATCTGAACGAAACATAGAATTTAGGCATATTTAAGAGTAATAACAAAATAGGTCATTTGGAAAACTGTTTTAAAAGAAAAAATTAAAAAAAAAAAAAAAAATTTTGCCGAATTAATTAGCTCGAATTAAGACCAAAAATGACAAATTTCAAACCGGTTTTTCTCAACACTGTGAAAACTTTTTTGAAATTTTTTGATGTCGTACGAATAACGACTAAAAGGGGCTTTGATATGATTTATCACTCAACCCTGTCCGATGATTATTTGAGTTAGCTGATTTTGCGTGAAAAAGAACTACACCCGAATAAAAAGTTCCTCCCCATTTTCAATGGTCGGAACAACCGATTACAATGCCATTGCTAATCAAAGGTAACAACTCAGAACTAAAAAAAACTGATTTTCTGCATCGGCTGACTTCATCAAAACAAAAACTGAACGCTTATAACCAAGAAATTTCAGTTTAATTTAAGGCAACGCCTGACAAAGAACTTTTTCGAAAGTTTTTATATTACAACGAATAACATAGCTTAATACCACACTGGAAAAAGAACTTTTTCAAAAGTTTGAAGCTAAACACGAATATCAAGACTTAAAAATGAGAAAAAATGGACAATGCTTCTCTATGATCTGTTTGTTTTTGAAACGACAAATGCACAAAATTTCGACTAAAACGATAATTGGGCTAACTGCGCCCTAAATTACGCAAATTTCAAAAACTACAAGCAAAAAAAAGTACGAATATTTTTTAAAAAATCGCTCATTTTTTGTGTCTCGATTGGACATGGACGATTGAATTTAGCATATATTTATAAGGGCGGATTCGTTTCAGCAATATTATGCTATGAATCGAGAACAGAGGAGCGACGGTGAAGTTGATGAGGTCTCTACATTGCAGTCAAAATTTCAGTAGATCGAGGCCCTCAATGATCAACTTTCGTTGCTGGCGGGTGAGGCAACAATTCTGAGTCCAACGAGTTAACCTAAAAATATGCATGTAGACCTTAAGCAAGGCACAGCTGCGGGTTTTTAGCCCCGGTCCTACTCAATTCAGGGCCAACCGCGGAGGCGAGGGGATGTTATCCATTTCGAAAACATTAGGAGGCGGGCCAAACAGCGACCCAACCGTGACCAAAGCTGGAGTCGATCGCACGAGCCCTCGTGTTGCACGTCCGCTGCGTTTCCCAGTCCAAGGGTCGATTTAAAACTATCTTTGGATCATTCAGAAACAAGCCGTACCGGTTTTTCCATCTCCATATAATCGTTTTATTTGCCAGACTGTAAAAAGATATATTAAAATCTAAACGATGAACAGCAAAATATAGAAATCTGATGAAGCACCCAATCTCAAAACAAAAGCTTTCAAATGAACACAGTTGTTCATAAGTCGTCGGTGTTTATTTTTTTATTAAGGCTGAGACTCTTGAGGTTTCTCTCCGAGAGTTCCTGTATGCTGGCAGCGATGTTCCCTGCCGTGAAGGAATTCCTCCTCGTCTGCAGGTACTTGTCGATCATGATGTCGATATTTTTCTGTTTGGTCTTGGATGCAAGCATCTCGTCGTACTCTGCCTTAGAGGCCGCCTCCTTCTCAGCGTCTTTAGCTTCCATCTCTTTCTACACAGCACAGCACATCACATCACAACATATGACAAACATAGCCAACAGACAGTTGAAAAATGATCAAATTTCTCAGGAAAAAATTGATGGCCTTTGAAAAAAGCCTCTGAATTTACAAAATAATTTATGATTGACACTTGAGAACCCAACTAACCCAACCCAATTTATGATTGACAGTTGAGAGCCCAACTAACCCAACCCAATTTATCATTGACAGTTGAGAACCCGACTAACCCAATAACTAACCCAACTTGAGAAAACTGACAATAGAAAGAGAAAACGCACCATAGAAAGAGACTAGCGGAATAAACGAAATGCAGTGGAGTAGCTGTTCTTTCCATCGGTCTTTCGATCACTTTTGTGAAAATAACGATTAAGACACTACACTTCGCATGTGTAACAAGGCAAAACTTCCATACAGTTGTTAAGAAGAGTATGGCAGGCCTGATCAGTGTTTGCCGCACAATAAACATTTATAAATTGTATGTAGTCTTTAACAAATTATCTCTTATGCATTTTGTCGCCTTGCGCAACAACAAAACAGTCATAAGATTTCGCCATACTAGTTGCATTTAATCGAATATTACCTAAAAACCATACAGCCAATTGGAAACATAGCCAACTGACAGTTGGAAAAGAGTAGAAAAACGGAGGGAACCTGAAAATAAAAAACGGACTTCTTTTTTTTTCAAAAATCTTCCACTTTTGATTTTGAAGAACAATTAAAAACGGACCTTTTTTTAAAACAAAAAAGTTTGAAGAACAATTTGAAACTTTTTGTTAAAACTAATCCACTTTGAGAAAACTGGATTAATAGGTAATACTTTTGTTCCATCGGGAAATCTGATAAATTAGAAGTCGATCACGTTTTTCGTGCCTTGTAAACTTTTGCTGTTCAATAAAGGAGTTTTCCTTCCTTTTAACAACGGAAATGCACTGAACTTAAAAGAAATCGAGCCTGAACTTAAAAGAAATCGAGCACTGAACTTAAAAGAAATCGCTAAAAAGAAGTCAAACCGCGAAAAATTGAAATTGAGCGTGAACAAACTTTAAGATTTTTTTCTTGGAAAAAAAAACAAACAAAAATATCAAAAGACTATAAGAGTACTCACTACGTTCATGACTCTTAAAAATATAAGAGTACTCACTACGTTCATTACTCTTAAAAAAGTCAATTAACACCAAAAGACAGAAACAGAAATATGAAAAATGGCCGAGAAAAACTATTACCAGCGCCATATCAATTGCTTAGTATTTAAACAATACTTAATTCAGACGATCGTTGGGCCAAAATTTCAAAAAAATTTGGAACCCCAAATTTTTACGCTTTTCCCGCCAGAAACATGAACGCACGAAAAATAAACGCCTTCAGTTTGCTTATTATAAAATAAAACAATTTATTATAAGCTGAATACAATTAAAACGAAGAAACCTTTAAATCGAAAAATAAAACTGAGATTTAAAACAATAATACAACGGGATAGGTGGTAAGCTTACTATTACAGGAAAAATCATTGAGAGCACTAAATATTCAAATGCAAGGTCCAAGCTTTAGACTGTGAGCCGATCAAAAGCAGGCAAAGGAAACTCGATAATTCAATTTTTTCAATAAAAAATCAAACCCAGCTTTATTTTTGTATTTGTCGAGAAAATCAATCACCAGCCTTAAATAAGCCATCAGTATCATTAATTGAGCTGTCATTTTGCCGAAAATACTCGGGAGGATGCTTATTGAACCGAAAACAAAATTACCATAAAAAAGTAGTTGTAAAGAATACTTTGAGCCATTGGGTTTTAAAACCTGTAAAGACCCCACAACTTTAAGAACAAGATCATGAAAATCTATTTTCTTTTCACACCACGGAATATTAGATGAAAAAAGCGATAAAAAAGCCACGCAATATAAGATGAAAAAAGCGAATATAAAATTTGGAATGTGCTGAAAATTGTTGAGGTCTAATAGCAAGTTCATTTTCTTACACAATTGTAAGATTATAAGTGAAAATGAAACCAACCCAATTAGGGGAAAAAGCGGTCAATAGACATTTGTTATTCCACAATGAATTTTCAAAAAAAAATTTGAAACTAAAAATTGTTCAAGAGTTTTCGCGCCATTTCAAATTTCGTAATCGGAGATAGTAATTTGCTTTCCTTTCAGCAAATGAAATTGGACTGAACTTGAAAAGCCAAACCACAAAAAATTCAAATGACTGAAATCAAGTTGTCCCATATAAAGGTCTTAACACAGAGGCGAAGCTGAGCTTTGCACCACTTGCGATACAAAATAATAAATCGATAAAACGGAAAAAAAAATCGAAACTGCCAAAAAAACAGGATCTATCAATAAGATTAGGCTATTTATGAAATAAAAACATGGCAAGACAAAAAAATGAGAAATTAGCACCGGAATTAAACTTACCAAGCGGTAGCAAAGCCGAAAATAATTTATCAGAAACCCTTTAAGCCGAAAAAAAATGAACAAGATTTAAGACTTATATAAAACGTTAATAATTCCCTCTCACCTCCAAAACACACACATACACAAACTATGTTTGCTCGACAAATGAAGCAATATGAGATCACTTAGCCGAAACAACATAGCCCGAAACCTATTCAGCGAAAAAAATAAGACAAAAAAATTTAAGCCGAAAAAATGAACAAGATTTAAGACTTATCTAAAACGTTAATAATTACCTCTCACCTCCAAAACACACACATACACAAACTATGTTTGCTCGACAAATGAAGCAATATGAGATCACTTAGCCGAAACAACATAGCCCGAAACCTATTCAGCGAAAAAAAATAAGACAAAAAAATTTAAGCCGAAAAAATGAACAAGATTTAAGACTTATATAAAACGTTAATAATTCCCTCTCACCTCCAAAACACACACATACACAAACTATGTTTGCTCGACAAATGAAGCAATATGAGATCACTTATCCGAAACAACATAGCCCGAAACCTATTCAGCGAAAAAAAATTAAGAAAAGCCGAAAAAAGGTGAAAATTTAAAAGTTCCAAAAAGCTAGTAAGTCTCCCTCACCCTCAAAACACGCACTAATTTTTTTTCACTTGGAGACCAATAAACCGATTTGATTTCATAAAGGCCAAAACCTATCAAGCGGAAAAAGACGAAGTGTGCCGGAGACGCAAGGAAAATTGAAATAATTATGAAATGAACCTAAATTTACCATTTCTAATTTTGAACATTCTGCGAACGAAGTTATTTATGGGAAAAGTCTAGTACTCGCTTACAATACCCTTACCAAATAAAGACGCGGTATAGATAAGGAATGTCAAACACAGTTACAAATTTAGATACGGATTAATCAATGTAACTTTTTCTGAGAGAGACCAAGCTGAACTTCGCAAACACAGGCAAGAAAACGACAAACAGCAATCTGATAACTTTCGGAATCGAACCCCTGGCTTCGAGGCAAGGAGGATATATATAGAGCTTCCTAGGATCTACGCCAGAAGTGAAGTTAAACCACAGAGGCGAAGCTGATCTTCGCAAAATTTGCCATACAACAAGTATAAGATTAAACAAGCGTGTTCCTAAGATGACTTTTAACGATAAAACTGAATAAGGAACTAGAAAAATTATATTTCTCCATGATTAATTTATTTAAGTTTTTTACATTTCCTTGAGGGGTCGAGCATTCAAAAATAGGGTGCCAGACTCTTATCGATCATAAAAATACAACAGGAAAATTATAGGAAACAAACTAATAGGAAGAAAAGCCGACATAAATAAAGCCGATCTGACAATAAGCTGAAAATTATCCACAATTTTTCAACAAAAAAATTGCACGTGTCTACGGATGCTATATTTGTAGTATTATTCAAAAAAGACAAAACTTGAATCAAAAAACATAAAGCAGACAACTTGCAAGACAACACAAACATAGCACGACAAACTAGCAGACAAAAATTGAGACGAAAGCCTCTAAATAAAAATGTTTTCAAAATGTCGAGACAAGCTATATCTACTAACAATTTCAGTTTGTCTGGAATAGAGTTCATTTAGAAAAAACATGCCATCCTTTAAAAAAGGAATTGAACTGAACTTAAAAACAAACCATAAGTCAAACAGCGAAACACCAAGTTTGAACGTGAGCTTTTTAAAAAAACATACAAAAGGAAGTCACGCGACCTAAATAAGAGAAGAATCACTTAGTTTCTTAACACCTTATAACCCTAGTCCCAACTACTGATATCATCTTGAAGAGTATTTTGATGTGAGCTTTTCAGAGTCGAGATGCCAAGCCTAATCTATAACCTACCTAGGCAAAACTACGTGCTGCAAAACTTTGATTGCCATTTCCCAAAGTTCAGAAAATGTTTCTCAAGTAAAAACTGGTTCTCAAAGAGCAATTAAGGAAAAGGTTGTAAAGCCGGACTGACTGTGAACTTACCACAGTGCGTATCATCTCCTGGTGTTGTTGAGCCTTGTGTTTGCGGTCTATGGATTTAAGCACTGAGCCCATGTCCACCTTTTCTCTCTGCGCCTGCCAGTCACTATGCAGCACCTTGTTCATCTCCGCCATCAACACCCCATACTACAACAACAGGTAACAGTCAACATCAACAGAGGGGAGAAAAGAGATGACGTCGACACTTTAGCACTAGTCAAGAATACAAGCAAGCCTTATCAGTGAGCAGTTTTCTAGGGGGGAACTACAAGGACCCAATTTTGCCAAAAATTTTCCGCTTCGCAAGCAAATTTTTCAAAAAACAGGCCAAAAAAGGCGTTTTTAGGAACTTTCTGGAAAATTTTGACCAAAAAAACTTGGTTTTTTTTCGGCGCGCGAACCCCACTCAAAATAGCTATATTGGCGCCGAATTTTAAAAAAATGGAAACCAGAATTGAGGAAGGGGGCGGTCGCAAACCCCCATCCCCGCACGCTACTGTCAAGGAGGCACAAAGAGGTTTCAACATCTTAACATATTAACACTAAGTGTCTTTGTTCTTTCCCTCCTTCATAATAATTGTTTCAATAAAAAACATATCCTTAAGTTATAATCATACCTCTAAAAAGAAAGGGTAGTTTTACAATCGTTTTATGCCACCAGTGTTTTAAAATTAGAATCAACCCAACTTTAAACGCAGCTTTTAATTCGAGTCCATGCCAATCAGTTCGGAATGAGAGCAACATTGGGAGAGTATACTGCTGTTTAGCCTCATGGGCCTTAAAACGCTATCATCTATTTGGGGGCAGGCATTTAAGACGATAGGAAAATCAGTATCAGAAACAATAGTTCACATTTAATTTTATGAAAATTGGAAACAATTGTTGTTTGGCTTTGTGAAATAAATATAGCCACGTCCGAATTTCCAGTCCTCCAAATCTATCTATTTTTATCATGCTAACTCACCTGTTCCGACAGTCTTCTGTCCTTCCTGGAGTAATGCTTCTTCAACAGATCTTGACAACACTTATCGAACATAGTATACACTCTTTCCCGTCTCGTTCTTCTATCTTGCACAATCCGTTCGTAAGCTCCCTTCCACTTGAGTTTGATCTGAGCTTGCCGTCTCAGCCTCGCACGATTCTCACGCTGTTCACGCATGATCTGCTGATAGTTCACTTTCTTCGGCCTCGGAACAACCTGCAATTTTTCCGACGCTCCGCTCATATCTACGCCGAATCTGTGCGCCCATTCTTGACGCTGACTTGAAACTGGGGGAAAGGATACCGGATACTGAAAGGGGTTTTCCAAAGAGTGCCTTTTGCTGTTCATGTTTAACTTGTGGTTAGAGCTGAGGTCGAAGCCGTTTACCTGAGTCGCCCTCGTTCCTCTCCTCAATGGCTGCAACTGGCCAGTCTGCTGATGACGAATAAAAGAAGACACCATATTGTTGGCGTTGAACACATAATTGGATGAGCTTTTGTTCATGTCGTGTTTCATACTGAGTAGACGCATGCTTTGTGCGTCAAAACTGCGTCTGCCCTCCTCTGTTACTCCATCCAATGGCTGTTTGGGCAAGATGTTATAAGAGGTAGTCAGTTCGCTCTTCTGAGGGGGACTTAACGTGTTCGTTGTACCATCCGCCAGCTTCTCCACCACATCCCAGTTCGATTTCAGTTGTAGTTGTCGGCTGTGCTTGTCTGGAATCACTCTGGGTAGGAACCCGTACTCACTGCCACCACCCTTCTTGTGAGCCGGATGATGATTATTCAGTTTGAAGTTCTGAGCACTACCCATTGGATTTCCGTCAAATACCAACAACACACAAATACACATAACTAAGCACTGCCATGTTGAGAATTAGAAACGAATTGACGTGGTTTTACTTTTGATTCAACCAATCAAAGTGACGGCTTCTAATTTGTGCTCTTTGGAGCATGTCACCCAGTTCAGAGACCGTGGATTTTCAGGTTCATTTTATTGCCTATTAAGCATTATACTGTTCAGTAGAATAAGTCAGTCATGCGAGACATTCAGATCCAATTCGAGCTGAACAAATCTTATTTTAGCTAGCGCATAATTACAGTTTGATGGCTGATATTGGCTGCTTCCACTATGGCTAGTGCCACGCAAATTTGTCTCATTCTACTTCCCCTTGACGAATTGAGGATGAAAAAGAAATAGAGGAGTATTGTGCGGCTAGAGAGTGGTGCCAGTTCTTCTCTTCCCCATGTCAGAGATCAAAGCGTGCGAAGCTAAATCGACACCTGAATAGCTCTGGAAGAATTTTCAGGGGGACAACCAGTAACAATTAAACGGTCTAGGGTCAACTTCAATGCTTTATGACCCTTTGCTTTGGTACATTAAACTTGATCTACATCGTCATCAAATAGGAATTCCAACTTGTCTGCGAGTCTTTCAAGCAATAGAACTAAAGAGATGAAGGAAAACATTATAAATTGTATTATTACTGTCTTATTGTAATTTTTAGAGCAGATTTTTAAAACGAGGGAAAACCAGAGACACAAACACATCCAAAACGATATTCGATTCAGAGGAATCCGAGCTGAGACATTAGCTGTTTAAATGCGCGACGCCAGAAGCCAGTTCTCGAGATAACTTCAATTTGAAATCACCAAATGACCTAAGACTATTATTTGGTGGACACAACGTACAAAATGATATCAACTTAATCAAATCGACTTAACAAAACACAAAATTGAGGCTAAAATTGCTACCCGTTAGAAGTTACAGACATATAGCCACGTCGTGGCAAAAACACGAACAAATGAAAGCACTCAGGATAAAAATTGACTCTTTTTTCTACCCATTCCAGTTGATTAGAAGGTACCTGATATGATTTGGAAATCAGCTTCTGTCTCGCCCACAGCATAGAATCCCATTGCGTAGCTATTTGTCCCCGTTCCTGCCCCTCCCCTAGCTGAAGAGGGCTGCTGGTAGTTGAGAGGGTCACTTGAACTACTCCAGAAAATCTTACTCCTTGAGCCAGACTCCAGCTTCCACACTGCCACTTCGTAGTGACCCCGCATAGAGGCTATCACCGCCTCTCTGTCGAACGGATGTCGCTTCAGACGGTGCACAGCCGGTACTTTGAACCGACTGCTCGCCGACAACGAAACCTATAATACCAAGCAATGAACAAAAAAAAAGAAAATTTTACACAGGCGAAGCTGAGCTGCGATACAACTAGATCGATCAAAATGAATAAAGATGACCATAATATTAAATATAGAATAAAGCGGATAAAACATGTCCAGACAATAGAATAAAAAATCAGCATCGTAACAAATCCAACTAAGCGGTAACAAAGCCGGTAACAAATACCTGAGCAGAAACTCTTATGCCGATACTTTTTTTTTTTAAATTCAGAATTAATTTTAAAAATTGAAGTCCCTTCCCCTCAGAACACACACACACACACGCAATAAGAGCCTACAAGCCTACACGCAAAAAGAGCCGATAAAAAACAAGCCGAAACCTATTCAGCCGGAAAAACTGGAAAAAAATGCAATTTTAACAGACCGAGTTGGTACAAGTACAACCAACATGAAAACTGAGGGGAGCAAAAAAATGTGTTTACTTGATACGACCCAAAATAATTCACTAAGCCGACAAAGAATAGGCCGTAAAAACTTAGGCCGAATAAATTTTTCAAGCGAAACAAAAAAAAAACAAAAATACGAAAAAAGTAAAGTAAAATTACAAAATCCAGGAGTAAATCAAAACACAAAAATAATTGCATGCAGCAAAAAAATGATTCTAAGATAAGGCAATTAAGCCGACAAAACTTAAGCAGACAACTAATAGGCCAAAAATATTATTTCAAAGAGAATTTTCTCCTTGAAAAACACAGGTCCTGATCAGATTCGAACTCAGAACCTTTGCTGTCCCAGGCATATTTGTTACTGCCAGGCTAAGTGTGCTTGGAACGCTAAAAAATTTGAACTCATTATGAACCAAGTAGATGAGTCCTGTGAACAAATTTATTCACGGGAAAAAGTCTAGTACCCGACTGCAATACCCTTGCTGATCGCAAGGGTAAGCAACTGGTGTTGAACTACCGAAATTCAAACGTGTTTTCTTTCCGGACTGATTTTAGAAGTTGAGTCCATATTTTTAAAATAAGACATCAGCTTAAGAAGTCTCCGGTAAATAATTGCCAACCATCAATGTTAGCATTTCGCGGTCAATTAAATCCGACACAGAGCAAAGCTGCACTATGCAACTACAAGCAACAAATCGCCAAGAATTAGCTCTAAAAAGGCGATAAACAAACCAAAAGGCAAGAAAAAATATATATTAATGAATTTTGAAAAATAACTTCCCTCTAAAGGAATCGATCTACACACCTCGCGCATCAAGTTGACTACCCTACACAACTGTGCGACTAATCTCAAGGAACCAAACACTAGCCACTCATCACTAGTCATTCCACGCTTGCTCGCTTTATTTCAAACCTGTTTTTTTATGTCAATCACGACTACAAGGGCTTTACACAGAGGCGAAGTTGCACTTCGCATACGCAAGCAAAAATATGACCGATAAGGCTACTGGGAAAAACTGAATGAGTAAAACTTTCAGTCTACAAAATTTCTTACGTAACGCACGCCAATTATGAGTCTACGTAATTGCTAAGTGATACAAGCCAATTATGACGCGTTAGCAGTACCATTCAAAAAAAATACTAACTAACATGCCTCAATTTGAAGAGCGGACGCATTTTAACCAGTATACGAAGAAGTTCATTAAAAACATCCGACCCTGCCCAGTTTCGAAAACCCTAATTTTGTTGCGGGTCTCCTACACTAATTCTACGCTACATATCCATGATACCTTACAGTTACTGAAAAAAACAAGGTCCGGCCGGGACTCGACACCCAGACGATAGTGTGTAAAGGCAACCGCATTACCTCCAGTCCAAGAGAGAAGGTGCCTCAATGTTGCTACGAATCGATAATAAAGCAACATCAATTCCCTGTTACAAGATCCTTGCTCTCCCAAATTTAATTAGGACGGAATCGCTTGCATCAATTCAATTTACATCGAAAATTGCCTGGAAAAAGCCATCCCGGGCACAAATATTCGGTCACATCCACGAAAGATAATCAGAGAAAATATACATTTAAATGTTTTTGAAGCTAGAAGCTGGTCACGAGAGTCGGGCGTAAAATCAGATCCCGGTTGGTATAACGGAAGTGCGTGCCATGTCGCCTTAAATTTTTATGAACAAGAGACCCTAATGTACAAGAGAAGACATACTTACATGAGGTGCGAACGTCTTGACGGGCATGAGGAACCTGAGATCCCAGATGGAGAACCTTCCGAGTGAACTGCCCAACACAACACACAGTCCATTGTCAGCCACCACCATCGACGAAATAAGTCCGTCGTGAGGCTTCGTCTGGAAGTAGTAGGCGTTGTTTAGACCCTTTGACCTATAACACCAACTCTATTGAGTCACACACCATTTAAGTTTTAAGATTCTAGCAAATTGAGAGCAATTGGGAACAGTGTATCGTTTGCATCTTAGTCCTATGATATATGAAATATCAACGTCAATTTTAACAATTTAGAACACAAGATCACAATTGTGCAGCAAAATGAAAATTAAACGAATTTTATTGATCTCACGAAAAACAACAGTGGAAGCACTTTGACCATTTTTTCGAAACTTAAAATTTCAATCTATCGTTAAATTAAATAAAAATTACAAAAACCAAGCTCAACTAAGAGCTACTGGAAACTAAATTGACCATTCTAATTATAATGCTACTAATTGTATCTTCTTGTCTGTTCAGATAGACGAGTTATGCAACAATGCGCCAATTGAGAAGATGACAAACTCATTTTCAAGCCATTGTGAGTTGCTGACGCTGTTAATCAGGCACATATCTGGGATTTTCTCGAGGGACCAAATTTTCACCATTGATTTTTGTACCCCAAAACACTGAGCGAAGGTTCTCGGCGTGCATTACCGCGTCATCTTTAGTGTCGTGCGGGGGTCAAATTTCTGAGAAAAGGGGACATTCACAGCCACCCCCCCCCCTCCCCCCCTCCCCCACTTCCCCTCAAAAAACGGCGTCTGTTTTTTTCCAGGTATTTCATTACTAAAAATTCCTCTAAATGGAGAGAGACATTGACTGTTGCGATGTACGTTGAGCCGTGTTCAGTACAAAAGACAATAGAAGGCTGCTCTCTGTCGCATTATCTTTTTTAACTGTTAGTGCAGAGAGCGACTGTGTAGAGTGTAACGTAGTAGTGTACCTGAGGTCCCACCCGAATATGGTGTTGTTGTTAGTGGACACAGTGACTACATTGTTCTCATTGGTCGTCATCGACACCACCGACCCCTCCTCGCTAACGCCCACACTGCGCAACAGTCCCGCCTCCCACTCACCTGCTGATACACCCAACACACCAAGTCACATCACATATATATCGCTCAATTGCTGCCAGTGGACGAGAAAAATTACTCCAAATTGAATTTGAACGGCAAATCAAATGTCACATTTTTCATTGCACCGTGTGTTCAACATCATTAATCTACTTAAAAATGTTGACAAAGCCAACAATCAGATGAGAATATCTAAGTGCTACCTGTTTCAACAACACAAAAATAATTTTTAATAAATACAGCCTTTGCGCTGATTCAATTTCATGAAACTCGTGAGACTATTGAGATAGAATTAACCAAAACTGAGAAAAAATTTTCAACGGATAATTTTACACAGGATAAGCGGAGCACGGCACCACTTGCGATACAAATTATATGCCACAAAAATAAGCCAAATTTAGTAATTATCAATAGAAAAAACAAAGGCCATGACTTTGTCAAAAAGTCTGTTAATTACTGAGGCGAAATTTTGTAATAAGCGTCAATTCGTAACCGACGACAATTCGTAACAGTAATTTAAGCGGCAAACACTGATTTGCGCCCACTATTTATCTCATGCCGAGTGTAGGCGCAGCTGAGTAAGCGTTCGCTACTTGCCAATGCAATGTTTCGAAGTTTCGCTCGTTAATTGTCGGTTAATTTTCCTTTTTACAAATTATCACCTGGTTCGAATTGTCGCCCAACCAATTACTCCTATTTTTCAAAAATTTTCCAGAGTAGCCAAGAACTATTATATTTTAGTTTGGAATGTCCATTCATTACACAGGCGAAGGGAGCTTCACATCACTTTCGATACAAAACAAAGCAAACAAAAAAAAACAGGTAAAAAATAGAAAACGTTGAAAAAAATTCGTGTCTCGATAAGAGTTCTTTCTAGGCAAACATTCCAAGCATTCCCGTGAAACTACAATACTGAAAACTGCTTACAGCATAAGAAATCCGCGATGTGGCAACTAAGCCAACAAAATTTGAGCAGACAATTAAAAACCCTACAAGTTTTTACCGAAAAAAAAATTCATTTTCATACATACCGTAAAAAAATACCCAGAACTAAGGGTGCAAAGCCCACTAAGCTACCTCTAGGCCAAGTGGTAACGAGCAAGTATGTCAATAAAAAAGCAAGTAAGAAAAGCTAGTAAGAATTGTAATAAGTTGTTTAAGGAAAAAAATCTAGTTCCCAATTATAAGACATTTGCTCTCAAGCTACCCAAAGAATTCATTTTCTAAAATTCGTAAAATTACTCGAAAGAATAAAAAAATACAAGAAAAATCTTGACACTCAATTAGTTACAACATTAAAAATATTGAAAATGACATTGTAAAACAAAAAATAGGGTGTCTCGAGGGGGGGGGGGCGTTTTTCCGAGCTCTCCTAAAGCACTAAAAAGACGCTGACACTAAAAATTCATTAAAATTTTTTGAAAAAACAGGTCAAAAAGCCGTTTTTGGGCACTTTTTGGAAAATGTTGACAAAAAAATTGCGTTTTTTTGGCGCGCGCACCCCCTGAAAGTTAGTATATATTGGCACCCAAGGCGCTTTTAGAAAAATTTTCGGGTCGGTCGGCCAAAAATGGATTTCTTAAAAAGTACCAAAGGGGGGACCCTTTGGGTCGGCAGGGGGTCGAATCCCCGAGGGGGGCGTCCCCCCCCCCCCAAATCCGCCCCTGGTAATTGGTACTAACATGGTCTGTTGGTGGATGTTCTATTGACGGTCACAAGTTGCAGTGCATCCTGCAGACAAGTCACTATCGTCTCAGAGGACATGAAAGCCAGGCTCTTGACTGGACCCCGCTTCACATTCACACAGCCGGAACAGTCCAGAGGGTCCTGGTGATTAAGCTCCCATTTGATCGGGTTCCAGATGCGGACTGAGCCATCGTTTGAACAGGAGGCAAACAGTAAGTTAGAAGGAGACACCGCTGTAACACACCAATCAAATCACAATTAGACAGATAGAACTGGCCATTAGTATTTTGAATTTGATGCCATTCAGTTGAAAATAAGTCAGTTGCGTTTTATTAGCCTTTAAACTTTCCTTATTAAAGAGCGTAATTTTCCTTTTAACAAATGAAATTGAATTTTACTTCAAAAATCAAAAGCATAAACGCAAAAAAAATCAAACTTGGACGAGCAAATTTTTAGACTTCACCACGAAAAAAAAACTTAAAACAAACAATCGATCGAGTTTTTACTTATTCAGTAGCACTTGAAAATTGACTTTTAAAGCTATAGAATATAAAAATACTTCTGTAATCGAAATATTGTACAATCAAGTTCAAAAAACCCTAAATTTTATTACCTTATATATACAACATCACTATCAGGTTTTGGGGGCTTAAATCTGCGTGAAGAAAAATTTGGCCAAAATTGAGGTATTTAGTTTAAGTATCTAATTGATCTTATTTAGTAATTTGTTGACTGTGGCGTTAATAAGTAAACTCCTATGTACAAATGGCAACCGACGTAGAAAACCCGTTTGGGAGAGTGTGAAGACGGGAGCGAGTTTTAGTAGATTTAAAAAAAAAATTCAAACAAGGGATTGGAGCAGGTTTTAAAATATCAATAGCCGCATGCCAAGTTGGTTGACTGCGGCACTGTGGTCATGCAGACTAGCCACATAGCTTCCAGTGGGTCTCCAGGGCGCCACCATCTTCACCCCCATCTTCTCCCTCTGTCTGGCTACATAGTCCACCCTGCGTCTATTGTTCCTCTTCCAGTGTCTGGCTAACACTCTCAAGTAGCCCATGCAGGGTGTCTCAGTGTAGTAGCTCCCACCCATCACCTCCATTGCAAATTTCTCCACAGTCGAATTGTCAGGCAGCACTGAGGAGTTCTTAGCAAACAGTTTGAGTTTGTCAAAGTTGAGCTTGTTTTTGAATCTGTCGCTGTTCAAATACGACAGAGGGATGGAAAACGTGTCCGCGTTGCCAGAGGCGATCCTGATAGTCGAACAGAAAGGCACTAAACATAAAAAAAACTAAATTAACAATTTAGATGCAATTTGCAAAAAATGGTAATTCTAGGGTTTCGACAGAGCACAAAAAGCTGACTGGCTGATCTAAAACAGTTTGTATTTGCGAAGGGTATTTTTAAATAAGATTTCGAATAAAGTTCGTAGTTGATTGAAAGCTTACAAGTTGAAGCTATTTCAATCGTCATTATGTTTCCAAAATATACGGATCTACTTAACAATCTTTTAGCCTAATTGTTCTGATAAACTTATTAAATAGATACTGGAAATGTCAACTGAATCAAACTCAATTGAAAGACAAATCACCAATTTGGAAACCGAATATCCCGAATTGACGCCCATCCTTCTCCAGATGTGGGAACAAATACAAGAAAACGATAGACAAATTGTGAATCTGGAAAATTGCTGTACAGACCTGAGAGATAGAGTGCTGAAATTGGAGAGGTACAACAGCAAGGACTGTCTCATTATCTCGAACTTTCCATCAGATCTTTCGCCATCAATTACAGCACAGGCAGTGAATTTCTTAAATAGCATATTCAAAATCAATATAGGATGTGAAAGTATAAAGGCATGTCACTACCTGGGGAACCCCAACGCAGAGAGAGCCATAGTGATAGTCAAATTCTTCTATTTCGAAATCAAGAACATTATTTGGAGGTCAAAGACAATGTTGAAAGGAGTGACAAACAAATCAAACGGTAAATTTATTTTTATCAATGAGAGACTACCTGAGCCCGATAAAGAGGTGCACATTTATGCAAACAAGGAAAGACAATTGAAGACGGTTACTGACAATTGTGCAGCAAAACTTGAGGTTCGAGGTAATAATGGAAATGGCACTGGGTTCATTGAAGTTCGAAACAAAAAGGACGTTGATAGACTCGCAGTAGATGCAGTACCTAGATTCAACCAGAGACCCCGAAGAGAAGCGAATAGCCCATCGCGAAATTGTCTTCCCAATGATTCTTATGGTACACGGTGCCTAAGTTAGTGAAAAAACCGGATAATTTCTTCGCCACGCCAATATCCACAAGCCTTCCAACACTAAAAAGAGGAAGAGACAAAATTAACAACCGTGAGACAAATGAAACGGAAACTGAGATAATACAAGAACTACGTGCACGAAAAGGAAACCGAGAAGATATGCTGGACTACATCATGGGTTTTTTAGGAGACACACTAGAAGCTAAGCAGTCCAATATTAGCTCAATCGAAGAAGAGCCCTTTCGTATCGAGAACGAGGAGACCAATGGAAACAAAACACACCAAGCTTAACCTAACCATAAGAATCATACATATTAATATACGTTCGATTAAAAAGCATTTAGATGAATTGGAAGCACTTATTCTTAGTCTTGAGTCTCCGCCCGATATTATATGTTTAACCGAAACATGGCTAACAGACAATGATAAAAATGAAAGTTGGTTAATCAGTGGTCATAATCAATGCTGCACAAAAAGTAGGAAAACTCTTGGCGGGGGAGTCATGATACAAATCAAAAATACCTGTTGTATTTTGAATCAAGAAGAAATGCCCTTTGATGAGGGTATAATTGCTACAATATCGAAAAATTATTTTAAGTTCTCAGTGGGTGTTGTATACAACAAACCCAAGGCTAACAAAATGCTGTTCGTAGAGAAGTTAGATAATTATTTAGATGAAAATAAATCTATAGATCAGCCAATGATCTTGTGTGGTGATTTTAATATAGATATTATCCAAAACAATCTGCTTACTCAGAATTACCTAAACGCGATCAGCTCAAATGGCTATGAGATTAGCAGTAATGAACCAACTCGAGTTACAGAAAATACGCAAACGTGTTTAGATCACTTTATATTTCAAAATATACCACTGCCTGTTTTGAATGTGCTTAAATATGAAACGATATCCGATCATTATTCCATATTGTTAGAGTGGAAATTAAAAAGGGAAAATTGTCACGACGAAATACCTTACCGGGATACATCTTTTCTTAAAACACCTCTTACGGTATCAAAGTTTTTGCAAAATTTACATATAGTTTTGGATAATAATGAACAGTGTTTGTTTGAAATACAGGATGCCAATGTAGCTTTTGAGTTTTTTCAAAAATTGTTTGTAACAACTCTTGATGCCTTTGCTCCTCTGAAACGTAAGAAAAACATACAAAAAACGCGGCCAGTTTGGTTCACCAATAGGCTAGCTAATTTAAGAAACAAACGTAAAATAGCCCACAGAAAATGCAAAATCAACCCCGATAAAGCTGATTATCTAGCAAAATTTAAGCTGTTAAGATCACAATTTGAAAAAGAAGTTAAGCAATCGAAAAAAGAATTTTACTGGAATAAATTTAAAAATTGTATCAGAGACTCAAGACAAACATATAAACTTTTGAATGATATCCGTGGCAAGAACATCAAATCAAACAAAATCCCACCCCTAAAATCATGCCTTGAAATGAAAGAAAAACCAACAGATGCTGACATCGCGAATAAATTTAATACTTTTTTTACAACTGTAGGGACTAGGCTCAAAAATGAAGTTCCTAATGTTGACATACAGGTGGTTGCTAACAATCCCTTTTCTATATTTCTCTATCAAGTAAGCCCTGCAGAAATTGAAAATATTATTAACAGCTTTGATAATAAGTACTCAGCAGGTGATGATTACGTCAGTAATATAATTTTTAAGACGTCATCCGCGGTTGTGGCGCCCTATCTAGCATTTATCATTAACCTTTCTTTTTTGAAAGGAGTGTTTCCCAATGAGCTATGTAAAGCAAAAGTTTTTCCCTACATAAGGAAGGTTCGAAAACAGATGAAAATAATTACCGTCCTATATCTCTTCTCATCGTATGGAGTAAAGTTTATGAACGAGCAAAGTACAACCGCGTATACTCCTACTTTGAGAAATTTTCTCTTCTGTTTTCAAAACAATTTGGTTTTCGCAATAAGCATAATACAATTGATGCTTTAGCAGATTTAACCGAAAAATGAGGTTGGCAACATTGTCAGATTCAATTTATAGTTTCTTCTTAGATTTGAAGAAAGCTTTTGATACTATCGACCATGACATACTAATCTACAAGTTACAATGTTACGGTATCCGTAGTAATTGCTTGAACTGGTTCGTATCATACTTACGAAATCTCATGCAGCGTAATGAAGTTAATGGCGTTAGTTCTGCTTGGAACACGGTTGACTGCGGTGTTCCACAAGGATCAATCCTATGACCATTATTATTTATCATATACATGAATGATCTTCCTGTGACTTGTAAGTCTGCAGAAATAATTCTTTTTGCGGACGATACTAACTTAACAGCTATAGGCTGCACTGTAGAAAATATCCAGTCAGACCTTGAATGTCTGAATAAATTGTTAATAGCAAATAAATTAGTAATCAATATATCAAAAACAGTACAAATGACCGTTAAATCAAGTGCTTCCAATTGCTTTTTCAATTTAAATGCCCTTGATATAACCGTTAAACCTGTGTGCAAGTATTTAGGCATTTATATTGATTGTAAATTGTTCTTTGTCATTCATGTTGATTTTGTTAAAATGAGACTTGGGAAACAATGTGGCATAATATCGAAATTGAGACATTATGTACCCAGGTACCAACTATTAGAATACTACCGAAGTAATGTTGTCCCTATTTTACAGTACGGATTTCTGGTTTATGGATGCTGTAGTTTTCAGTGTTTTGAATCCAATTTTCATTTTGCAAAAAAAAATTTAAAATTTATATATTTCAGAAAGCGGCAAGATCACTGTGAAGATATATTTGAAAAGAATAAATTACTGACAGTTTTTGAATACCACGTATACGAGCTTCTGAAATTTGTTCTTAAATCTGTAAACCAATTGCACAGCAAAAATTTTCTAAACGAAATGTTCATTTTTCAAAATTCGGAGAAATTGACAAGGCGATCTAGTGCCAAGTTACTATTGGAACCTCTTTGCAAACGTAAAATCGAAAGATTCTCGATACGATATAGAGCATGCAAGTTGTATAATAAACTGAATAGCTTGGGCTTGCTCCCAGTGGATATTGAAAATAGTTCTTTTAAGGAAATATCGCGTTATTACCACAATTTCCAAACTTATCTGATTCAAAATATCGAGTTGGTGAAATATATTTATGAATTATAAAATTTAAAAAAATAATAAAAAATAATAATAATAATAAAAATAACAATAATACAACCGTTGGTTAAATGCTGATGGACAACCCCCGTAGGGTTACGAATTAGGTGGAAAAAAATGACCCTCCAGAACCCGCTAGTTTTCGGGATATCGCACTTTTTAGATTTTTAAAAATTTTTTCTCACTAATTTGTTTTCAAAATACTTAGAAAAAAAACAAAAAAAAACACGATAAACGTTAACTAATCCAACCACTGAGCTAGAGTAACCATGCTGAAAGAAAAGCTGTGTCAGTCACCAACAAACTAAGTAACTAATCGAATCTACCGAAACATGAAAAAGAAATTTAAAAAAAAAAAACATATTGGCAGATCCGTGGTGGATCCTAGGATCCCGTTATCTGTCATCTCCAAGTCTCAGAACCTGTTATGTTGTATATTTAAATTTGATGTTTTCATATACTGGAGAAATTCATTCCTTCTTTCTTTCTTTCTTTCTTTCTTTTTTCAATTGTATCTACCAAAGAATCTCCCCCTTTCTTGAGGGGGGGGGGGGGGGGGAGATTGTTAAGTAGATCCCTGGGGATCTACTTAACAATCTCCCCCCCCCTATTGTATCTACTAAAGAATCTCCCCCTTTCTTAAGGGGGGGAGATTGTTAAGTAGATCCAAATATACTTTAGAAATTAATTTTGCCGAGAAAAACTGGTCGATTATTTCGGTTTATCAGAAAATTAAGCCGCGAGTTAGCTGTTCAAAATTTTAAATTTTTTCGATGAAAATTAATTTTTATTTCATATCTTTAAAAGATGTAAATGGATAACATACTTAATTCAAAATCAGATTTAGAGCCCCATCACTTTACTAAACACAGAGGTGAAACTGCGCTTCGCAAACACTGGCGAGAAAACGATAAAAAAGCAGTTCTATAAAGTGAAATAAGAAAAAGCAGAAACAAGCATCAAATTAGTTGAATTTCGTTACGCCGCCGATTCGCACCAGCCACTACAAATGCCACTACAGATCGTGATTATAGCAAAAGTACCAACAAATGAACACTTATTTGGGAGTAAGGTCGGAAAAAAGTAGGTTCATACTAACACACTACGCTCGGTAGCGTAAATCAAAAATTTTCAAAAAAAAAACGCTGATAAGAGTTGTCGGAACATTCTGTGATATTTGCACAGCGCTTCGCTTCAATACTCTAATCATCATCAATAAATTGTTAATTGCTTAGTTGCGTTTCAGTTATCTGGTGAGTGTTTCCGAAAGAAGCGACTTTTTAAATTATCTGAAAGACCAGATTTCAAAACTAAATGCAAATGTATCAGTAGCATCGAAACAGTTGCGGGATTGAGCGATTTGAACGTAACCGATTGACTACTCTAATTATCAATAGAACTGCTTAGGATTGTATTAATGATCGTGGTAGTGCTTCCGAGAAAACAGAGTTTATTCAGGTTGGATGAAAGACGAGATTTCAAAACACAATGCAAATGTATGAGAAGCAACTTTCAAATTATGCTTACTTTCTGCTTCTGCCAGTCGGTACTTTTGTATTTCGTTGTCATTTGCTTTCACCAGAATTACTCCTGTCTTCTCCTGCAGCCACAAGTCATTGAAATTTCTCTGGAAAGAGGGCGCTCCCTCCTGACTGGCCTGGTTGCCTCCGTACTGGTATAAATTAAGCTGTCTCGTGAGCACGTGATCTTTCAACAGCTTCGTCTTGTGCAGATCTGGCCTCGCATCATATCCTTTCCCACTGTCTCTGTCTTCAAAATAGAGAGCCTGCACTAGAACTTTGTCTCTCTCTGTAAAAGCCTCCGGAAACTCGAGAGCTGAGAAATCTCCGGATGCCTGGCTCTTCTCTTCGATGTTTTTCACCAGCACTAGACTCTCACAGTAGTTCAGCAGCTCCTCCAGAGAGTGCGAGTAGGCGCACAACTTGTCGTAAGAAAATCTGCGAATGGGATCGATGCTCGACAACAGAAATGAGGTATTGGTCACTGATCCGATGCCCCACTTGGCTTTGAACACATTTAGTTTGTCGTAGGCATTCTGCAGCGATCTAGGAGTGGTTTCTGAGAGCGAGGCTGGTGGCGAAATAGCGATCATTTTGTTATTTGTTGAGAAGTTTCTAGCATACTCATTTACTCTCGGGTAAATGTAGCCTCGGGCTGTCGTTGTTCCCACCGACTCCGACGCTTCTGCAATTGCCTACAGAAACTATAGTTTTTATACGTTCAAACATAAACCAAAAAGATGGTCGTTAGAGTTTAGCGATGAACAATAACATTTTTTTCACTTCTCAAAATGTATTTCGTGTAAAACTCAGTCTTCTGGATTTTTTTAATAGATAATATAAAAACATGGACATCGCTTAACTTACAATCTAACGTTAGTCTTGACCGATAATCGATTTGACGAAAAAATGTCTTCTAACCAAAAACAGCATGAATTAAGCATTCACAACCATTTACCGCACGGCAAATAAGTGGACAACACTTCAGTTGATCCCTATTAAGCCGGAAACAAATTTGTAGCAATGAAAAAATTGAGCTATAAAGTTCCGAAACCCTATCCCTAGCTATAAATATTCATGAGATATCCTTCCTAAAACTATGTTTCTCTCTAAACTACGAAATAAAGTCAGACTAAATAAAAAAAAGGATAGCCGATTGATGCGCAATTAGCACAGAATCCGACTATATTCATTTTAAAAAAATTAAAAAAAGAAGATTTTTTTTTCTACAAATTAGTGTCATTTTTGGTGCGTGGCGTGATTCGAAAGCTAATCAAAAATGAATTAAAAACAAAAAAAGATAAAGAATTTTTTTTGCACAATATTTTTTTATTTTTTAAAGAGAACCTTTATTGCCAAGAAAGCACTAAATTAAACATCGAATATTAGTTTTCTTCAAAAAAAATTAGAGTTTTAGGCCTAAAAGTCCCAATAAATTAAATTTACACAAAACGATTGTTACTCAATCGCTTTACTCTCAGAATGCAACTGAAAATTAAAAACTTGAAACCAGTTTTTCTCGACAGGGCCAATTTTTGAAAAATCTTCCTAATCTTGCTCGTATCACGACTGAAGGAGCTTCAATTTGGTATATCACACAACCTATTCGATGATAATTTGTGGTACCTTATTTTGCGTGGGAAAAAACTAAAACACACATAAAAAGAAAGTTCCTCCCAATGCTCTAAGGTCGGAACAAAAATACAAATCGAAAACTTTTACCCAAAAAAAATTCACTCCACCTTCGATAATTCCGAAATAGCATGGCAAGCTAGCAAAAAAAAACTGAAAAACTAACTTCGTCCAAAATCGTTTATATGTGCGTCTCGACGAATGGATTTCAATTGAAAAATTTTTTAAAAACAACTACGAGCGTTGAAATAGCATTGAGCAACAAGCATCTAAATGTATCTAGGTTAATTAAGCTGCCAATACTTGGGTTGACGTCTATTGAGCCTGAAAAAAACTAAGTCATAAAAATAGCTATTAAGCTTTGAAACTCGTCTCACTCCGAAACAAAACCGATTCAAAAATCCATTATCACCCTCCAAATGACAGAAACTGAGGTGTCTATACCCTATCAGCAAATTTTACAATAGCGGATCTATTAACTTGACAAATACCAGGAAAAAACCAAAATGACTAATAACTTAAGTAATAATAATGTAAGTCTGCATAAAATTCATGCTAACACAGGCAACTAAACCAAAAAACCCAAAGTGAAACATAATAAACCGACATTGAACTTTTCCAAGAAACAACTGCAATATCTAGAGTATTTATCCAACTACCTAAGAGCCCTGTAACAGCAACCAGTAATTCAGTCGTTTAACTTCAATTTATAAAAAATGAGCGCTTCAGCACGTTAATTTAGCGCACATACTTTTACGAATGATTCAAATAATTTTGTTAAACCAAATGTTAAACTGAAAAAGTCTATATTCCGCTTTGATAACGCAGGCGTTAAAATCACATTAGGTAAAATCAAAAACTACAGAATCGCGTACAATCAAAGTAAATATTACATAAAATGATGATTGAAAATTTTTAAACAAAACTTATCCAAAAAGAGAAAACTGAATCAGCAGATATTTTTTTTTCTGCTGGGAATTCTGAAATTTAAAATTTACTTTCGAAACCAAACATCGCGCCATTTCTTTTTTCGTATTAATGAGAGCGTATTCTGCCCCACATTTAGCAAAAAAATGAATTGAATTTGAAACACACACAGAGGCGAAGTTGCACTTCGCATACACAAGCAAAAATATGACCAATAACGATACTGGGAAAAACTGAATGAGTAAAACTTTGAGTCTACAAAACTTCGTAAGTGACGTACGCCAATTAAGAGTCTACCTAAGTGCTAGATGACTCAAGCCAATGAAGACTCATTAGCAGTACCAGTCAAATTTAAAAAGAAATTTACCAACTAACATGCCTCAATTTATAGAGTGGACGCATTTAAACTAGTATACGAAAAAGTTCATTAAAAATATCCGATCCTACCCAGGTTAAAACCCTGATATTTTTCTGCTCTTCGCCTTTCCTACCTCTACGCTACAGATCCATGATGCCTTGAAGATTAAGTGCTATTTGTAATATAATAGTCTGTGTTAAAATCCTTAGCATTGGCTGTACTCAATTGCTGGATCAAAATGAACACTTTCAAAATATAAACAAACTTTGTCGCAACAATTGCATCGCAACAATATTTGCGACTTAGGTTGGAAAAAAAAAGAAATTTCATACTATAACACAAGCTATGCTTGAGTAAACATCACATCCGAAGTCAAACCACGAAAAAATCAGATTTCTGCGTGAACAAATTTCACTTGCTTCCTGAAAATTTACCATCTAAATAAGTAATAAAACCACTTTGTTAATGAATACTTCGGCACAAATAGCTAAAACATACCCAACAGACAGTTGCAAAAAGAGTCAATGAACGCAAGTAACACAGAAAAATACTGACTTGTTTTTTTTGGTTGACACTTTTATGGTTGACACCTTTTTGATAAAATTAACCCAATTTGAGAAAACTGGATCAAACGGTAAATTTTCTATTTCGCTGGGAAATCTGAAAATTAAATTAAACTTCAGAAACTAGAAGTCGATCACGTTTTTCGTGACCTTTACTCGTTGGCTGTTCGATAGTAGAGTTTGCCTTCCTTTTAACAAAGGAAACTAGCTGAACTTAAGAAGAAGGCTTTTTTTTCAGTTACCCCCTCCTCTTCAAATTCATTTCTGAAAAGCTTATTTTACGTTGTCATAATACAATGAAGTTTGGAACGGTGAACAAACTGACAACTGTGAACAGATTTTATTTAGTCGTAATGACACGAACAACAAACAAAAAAAATGATTTTCAAAGGTAGGGGAATGGAAAAGAGACAAAAAGAATCAAGTCAAACTGCGAAAAAGTAACTTTAGGCCTGAACAAATTTTAAAATTTTCATGAAAAAAAAATAGAAAAAATATCATCACGACCTATATAAGAGTTTGAACTACGTGCAACGACTCTAAATAAGCAAAAAAAATCGGGCCGTTTATCAATAACTAATCATACGATTCCGATTTTTTACACGCGCATAAATATGAGATTTTTCTTGACACGCTTAATGAACGTTAAAATAACACTTCATTCATCTTGCGTAATGACAAATCGATAAAAATTATCTCACTCTAGCAGTGTTGAGTCTGATCCAGGGATTGGGATGGAGCAGCAGTGGGACAATCTTTTCAAACAGCTTCAGTTTGTTCTCATTCCCGTCGATCAGACTCATCCGGTACAGATCACGCACAGCACTCAAAGTCTCCACAATCACAAACTCCTCCGTGTTGTGAATGCCCTGTTCTATATAGAGGGGTGGGGTGAAGTGATACTACACTTTACAAGATAGCAATCATATGTTTTTCATATTCCTTGGAAAAGCCGCACAAAGATCATTATAGTTCGGCGAATATATATTAATTTCAATCTAACCCTATCAAATTTAATTAATTAAACGAAAATATAGCCAACAGAAGGTTGGAAAAGTGTAAAAGAAGAAAACCATAAAAAATTGATGGAAAGTTTTTCAACATTTTCAAAATTTTGACAAAAATTATCCGGTTATAGCACTTCGCATTTCAAGAATAGTTTATGATCGACACTTTTTTTGATAAATGAACATAGTAAAATACACAGGCAGACACTTGCGAGAACACGACCAAAAAGCAGCTCTATCAAGTAAACTAAGAAAAAGTAGAAATATGCCTCAAGTTAGCAAAAACTCGGCTACGTAGAGGATTCGTATCTGCGACCTACTGCAATCAAGAGATTTTGCGTCTCACGCACTATCCACTCAAGCTTAAAATCCGACAAACACTAGTCACGAATAAAGCAGCTACATATGCTAATAACTTGCCAATGCGATTCAGCAAAAATGGCCCATAAAAATAAGAGACTCAATTTTGCATGTAATAATTTGGGATATAACAAACTGCAGGCATCCACACTCGCAAAGGATAAGGCCACGTTATGTATAAACTAAGCATTTCAAAAAACTGCTAGATATATTGAGTTCGAAAACTTCTGAGTTTTGATTATTGTTGTTGTTTGAAACAAATGACTTTTTTCAGTTAATTTGGTGAATTAAAAACTGTGTTAACTTATTACTATTCGAATGTCAAAGCACATGCTATCAAAAAGCTGTTAAGGTTCCCTGCCATTATTGCGGTGCCGCACCAATATTTTCGACTTAGGTTGGAAAAAAAGGTTCGTACTAATACACTCGCTTCGCAAGTGTAAAAACGGAATAAATGGGTGTATTTTTTTGTTCCGCTGGGAAATCTAAAAATTGAAATCACTTTCGAAACTAGAGGGCGTTCACGTTTTGCCGCTTCATTTCAGCTTTCGCAATTGAAGAGCGCAATTAACCTAACTTTGCGCAGATAAATTTGAACTGGACTCAAAAGGTGGCGGATTTAGGGAGTAGGGGGGGGGGGGGGGGGGGGTTTGTTTCTTTCCCCTCAGGGTTTTGACCCTATGCCAACCCAAAATGTCCCCCTTTGTACTATTTTGAGATATTGTTTTTGGCTGACTGACCCTAAAAATTTTCTAAAGGCGCCAATATATACTAATTTTGAGGGGGGAGCGCCTATTTTTTAAAATTTAGCCTGCGGCGCAGAAAAGTTGACCAAAACATGGTCTTTATAGTGTTTTGGGAGAGCTCGAAAAATCAAGTTGGTCGACCTAAAATAAAAGGACGACAAAATTGTCGAAAACTTTTTGAAAATCCGCTCCCGCCCTCGAGAAAATCCTAGATCCGCCCCTGCTTAGAGCATTAATAAATGCATTATTACATATGAATACACTTCTGTAGTTGTAAGAGTATGTTTTGACAATTTCCTCAAAAAAAATGATCAAAACATATATAAGTGAAAATAGACTTCTTTCTGTTACCATTAATAATTCGAACGTATGCAAAAAAAAAATCAAGAGTTAAATCCCTGTAAAAAAAAACAGATAACAAACATCAAAAACCAACGGCCTATTCTACGAACGTGTTTGTATCACTTCACCTATGAACGTTAGTGCGTTATGTTTGGTAGCCTTGTCGCCGTAATAGGCGCACATTTTGACTATGTTCTTGAAGTATGACTCATTGAGGGGCCAATAAGCGGCCACAGATGCACATGTGGGTAGGTACTGGGCCAGAGGGTCTTGATCCGGCTGGTTGCCATGGAATGCACACAGTTTAACCATGTCGCTCTCCAGGAACACTTGTTTGGTCATGCCAGACGCCTTGACGAAAATGGGCAGGTAGAACTCGGAGACGGCATTACGCAATACTCCTGGACACAAACAAACATATACTCATCTATGTGTCAATGATTATGAATCGGCAAACATAAAACCAATTCATAAAGCCATTGAAACTTAAAGCCAGTTTATTCTCGTATCGAGAAGTACATGGGAGATTTATTTCATGTCCATTTATATGTCAATTTCATAGTGCAAAGTTCAAAAACATAGCCAATCGAAGATTGGAAAAGAGTAATGAACGCAAATAAACATAATAAACGCTGACTTTCTTGAAAAAATCTAACTTTCGAATTTCAAAGAAAAAAATAGATGCCCTGTAAGCTCTTTGAATTTCTAGAACAATTTATGATAACATGAACCCAACTTGAGAAAACTGGATCAATAGGAAATGTTTTTATTCCGCTGGGAAATATTTAAAATCAATTCCACTTTCGAAACTAGAAATCGTTCACTTTTTTTCTCGCCATTTCCACATTCGTATTTGGAGAGTGCTATTTACTTCACGTTCAGCAGAGGAAATTCAGTTGAACTCAAAAATTGCATTATACCTATGTGCATCAATATTTAGGACTTTTTCCTGAAAAAAAAACAACAACAAAAAATCAGCAAGACCTATATAAGAGTCTTCCTTACGTTCATTACTCATAATAGGCTGTGAAACTGATCAGTTGTAAATGAAAAAATGAAGAGCGTTTTATAGCCCCTCAAAACATTCGTTCATTGAAGCGAACACTTTGAAGTAAACAGGACTCTTACGCAGTTCTTCGTCGTAGGAGACGCCTGCAGATGAGAAGTCTGTGGCTCCAGCTGCTACACTCGTGTCACTATCCCTAGTCCCCCCACTTGCCTCACCTGCTCCCCCTCCTCGCCAGCTATCCTCTATGGACAAGTCCAGGAACTTGAGACTCATGTCCACCAGACGGGGGAAACACCTGACGAACTCGTGATGCACACTTTCCACACAGTAGTTCTCAAACACAAATCACCTCTTGATTATCCGAAAGGAGCCTTGAACTGTGCTAGGTACATTACAAGGCTACATGAACAATCTAGTCCTACTTAAATACGTTTTTATCAGGAAGAAATTGATTCTGTTTCAGTTTTCGGCTCTTTTTCCGAATAAAAGCTCGTTGTTACATAATTCCATTGCTTTGAATTTTGGATTGCATGGTAATTACCCACTGGCAAACACATTGTGCCCTTTCGAGGTCCTCACACCACCGACAACCAGCGACTTTGCGCGTTTATCAGTTACACGCACAAAATCCATTCTTGTCGGTAGTGGAAAGACGATTAAAGAGCCCAGTTTCATTTTGTCACCATCTGCTGTTAAATTCTCTTGTCTTACCTGGAGCTGTTGAGGTGCCATTCTGGAGACTTTTGTGAAGACACAGTCCAGTAGATCTGGGAAGATATATTCCACAAACACCTTCCGCTGGGACCTAGAGGAGAGGAGAGAACTTATTTGGTGACATGTGGCCCTAATTCGAACTTTAATTCTTCAATCAATTAAAACTAATTTAAAGTTTATTTCAAATTATGATTGGTTGAATTTCATGATCGCTATTAAAATTGCATCAACTTTAAAAAACAATAGGATGAACGGATTTTTCATTGACTGATCAAACCCTGCCAATTTGTTTTAATCCAGATTCTAAGCCGAGATGTTTTCCGAAAACTTATCTTCTATCAATTACAGTTTAGCATAATTGTTGTGATAAACTTATTAAATAGTTTCAGATTTGGACTGTACACTGAGATAATTCTTACACCTTACTGGGAGCTGTCATGATGTTGAACATTATCAAAGAAAATATCAACCAACTGTCGAATGATATTGATCCATCTTTGAAATCAATTCTGCAAGATCTTTTATCCCATGTTGAAACTCAAAGCGGCACCATTGCAAACATGAAAAATGAATTAATTTTTCTGAAGAAAAAAGTAAATGATCTGGAGCGCTATTCCTCAAAAGATTGTATCATTATAAACAATTTACCTCTGCGACATGGCTCTGATTATGTAGAAGATGTAATCGCATTTTTTCGTGAAGCAATTGACATCTATGTGCCTCGTGATTCCATGGTAGCGTGTCACCCTCTAGGCCCAATTCGCGACAACAAAAACCCCCCAGCCGTTATTGTGAAATTTGTCTATTTTGATGTCAAAGACCGTATCTGGGCAAGGAAGCATTTTTTACGACATTATCTCAATCAGATCAATAAAAAACCTGTATACCTTTTTGAGAGACTGACAAAGAGAGATTCGGATTTACTCGACTATATGAAAGGCCTTAATTTGAAAACAACAACGAACAACTGCGCACCGCAAGTCTTTATAAAGCGTGAGAACGGGAAGGTGTTCACTCATAATGTTGCAGACTCGGTTGATGCGGAAACGTTGCTTGCTTCTGGAAAAGCGCAAATTTTAGCAAAGAAGAGAAAATCAATTTTTCAATTAGGAAATCAAGATGCAACGATGAGGCTAAATGTCAACACGACAACGCCAAAAAGAGTGTCTCCGCCAACTCCCGGGTCGGATCAGCAAATCCTTGATTATGTTAAAAAGCACAGAAATGAACCTGAGAAAATTGTGCAGTATGTTGATAACTTAGCAAAACAATCTCCTCAAACTGAGCTTCATTCTAATGTTAGCAATACTTCAAGTGTGTTTACTGTAGAAGACAGTGGTTAAGTATTTAAGACAAGACAGCCTCAGTAGGGACTTTTATTCAATCTCTTTTTTATTTTATTTCGTTTTATGTCCCCAACGTCATTTACCCAAGTTCTTGAGGCTGTTTCATTACTAAATGTTAACGTGCGATCACTCAAATCTAATTTTGAAGCCTTTAAAGTAAGTCTTGAGCAACTTGCAATAGCCCCATCTGTTATCGCTGTCACTGAAACTTGGCTGAACCCTAATGATTCAGCCGAGTTGTTCAATTTGCAAGGATACAAGTTTTTCTCGAGCCCTCGGCTGAGCAGAGGAGGTGGAGTAGGTTTATATATACGAACGGAGCTTAATACAAGCCAGTTAGTGGAGGTGTCTGCAGGAGAAATTTTAAAAATAGAGGTTGTAGCAGGTGATAAAACGGCAACGGCTGTAACTGTTGTATATCGTCAACCGTCAATGAGGGTCGAGGATATTGTCCACAAACTAGAAAAGGTCTTAACCGAAGCCAAGTCGAAAAAGAGACATGTGATTATGGGAGACTTTAATATTGATATGATGAAAAAACACAAGGCAAGAGATGATCTTACTGAAATGTTCAGTTCTTTCGGTTATCATTTGTTGTCACCCCTGTTACCGACACGAGTAACTTCAAAAACAAACTCTTGTATCGATCATATTTGGGGAAATATTGGAATTAACAATAGTTGCATACACCGCTGGGGTCCAGCCGATCATTTCATGATTGAAGTTTCTATCTCTATGCCAAAATTGGTTAGTAGATATAAAGAAACATTTAGCTTTAGAAATATGAAAGTTTTTGAAAATGATGATACATGGTTAAGGTTTGCTTTCCTCTTACAGTCCAAACTGAAGGAAGTTGATGGTACCTTATCCGATTTGGATAAATCTGCTGAAAATTTCTCTGAAATAATTCTCAGTTGCATTGATAGATTTGCTCCCTCTCAAACTCGTTATGTGCCGAAAAATAACAAGTCCTGGGTGACAAATGAAGTGAAAAAAGTAGCAAACAAAAAAGCATCCGCATACAGGACATATATACAAAACCCTACAGAAGATAACAAGATCAAATATAACTCATTACGAAACAAATCCAATGCCCTGAATCGGAAATCATTCAGAAGATTCTGGAGATCTAAGCTAAATACAACAGACTCTCATAAGTATCACAAAGCGGTTGCAGCATATCTTGGAAAACATAAAAATGTAACGTTGCCAGATGATATAAATGAAAAAAAAGCTCAAGATATGAACAATTTTTTTGTAAATATTGGTCCAAATCTAAGTGATAAAATTGAAGTTGCAGATCCTATTTCATTAGAAAATGTTGATTATTCAATGTTCTTTCCGAGTATAAAGGAAACAGAAATAGAACAAATAATAACAGAATTACCAAATAAACTCAGCTCGGGTTGTGATTGCATCAATACAGCAATAGTCAAATTATGTAAACCAATAATCACGCCATGGCTCACGAACTTTTTCAATACCTGCTACACAAATGGGTGCTATCCGAAATACTTAAAAATTGCTAAAGTTTTTCCGATTCATAAAGGTGGATTGCAAGACGAATATGGAAATTATCGACCCATATCTTTGTTATCAACGCTGTCAAAAAACTTTGAGAAGACAATTCATATCAGATTAAGTAGTTATTTGGAAAATTGCAAGTTGCTCAGTACAAATCAATATGGTTTCCGTAGTAAATTAAGCACAGTTAAAGCGGTTCTAGATCTAACAGAAGAGGTTCGTAACCTGAGAGATCAGAAGAAAAAAGACGTTATGTTAGTTTTATTAGATCTGAAAAAAGCTTTTGACACTGTCAATCATGCGATCTTAATTGATAAATTAGATCGGTATGGAGTAAGAGGAAAGTCGCTGGAAATTCTAAGAAGTTACTTGTCTAATAGGAAACAGTATGTTGTCCTTAATCAATTTAAAAGCGAATTGAAAGATGTTTTGTGCGGGGTGCCACAGGGTTCAGTCTTAGGACCGTTGCTCTTTTTGGTCTATATCAATGACCTTCCCAGAATTGTAAGAAATTGCCGACTTACTTTGTTTGCTGACGATACATCTGTTATTAAAAACAAAAACGCTTCTCTTGATGACTTTCAAGAAGATCTAAATCGAATAGATAATTGGATGAAGTTTAATAAACTTACCGTAGAAGGATCGAAGTCTAAGCTACTAATTTTTTCAAAATCCAAAGCTGATGCTATATATTTCGCAGACACTTGTTTACAACCCGTTGCTAGCTGCAAATACCTAGGCATTGAATTGGATAATAAACTATCCTTCAAAGATCATATTGAGACTATACGGAAAAAATTAACCCGCTTCTGCGGAGTTGCATACCGGCTTCGTAATGTGATGACCATTTCACAAATGGTCATGTACTACAAAACTTATGTACAACCTTGTGTTCAATATGGAGTTCTTGTTTATGGAGCAGTTTGCAAAAGTGCATTAGATGTTATTCATAAACTACAAAAACGATTTTTTCGTATAACTTTTCGCAAAAGTTATCGTGACTCGATAACGGAAATAATGGCCAAAAGCAAAATTGCTACTGTATACGAGTTACATGTATATGAAATTCTAAAGAAAATAGTTAATGAAGAATTGTCTCAGAAATGTGAAACTAATTTCTATTCAACGAGGTCATCAGTAAAGGGTGCTCGTATTTTACCATCAATGAAAAGTAAGCTTAAATATAACTCTGTTTCCCATCGTGTAGCCAAATTAATTAATATATTAGCCAATTGGTGTGTAACTATACCTTCCTCCTTTAAAACCCATCATTCAAAAAATGCTTTCTGTCATTCAATCTTAGATTCATATATAATAGGAAATTGCCATTTGATAGATGAATTATATCGCTAGACTTGAATTAATCCATTCTAACTTCCCTGAGTCCTCGGTTAGACCTGATAACCTCTCGTCGAAGGTACCAGGCAGTGGACTCTAGGAAGGGGAGTTAGAAAAAAGCGAACAACTGGATTACCAGCTCTTAAGAACTGGGCCCACTTGCTCGCTAATTAAATTAACAGTCATTATTTCGCATCCGCCCGCTGTCAGTTGTATACCCTTGTAAGTATAAGCTTGCATCATATCTCTGGTTCTCATGTTAAAGAATAAAGCTCTTGATTTAAAAAAAAAGAGTGATTGCACTATTTAAGTCTCGTTTTTTTTTCGCTTTAAATTTGCCTCTTTGACCTAAATTAATTATTGAACCTTTTGATCTGATGTCATATGATGTGATTCCTTTACGGGGCAACCTTCAACAAGCCTCTCGTTGGCTTTCTGGTTGTCCTATCATGAGTTATTTTTGAATTTTTGCTTATTGTGTTATGATAATTTGATTACTCATGATGAATATTTAAATAAATAAATAAATAAAGTTTAATAAAAGCCATTGTTATCTTTCTGCGAAGATTTCTCTCAGAGACAAGGATGGCTTGGTGAATGAAACTGAATCCATTCCAATCATTAGAGAAACGAACACAAACTCAACACTGTGGGTTAGGAGGGGGAATATAGGCGGTATCTAAACAAGCAAATATGCAGGAGCAATAGAGAGAGTGGGTTTTTAATTGGGTGACCTTGAGACGTGAGTGACGTGTGAGAGGCTGTTTGTTAGACAGGAGATGGCGGTGGACACCACTTTGGAGGAGGAGTCTTGGAGGAAGAAGACCAGACAGGGCACCCCTCTGATCAAGATTTCATCCGAGTCCAGATTCTCACACATGGCCTCTATCAGACTAGAACAAAACCATACTTATACACATAATACATAACATAGGATGAAAGATCCAGGTAAATCTAGACAAGAATCTTAGTTGCAGCCATATTGACAACTCATGATACCACAACCCATGCCTTTGGTTTACAACTTGTGGTGGACATTCATTACCGTCACCTACATCTATGAACACAAAATGGAGATCATTTTTTAAAACCAAGGCAACATTTTGCAAGAATTAATGTGCACATTCGTTGATAAAGTCAAACACAATTTTGTACAAGGATGATAGTCAAGTCCCTCATTTCAGACAAAACAAAACTATCTGAAAAAACCTGTGCTTAAGTTTAATTGCAATATTCATCTTCTAACAAACGATTGCAGCCGTTATTGGTTAGCAGATGAGCTCTTTCAGAACTGCCTTTTCAGAGACCTAATTATCATAGTGTACCCACAATTTCATACAACGTACCGAAGAGCGCATAGTTTGGAGTGGGCGACTTGGATAGACCTGATGTTGGAGAGAAGCAGTGAGAACACAATGAGCGTCATGTCATTCAGATCCTGCTGCCCAACCCCATCCTGCCTCATCTTTTCACAGATAGAAGGGTAGTGGTCATACATCAGCACTATGTTCCTATCTGAACTTCTGGGAGTCGTGAATGCACGCATGAAATTGTACAATATAGTATAAAAATACTCTGGGAAAGCTACTCCGCGGTGCTCACATAGATATTCGTCCGCTGATTTTCTCTCCGAAGGGTTCACTTTTATCATGTCGAAAACCAGCTTCCTAATGCCTTCATCCGCTATTTGGTTGATAACTTCACTTGGATCATAACCAGATCCCGATTTATAACTCAATAACTCAGACAAGTTGAACAGGTGCGTCTCTGCAAACAGCTGTCCAATCACACACCCCAATGAGAAGATGTCCATGGAAGGCATCAGGTCGCGGTAGTTCCCCGAGGAGTCAAATGAGGGCGCCGCATTCACGATGTCGAAGAATCGCTCGTCGCGCAGCGCAGTATCACCGCCAGAAATGAATCGCTCAGGTGCAATGTTACACGTCCTGCGCCTGGAAGCGTCAAAGTAGAAATTGAAACCAGATGGGTTATTGTCAGGCAGGTACACTGGCTAAAACATGGAATACTTCAAATGACACAATTGCTCAGATAAATTCAAGACTAGCATAATAAATCAAGTTAAGCGATCGGCTGGACTAAATGAGGGATTACTCACTGCCGAGGATAACTGACCTTGAAGAAAGCGAAGTCGGAAACCTGGACCCAATTCCAGGAAGTCAGCAGAATATTCTCCAATTTTAGATCCCCGTGACGCACCACCTTGGAATGGGCCTGAAACATTGGACACAAGTAATATTCAGGTGACATTTTATACTTTGTTAATATTAAAACAACTCTAATTTAGTGGGTTTCAATTTCACTCTCCACACAATAGCGCCAAATCAAAATAGTGCGGAGGTTGAAAAAATAATATATTTTTTTCTCCGCCTCGAAAAAAAGTTTTGAATGAATAGCTCTGACTACTCTTGGAGAACGTCCAGAGCGAGTGTAAATAAACCAGCCGAAAATGCGCAGGGCATAAAAATCACCCGATACTGTTGTTGTAAGTATCCAAGCCAGCTGAAAATTACGTCATTTGAATGCAACAAAGATTTTCGTAACTGTAACATAATTGTTGCATAACTATTATGTAACAATTACGCTTTTCGGCTGGTTTCTATGGTAGCTGGTTTACACTACGGCTGGTGCATATTACACAGTCCAAAGTCTACCCATGTTCTTAAGCAGTTTTATTAGTTCGTAGCCATAACCTAGCCAAAACATAAAGCAAGTTAGGGTGGCCACGGTATCCGAAAAAATTCGCTGGCACTGATGAAATTCACTGCCTGGCACTGATTTGCTAGTACTGATTTGGCACTGACCGCAATGATACCGTGGCTACCCTGCAAGTGATCAGGAAAGAACGGAAATCATCAGGTGACATACTCTAGCAATAGCGACGATGATTTGGAAGGCCACGAACTTCCTCTCAATAGTGGTGAGAAAGGGTCTCGTTGAGAGTCGGTCGAACAGGTTGGCCGCCAGATATGCTCTGGTCAGGAAGCGACCCGAGTAGTTGCAGTCTTGCACCACGTGGTCATAGGGCAGACAGCAGTCACCTACCAGTCCCAGTTGGGCCTTTCCTCCTCCTCCACTCCCGATCAGTTTCTCCGTTAGAAGCCGGTTGGCCTCTTTGTACTTGTCCACATTGTCTGCTAATTTCGGGTCGGGAATGACGAAAACCTTCAACAGACCAAGTCAATCAGTAGTAAAGAAGGCGTCTAGTATTATTTATGTTATTACTTCTGGTAAAAATTCTGCTCTTAATAATTTTGAGACTCTTACCGTACGCTGCACAAATGAAGGCAAGCAAAACCAATTTGAGACAACTATGTCGACTTATCTCAATCAACAAAACCAATATTCTCTCGGACGCAAAAATTTCATTTTAGTGCCTAATTTTCGAGTCCAAATAAAGCTGACAGAAAAATATAATTTGTTCATTAAAAGTTCATTAAATATACGTGTAAAAACGCCAATTAAAAATTCACATTTACTGGCGAATCAAATTTCAATGAACGCAAAACAAATAACAATTTGGGTAAAAGTACACTTGGCTAAGTACAAAGTGAAAAATTTTGCCGGCCGCATATTTGAGAAAAACAGATTTTTTCTTAGATTTGAAATTTCGAATTTTTCTAAAAGCAAGGACCTTGCTTACAGAAAAATTCGCAATTTCAAGTCTAACAAAAAACCTGCTGTCTAAAAAGACTAAAAAATTAAGAAAGAAAACGCCAAGAAAACCAGAACTAAAAGTAAAATTTTTTCAGAACATTTTTTCACAACTTACAGAAAAATCGGAAACGACCGAAAATATATTGAATAAGCACATGAAACGCAGTCAGTCTTTGTTGCAATGCAAATGTAGAATAAAACAAGTATAGATGCATATAAAATAAGCTCAGTTGGCCGAGTGGCCTAAGCTACCATAACGCCGATTATATAGGTTAACAGTTGACGTAGGTTCGAGTCCCCCACCTGCCCATGTATTAATATACTAAAAACGTGGGTTACATCCTATTTTAACTGTTTTTTTGGTTCTAATTCGGTTCAGCCTTGATTAAGGTTGACCGCCAAAAAGAGCAATTTGTCTCAAGGACATTACCGACCGGTTCTTGTGGCTAGCTTGCACCAATTTGTTTATTGAAACTGTTGAATCGTTGAAATTATGAACATGAGTTATGTGAGTTTTTGGCTTATTTATAAATTATTGACAATGAATGTCCGTATTGCCGAGAATACGAGTTAAATATTATTTTCCGAGCCGTTTTATCTAGTTTACGGAGATTGAGCGCACAATTTGGCGCCCCACAAGGGACCTTTTTTGATCTCACGACGAAGGCGACGCACAAGGGTCCCGATTCAGCATTCCAACACAAGGGACCTTTTTTGATCTCACGACGAAGGCGACGCACAAGGGTCCCGATTCAGCATTCCAACACAAGGGACCTTTTTTGATCTCACGACGAAGGCGACGCACAAGGGTCCCGATTCAGCATTCCAACACAAGGGACCTATTGAAGAGGATTATATTCGTGAGTGGTTTAATGTTTGGGATAATATTGTCGGAGTTTTCATTGGTACTTTGGATATCATTGTTTATGGATTTCTAAGCCCAGTTTTCAAAAGCGAACTAAAGAACGAAGGAAAAAGATTACTAAGTTGGACAGCGGGTTTGAGGAAAACGCCCATCTTCGTTCGCAGCCCGACAAGATTGGTTTCGGAACAGAATTCGGATCTAGGACGAGAGACAAATTACGAAAAAACGCCGCCGGCACTCATTTTGAAGTAATGAGTTTAATATTGCAATGTGAGCAACCTCAACTGGACGAAAACTTCGATCCTCAGCAAATTGGAAGGTCAAAGCAGTCAAATTTCCCTTCTCTAGTGAAGTGGTCAGAGTGTTGAAAGGACCGAAAGAGTGCAGTTGGACAAGTGCAGGCCAGCTACAGACGTTTTGTGGAAGTGATAGAAGCAATCAAAGAACAACTTCTCTGCGTCTGGCCGATAGTTTCATAATCCAAAACCGGTGTCGCCAATCTCCAATTAAAACTAAGAAGTTTCCAAAACTTTTAAAACTCCAATTGTGCTATAAATTTAAATACGATGTCATTTATGATAGAAATTTTCCCGCAAGCTAGCCCCCGGTAATTTTTCTCAATACCTAAAATTTTTGGACAGTTCCGTTGAACTGAAATATCTTACAGTCGGTACATAGACAAACTGACTTGACATTTTTTCTCGATACCAAAAATTTTTTGGATATATGTGAACGGAATATTAATCAGTGAAATCGAAACATAGACAAGAGGTACTGGACTAGTTTTTTGGATTGGTTTATGACTCGAACCTACTGACCAAAATTTTCTGAAAAATTTTGTATAAAAAGTAAAAAAATTGCCAAAAAATCCTCAAAACGTCTCCAGAATTCTGCGAAACTGTGCTGTAAGATGACACCAACCTTATGTTAAGTGGTCTGGTAGCGAAATATCAGGCAAATTAAGTTGAGTTTTTTCATCCTCAGGTTTCTTCCGCGTGTGTTCTTGGAACTTAACCAATTTGCCTGATCCCCCACCCACCATTGGTGAAACTGAAAGCCAGTTCGCTTCGAGTAAAACAAAGCCGTTTCAGCCCGTCAGATTATTGACTTCGTTGCGTGACAGTAAAGTTAAGTGGTCAGGTACGGTGATATTAAGTGAGTTAAGTTGAATTCTTTCATCCTCAGGTTTACTCCGTGTGTGTTGTTGGAGTTCAACCGACCTACTTAATTTTCCAACCCCATTGGTACTTAAGCGTAACGAAGCCGTCGCATAGGTCCCCCAAGTGTATGGTATTCATCCTAGGAGCTAGTTCTTTGGATCACGCGCTCCGAAAACTTCCCGCTCCGTCCCAGAAGCGCGTCAAAGATACTTGCTTTACGAAGCCAGGTTTAAGTTTGAACTTTAACGCTAGGGACTCTCAGAAAACAATACAGTACTACCTTCATCACTACTTGTCGCACCGTAACGACCTTGTAATTTGGCACGACGCCATTAATAACTCGATAAGTAGGCACCGCAGCAACAATAAACGCAAGCTGAGTAGTGAGCAACTTGTCAATTTGTTATTAAGGTATAGGACAAACATTTGTGCGATCGTATACTGTAGACGGAACGGAACCGAGGATATAGAGGAAAGTTTAGGTTCAACAGGTATTCTCGTTCTCAACGTCGTTAAAGACTTTATCTCTAAGCGTAAGGCTAAGGACCAGGTACTAATTGAGAAGTACAAAGAGCTTCACCAGCCTCCTTCCCTTGAGTTAAAGACTCTCCTCCTTCTAAGGCGTTATAGCGCTAATCTTAACATCCTTAAGACACGTAAGAAGCGAAACCGCTTACCCCTCAAAGCTCGGAAAGCTATAAGAAATAGGCTTCAGGTAGAAGCTTTGAGACGTCAAGTTCCCCCGTCTTGTAAGCTAATGTTGATTTACTAATGCAAATTTGATTACGTACCAAAACAGTATCTCATTTTATTGATTGTTTTCTATAAGTGAGCATCCGTAGAATATTGTCAATTTGTGAAAAACATGGACGAAAAATTCCAAAGTAAGATACGCAAGTTATTCGAAACCCGTCTAAATCTAGAAAATGAGCTGCTTAAAGGTCACTCATTATTACTTGAGTACATTGAGAATAATAGTCGCACTACAAAAATTGATAATGCTGTTTACAAATGTAAAATTGCGTTGGAAAAAGCTGTCGACGTCAATGAGCAATTAATTAGGTTAGCGGGAAAAACGGAAAATCCTGAAAAAATTATTGCTCAGCAAGACCTTTGGCTTAAGAAAGTAACCGAAATGAACGATAAAGTAATGCACGAAGCTCAGAGTTACAAGATGAGCCTTGAACCTTCGTCATTTCCAGCAGCCGGCATTACAGGGAGCAAGGGATCTTTACAACAAACTAGGTCTGAGACATCCTCACGCTCGCACAAAACAAGTGAATCAGCAGCACGAGTATCTGAAAACAGGTCTAAGGTCTCTAATCAGTCTAAGGATAGTAGAAAGCTTGACTCACATAAGTCTGATAAATCTGCTTCCACTCGTCATACGTCGACTGTTCGCACTATGTCATCAAGTGAGAAACGACATGAGTTAGCTTTAGTAAAACGACGCCATGAGGAGCTGGAAAGGCAGTATCAAGTGTCTTTAAGACTTAAAGAGCAAGAGAACCGTCTTAAGTTCGAACAAAGTCAGCTGGAACTAGAGCAATTGGCTGAAAATCATAAAAAGCAACTAATTGAAATGGAATTGAAAGCGTTTGAACTTGAGGACAGTTCATCTGAGGTTAGCGAGAAGGTAGCGGAAAGTAACTTAACAGGAGTAAGTCAACCTATTTCAAAGGTAGCAACCGATCGAACTAATGATTGGGTAGACTCTGTTAGTTCACAAGCACCTCCCGACATTGCTAGTGCGCCAGGTTTGCAGGCCTTCACTCGTGTACCCATTTCGTCAGGACCGACGACTTCCGCCCTCCTTGCTAATGCAATTCACACCAGTAATAGTCATAACCATGAGCACACAGCATTTAGTGACCCTGGAATCCATAGTTATGGACATCGGGCTATGCCTCAATTTGGCAGTGCAAGCCGTTTGCCATTGCAAGCTTCTGTTTCATTCCCAGCCTCTGTTCCATTCCCAGTTAACAATATGCATTCTAGTGCACACGTGTCACCACCGTCTGCTGTTCCTTTACAGACCATGAGTTCAAACATAACTAATGGTAGTTTTGCCATCGCGCAACCGGAGTCATTACCTGTCCCAATGTTACCGGCCCAACCAGGTTCTGGTTTTGTTTCTTTGTCGCCTGCATTTGCTGGCGGTGGCTTCTCATCTTTTGGAGTAAACCCAACGCCGGTTTTCTTTTCGGCACCTAATTGCCATGCAGCGCCAGTCCAGACGCAACATAATCTTCCCTTTGTTCCGCATACTGTGTCACCTAGTATCAACGATTACTACACAAGTGATGCAAACTTATGGCGATTGGCTGCTACAACTCCAATCGTCACGCCTGCTCAGTGTTGTAATGCTGGAAACATTTTTTCTAATGTGACAACTGTTGTCCCATCGTGTAACACCGCCGCTCCTTATACTAGTGGTGGGACTGTGTATTTTAATACTCCCCCAGTTCATCCACAACATGTTC